CCTTTTTTATTTGTGTTTCTCAAATACAGTGCTAGATGGCGACACCGTATGTGGTACTACATGTGAACTTCTGCTAATCTCGAGGACAAAGTATAATAAGAGATACTGTCCTGCTGAAAGTACGACGCCTTCGCAATAATTTATTTATTTGGTTCTTAAAAAAATAAAAAAGCTATTTAAATAACTTTATTTTCAATGAACATAATTAAAATTGGCAATGAATATGAACATTATGTACACCAGAATATCGTCTAACAAAAATAACGGTTACATTTGATAAAATTAATTTAAAGAATAATACATTTCTAATTTAAATACACACTGTAATATAAAATAAAATATTATGTTAATATTAAAAACATACAATAAAACATAGATTTTCCCAAAATCAGAACTACTGTGTTATCTAATGAAAGGGAGTAGAAGAAAAAGTGAAGTATATTTCTATTTAGGAGTAACAGCCGTCTTAAAATTCATGCTTCTATTTCTGTTACGAATAAAGTGTAAACTAAAAAAAGTCTAATTATATAAAAATATTGTTTTTGCTTATGCAATCAAAACATTATTATAGCCATAATTACTACTCTAAGCTTTTAACTTTTTATTATGAAAGTGATAAATAGGGACGGAAGAAATTGCGTTAAAAGCTGACAATTTCGATTACAGCAGACAGCATTCAGCCCTTTTTTATTTTATTTCGATTTCTTAGTCTGCTCTATCCTTTTCTTAGTAAGCGATTTTTAAAGCAATTACAGTACAATTGTACGCAAGTAATGTAAAAAAGGGAACAAGTTATTAAATTATAGCATATTAGTTAAAATGAGGCGCACTATGGCCACTCTGGCCCTTCTCGAAGTGGGCCAGAGTGACCATAAGGACTTAAAGTCATATCTATTCACAAGAATTTTTAAGATGATATCTTCATAAAATTATTTATGAAGATATGATCTTCAAAATTCAAATACTTTTTATATAATTTTTAATTAACTTTAAAAGTTAAAATAATGAACTTACAGAAATGCAACGCGCATTATATGGCAATGAATAAAAAACATTTAACATCAAAGATGAAAAGAAACAAATTATTTTTGTTAAAATTGAAAGGAATGATAAAACTGGCCCTGAAGACTAATTACTAAAATTAAGTAAAATACACGTCAATGTTGCTAGTCCCAAGTATATTCCTTTGAAAAACAGAATAGGTGTAATGGCAACATACGATTATTTATTTTCGTTTTAAAACAACTAAAACTAAAACTAGACATTTAAAAAATCACATTTATGCTTCAATTCAATGGTAGATTTGTAATACATAATGTTTATTATCTTTAATAAAGCATCCAATGGCGTAGTACCTTAGAATATGATCGATTGAGTTGGCACGTCGAGCAGAAAAGAACTCTTGTTGTTGATGTGCCAACTCAAAGGGATTTTTCATTAACAATCTATCGTTAAAATAATTTAGAATCAGTATTAATTTAAAACGTATAATATAAATATTATAGTAACGACAAAGAATCAAGCTAACATTTTTATATTAGATTTTTTCTATGTCATTCTAGCAATCAATATTTATGAAAGTAACAGATTTTTATTATTATTATTTCAGCAATACATAATATTTAAGTAACTTCATTTACTAGTAATAATCCGTTATCCCTTTTGAAGTTTTTTTACTCAAACAGAAAACAGAATAGATAAAAATAACATATACACTCCCGACTAGAAACCATAAATGTTTAACTTATGATTTAAAAGTTTGGACGTTTTATGTACAAAAGTACAGAATAATATGTAGCCTATAAATACAGGGATGTTTAAATTGTAATACAAAGTAACATAGGGTGCACAGACTTGGGTCTAATTTATTCTGTGTTAAGAATTTCAATTAACTGAATCCGAAACCTTCGGTTTATAAAAAATACGTAACATTAAAAAAAATAATCGCTTTCTATTATGTCAAATACTTAAAATGAATAAACCATTCTATCAATTTTAGGTCAAATTAAATAAATAATTTACAACATCTAAATAAACATTTATAAAATAAATAATGTGATAATTACATACAAATATACAATTTTATAAAATTGAATGTTAGCCATTTTTATAGCATCTTGAAATAATAACCATTCATTCAAAATCACTACCAAAACAATATTGTTGTCTCTTTCTTTCCCTCTGAATAGAGTGAAACAACTATATGTTGTTCGAATACTTTATCTATGGAAACTCACAGCAATAGTCAATAACTGCTAATGATCCTTACAACTACATTTGAACTACAAGCTCTAAGGCAACCACTATAAGTAGACTGTGATATCCATATTACTATGATATCCATGTTGCTATGATATCCATATTACTATGATATCCATATTATTATGATATCCATATTACTATGATATCCATATTACTATGATATCCATATTACTATGATATCCATGTTGCCATGATATCCATGTTGCTATGATATTCATATTGCTATAATATCCATTCAGTGGGTTGGATCACTTTCCGTTCCACTCACTAATCCTGCCGTTCTCAAACACCAAATTCTTCCTCGGCAAAGGAACTAAGGAACCACGTTTCACTATACCCATATCTTCACCCGGATAATACTGGAAATTTTATTAATATTATATACATGATTTAAAAATCGCTAATATATACTTTTATACCTTTCTTTGTCTTTTTTAATTATCTATTTATTCTTACCTGACACTGGGACACGAATTTTAGAACATCAGCTCTGATGTATTCATTGTCTTCCTTGATCTTGTCTAATCTGGAATCAAAAAGACTGTGTCAGTATGTTGTTATCCAATGTCACAAAAGAGGCAAAGCATTTAAACCGGATATTTATAGGATTTTTTTAAATAAACTCAAAAACTTACACTTCCGGCCTTGCTATTCTGTCCACTATACTTTGACATACTTTTTCGCACAACGTCTCATCAAACAAAGGTATCCCGAACTGTAGATCCAAAATTGTCCATTTCTAAAAAAAAACAGTCATATTATAATCAATTTTTTGAATTTAAAAGTAAAAATAAAATGTTAGAGCTTACTTCTGGTTTACACGTCTCTTCGTCAGAGAAGTTATGTGCTGTGTCAACTCCGCTGTCACCTTCCGTCATCTCTGTCAATTTGTCAGATAACTGCGTGAACATCGATATCGATTCTTCCGCCGGACTCATTAAATCATTCAACTCATTCGTACTCTTATCTTCTTCCTTCTTCTTCGATTCGAATTTCAAATTTTCAACACTGGCCGAAGAGGAATGTATCGGGACCAATTCGTCAGAAAAGGAAATCGATTCTTTACTAATCGATTTATCCTTGGAATGTTTCTTTAATTCTTCGATGCTCGTTGAAGATGAGTGAATGGGTACGAAATCATCGCTAGTAGAAATCGATTCTTTGCTCCGATGGACGAAATTGTCGATGTTTAGATTATCGAGTTCCTCGCAGAGTAACTTTCCACCTTCTACACTAGTAAAGCCATTGGCGGGAGAACTTGTCTTACTATCTGTGGTGGGTGTGACAGCGAAGTGTGACTCTATAGGTGACTGCAATCGACTGTTAACCGGTTTCGTATATTCAGTAGATTTCTCCACGGATTCATTGGAAGACAACGATACTTCGCTTATAGGTTTAGCGATTCCGCAACCTTCTTTCTTCTTTCGCTGTGGAACTAAACCAATACCAATAACAGAATACACTTCATCATCATTCAAGATATTTAATTTAACAGTGGTAGAGCCCGCTTTAACATCTTTGCACTGTAGGGCCGGCTCGCCCCCAGTAATACCACGACCTCATAGAAAACAGGCGTGAAGTGACAGCAATTCCGCGTTGCGTCTGATGACTGTGACGGAGGCCTAATTTTAGTCCCTTTCCCTTTCCACCTTTTTCTTAAGAGGAAGGGATGGGAAGGAAAAGTGGATTTGACAATGGAGGAGTCGCATAGGAAGGTGAAATGTCCTCTTTATGTGCGTCTCCTCCTCCATCAATGAAAGGTAGGCAACGCATCTGCAATTGCGGATGTTTATGGGCAGCGGTCGCTTTCCATTTCGGTGGAGTTAGGTGGCCGGTTGCTCGAAAGAAAGATATCATGACTGAGATGACGGATGATAGAGTGATGTAAGATAATAAGGAGGAAGAGGATGATGATTTGATTTAATATGTTGTGTATACCTAGCTGCACTGTGTGCGGCGGGTGCGCGCAGCCGAGGTCGGGCACGCCGGTGTCGGCGAGCGCGACGTAGCCCGCAGCGCGCGACAGCCGCAGCCGGCGCGCCAGCCGCCGCAGCCCCGTGTGCGTCCGCCATATCGACTGACACTCTGGTAACATGTCACTATTATTAGTAAAACTAATATTATAAATACGAAAGTTTAGATGTACAAATTATTGTTAGAATTTGTACCCTAACCGGCTGAACGGATCTCGTTTAAATTTGGCATAGATATGGAGGATAGTCTAAAAGAATACATAGGCTGCTTACTTTTGTTTTGTTTTTTATTCCACGCGGACGGAGTCGCGAGCAAAAGCTAGTGTGACTATAATTATTGACTTTTCTATTTACTTCAGTAACACCTTCGTACAAATTAAATGGCTTACCATCCTCAACAATTGGGAAGGCGACATGTCTGACAGTAGGGTGGTGTCTAACAGCGGCGGCTTGCAACAGCACGGGCGCGCGGCGCAGGGCCGAGTTAGCGGCTGCGAGGGCAGCGGCTGCTGGTAGAGGAGCAGGCTCGCCTTCCGCATTCCACCAGGTAACCGAGAGCCGGGCATACCCCAGCAACGGACGCGGCACGCTGCGCAGCACTGTGCCTGCATGCACACACACAGTAAGACATACATGTCTTACTGTGTGTGAGACATGTATATCTTACTGTATATATAAAAGCGTAATGAGTGGTCAAGCAACAGCACCTGGAAATATTATAAATCTTGAAATAAAAAAGGCCAAGTCACCAATTTAAGTAGTTGTACCGATGGTCGTCACAGAGCTAAAAAAATATAAAACTGGCGAAAATTCATTGTTTAATACACAAATCATATACAAGATCTTGATTTGATCCAATCCATCACATGTCGAATAGCTAACATATGTAGTAGAAATTCTCCATCTGCAATACACATTGTTAATCTTACAAATTACAAAAAATAATAAGGCACTTAGGGAATTGCCACTTTTATGACCATTATTCATACATTCACCAACATACAACAGACAGCAAAAGGTAATATCGGACAGGCTGTATAGTGCTTTAGCTTAGATATATTTGCACACTGCTATATAGTGGGCAAAATATATCAAAGCCATTTAAATTATTAATTACAAATTAAAATTTTGACGAAAGTATAATGGAACGAACGCTAAAGATCTCCACCCAACGAACTTTTCCCATTAATCTCAAAAAAAGATTATTTTATGTCACGTTTATTACCTCATTGGAAACATTTTTATAACAATGGCGTTGGTAAAAAGTTTGCCATCCCTGGTTCAGAACAACACGACAATTAAAACGAGACATTTATCATAATAAAAGACATCCCTTTTCGTCAAAAAGTTGCAATAGATGAGTATGCACAAATTTGTTATTGAAAAACAAAATTGGTACTAAAATATCATGCAGGACCTAAATTTGTATTTATGAAGTAACGAGCTTTCGCCCGCGACTCCGTCCGCGTAGTATTAAAAAAAAACAAAAGTAAGTAGCCTATGTGTTCTTCCATACTCTGCTCTACATTTATGGCAAATTTCATCCAGATCCGTGCAGCCGTTTAGGCTACAAACTCTAACAAACATCCATCCATCTAAACTTTCGCATTTATAATATTAGTTAGACTGCTGAGCTGGCTGAACTCCATCAATCCTGCAAAGATACATAACAAAATGGTACAATGGGGTAAATATCTATAAATCCAAAAAAAATGTTAAAATAAAAAATTAAATACATGTCTCCCCATCGTTACTCCACGATGTTTATCATACTCAGAATCAAAATCTGTGAAACAATCTAAACTAATTAATAAACAATAAAACAAAATTAACATGTCTCTTCTATAGTCCTGTCTCACTCTCTCTTCTGTTGTTAATCCGGTGCTAGAGAAGTTTACTATAAAGAAATGTAAATATAATTGTGGTTAGATGAAAACACGCTTTTGCTCCATTTTGAGGCCGTTTTCCTAAATATTAAGACATTTAACGCAGACAAATTAAAACAAATGCATGCAAAATATTCACAAAATAATCCATTTTTGTAGTACCACGCTTTTAACTATCTATAAGATAGGATACAAACATACTAATCAAACCACCGAAATCAATATTCGATATTATAACTTGTTAAATGGAGTACAAATATAATTTCAGCGTTATAAAAATATTAAATTCCTTATTTAACTTGATATTACAATAAAAAAACATCGCGGAAAAGCTAAAACCTATTGAGATCGTATATTGATAAGTGGCGTGTAGTAAAGCTAGCTACCTTTAGTGAGCAGCAGGGTGGGCGGTCCGTACCCTGCGACGTGGTAGAGGTAGAGACGCATCCAGGGGGAAGCGGCCTCGGGCGGCGCGGGGCCGACGTGCGGCAGCGCGCCCGCCGCCGCGCCCGCGCGCGCCTCGCGGGACAGGGGCGCTGTTGATATCGCTAGCCTGATAAACCGTATTTTCTATATAAGTACGGCTTTTTTTTTTATAACACAAGGTGGCAAAAGAGCAAGCGGCCACTAGAATCCGCCAAAATGGCGAAGTGACCGCTGCCCATAGACATCCGCAATTGCAAATGCGTTGCCTACGCTTATACGACGGAGGAGGAGACGCACATAAAGAGGATATTTCCCCTTTCTATGCATCTCCACCGTCAAATCCACTTCCCCTTCCCAACCTCTTCTTATAAGAAAAGCGTGGTAAAGAGAAAGGGACTTAAATTAGGGCTCGGGCACCACACCCATCAGACGAAACACGGAATTGCTTCCATTTCACGCCTGTCTTCTGTGTGGTCGTGGTATTACACCGGGCGAGCCGACCCTGCAGTGCTAAGATGTTAAAGCGGGCACTACCACTGTTAAAACGGCTTCTAGAAGCATAAATACTTTTTTAAACAGATACATTTGGATTTATTTCACGGTTACAGTACAGACAATCGTCCTTCGTTTATTGTATCTGTACTATAAACTATCCTACTGTTAAATGGTTATTAATATTCTTACTGTCAACAAAAATAATAAAAAAATCCCTGTGAAAAAAATTTGTTCACTAGGGGTGGCGAGCATGAAAGTGCCATTTATTTAAAGAAATATTTAAAGCTTGCTTAGACGTGCATCAAATATTTTTAAATGCAATTATTACGTTACTTTCATGGTGCATCTATTTCACAACTTTTTTATAGAGTTTTTATGATTTTCGAGGTGCCCAAAACATAATGTTGTGTGCCATTTTTGGCATGCGTGCCGGTGGTTTATCACCCCTGACTTACTCTATATATTTCTTAAATGTCTTTGGTGTCTGTGCTAAGACGCCAGCTAGTAAGTTAATAAGAAGGTAACCTATATTTAGTGGAGAGCAGGCGCGCCCTGGCGGCGTGTCCGAGCGCGTGCAGCGCCTCGCAGCGCAGCAGGTCCAGCGGGCGCAGGCGCGGCCGCAGCGTGCGCAGCGCGGTGCGCAGGCACGCCGCCGCCGCCAGGTAGCGCCGCGCCTCGCCCTCTATCTCTGGGTCCGCCGCCACCTTCAATACAATTACACTAATTTAATTAATTTAACTAGTGTTAATAGTAACACAAGTTTATATTGTACACTAGGTGTTGCTCGCGACTCCCGCGTGGAAAAAAAAACAATATAGTCTATGTTAATCGCAAATAACGTAGATTTTTAATGGTGAAAGAATTTTTGAAATCTGTTATATAGTTTTTGAGTTATTTCAATACATACAAAAATCCAAAGATACAATACTTACAAATAAATATAGAGCCTATGTAACTCACAGATAAATTACCTTTCTAATGATAAAAAAAAAATTGAAATCGTCCTAGTAGTTCTTACGTTTTACAAAAATACAAATCTTTCATCTCTATTATATTAATATAGAAACGCTCAGTTCCAATAGTATTAACTTTAGTTAAATGTACTATCGGAGAAACATACCGTATTCCTCAAAAGCTACAATTGTTTTTTGAAATGAGACGCGGAAAAATCAATACAAGGCAGCATATAAACGTATCTGGACGAAACAAACAGCTAGTTAATCGGCTAGTTTACTTTTATTATCCTCTCGTTTACACTCACTATCTAATTAATTATTTCTAGAAAGAGATGGAGCTAGTCTCGTTGCAATGAACAAAGCATTTTCTCTTAAGTGAAATATCGCGGATTTCCGTGAGTACAAAGTTAAAATTATGCATACAAAACACATTTTAAAGTGAACAGTCCAATTGTTAAGTTAAAACTGTAGCAACTGATAACTTAATTCTGTTCCTTGTATGTGGCTTTGTTTGTATGTAAGTTTGATTGTATGTAAATTAATGAACGGATTTTAACTACTAAGGTATCAAGTTATTTTGGTTAGTTTTCATGTATTTTGCAAAAACTGGCTAAAAAACTGCAAACCATTATTTATAAGACAATTTTACTCACCTTGTCTAATTCCATGAGCAGGCTATCTAGACTTTCATCACACAACTTTCCAACTTCAAACAGTGTTACTGCATGACTTTTTAGGTCCTGTAAACATAAACAGTTTATGATAGTCTTAAAGGCACGTAAACATTTTCTTACAATATAGTAAATGTCTTACCGGTGACAAATTCCCCATCATTAAATAAGCAGCAAGAGTTGAATCAAAGAGAACAGCTACGCGCTGACCACTGTTACTTGAACCAGCATCAATAAGGTCTTGGGAACTCTGCAAATAATCAATCTTATTACCATATATTTATACTAATATAATAAAGCGTAAACACACTTCTTTATGGCGTAAGATGTCATGATGGGAAAGGGACCATAAACTACAAACTGCCAACATTTTTTTATAATTTCATGCGGATGAAGCCGCACGGGAACAGCTAGTCTATACTAATATTATAGGGGAAAGATTTGTATTTTTGGATTTTTGTATATATATTAAAATAACTCAAGGACTATTGGACCGATTAAATAAAATTTACCATTAAAAAGCTATGTCATTAACGAGTAATATTATCTATTTTGTTATTATTGTTTAATTTCACGCGGGCAAAGTAGCGAGCAACAAGCTAGTATAACATACTGTGTTAACAATAAAGATTACATCTCTATAAATTACTAGCTGTCGCTCATGACTTCGCCCGCGTGAAATTAAAAAAAATATGCCTATGTCACTGATAATACAGCTGTTTAATGATGTAAGAATTTTTTAAATCGGGCCAGTAGTTTTTGCGTTATTTTTATACATACAAAATACAAAATTACACATCTTTCCTTTCTGATATAGTAGAACCTCGATAACTCAAACCTCAATAACATAAAAACCTCTATAACTTCAAAAAATAATATGTTCCCTTCCCATCAGAGCCCAAAACCTCTACAACATAGACCCTTGATAACTTAAAACCTCTATAATTTAAAAAAAAATGTGTTTCCCTTGGACTTTAACATATCGAGTATTCTACTGTACTAGTATAGATAAGTAAATAATAAAAAGGTTATAAAATAAAGAAAGGTTAAAAAAAAGTTTTCTGTTAGTAACTTTAATTTTATTAGGCTTAAATTAAATGTTAAAAAATTATACCTGTTTAGAAGTCGATGGTGTATCTTTTATCAACACCGGCTCCATTTGAAGCGCGTCTTCATCCATTGTTTGGTCAAACGTTAACGGCGCTATTTGTCTATACCTAAAAACAACATTTTCTTATGTATATTAAAAAACTTATTTCTAACTAAATTACATTATTAGCCTGTGTTTATTCTTCTAGACCAGTGATTCTCAACGACTGTGCCGCGGCACTTTAGTTTGCCGTCAAATTTCAAAAGTGTGCCGCCATTTTTTTTAATTAGCTTCTAATTAATCCCTTAATAAACGTTTAGTTATTATTGTTATTGTCATCATCATCATCACCAGCTCACTCAACGTCCCCACCGAGGGGCTCGGAGCCTACTCTAAGTAAGGGGTAGGCCATAGTCAACCACGCTGGCCAAATGCGGGTTTGTTGACTTCACACATATCTTTGAATTTCTTCGCCGCTATGTGCAGGTTGCTTCACGATGTTTTCCTTCACCTTAAGAACGTCGGGTAAATTATGTACATATGAAAATTCGAAAATTGTTACTGTTTATATCGAAAATTTAATTTTTTTATCATTAACTATTTCTGCAGTGTGTTGTAGTAAGTAATTAATTTTTGAAATAATTAAATATGTGCCGCAACGAAAAAAAAAGGTTAGGAATCTCTGTTCTAGATTATTTTCTACATCTATGGCATTCATCGAGTTCCGTTCATCTATTTAAACTAGAAACTCTAACAAACATCCATCTAAACTTTTCCATTTATAACATTATTAAATAAGATATTTATGGATTAGTTATCCATATCAAAAGATGCTATTCTTGCTTAGCTATGGTTATGTCATACTAACTTTCGTCCGCGACTCCGTCCGCGTAGAATAAATAGAAACAAAAGTAAGTATCCTATGTGTTCCAGACTATCTTCTACGTATATGCCAAATTTCATCCAATTCCGTTAGCTGTTTATGCTACAAACTCTAACAAGCATCCATCCATCTAAACTTTCGCATTATAATATTAGTAAGAAAAAGAATTCACTAACGGTTGATGTTTATGTGTGGTGACGGCATCCTTCCATGAGATATGATGGGGCGTGACGGGTGGAGGGTTCAGGTTGTTGGCGAAACCCAACCTGCAGTACAGGGATACCGCCTGCTTCACTAATTCACTGTCCACCTGACAATCAAATACAAGAATGCTGACTTACAAAAAAATTAACTTATTAACGTATGTATCAGCTAACTTTCGGTCAAATTCCTGTTAAAATTTGATCAGCTGTTCAAATTACCGGGAACAAACGCGGATTTGCGTACAGTCAGACAGTCAAAAATTTTAAAAATCTATTCTTTTCATTATAGGTAATCATAGACATTTAATAAATAAATAGACAAGGTAGTGAATTTTATTTTTCACAAGTACTTTCTCTGAAAGGTATATCAGTTGTCAAATTTATTATTATCATGTGTCCTTGTATTGACATATAATACAATAATTTACAAAACTATAACATCTATCTTTTGTTATAAAAAAATAAACAGTATTTCTATATTTATAATCGATTGAATAATGGATACCTGTAATACAGCCGCTAGTTCCGCGACGCTGGTATGCTCGTCTATGGACACAAACACCTTGTATAGAAGCGTCTCGAAGTAATCTCCTGCGATGCGGTTCATCACGAAACCTTTCAGTGGCGGCACTGACACTTTGTCTGCTGACGTGATCGGCACGTCCAAGTATATTAAACCACGTCTGTAAATAATAAAGCTTGCTATAAAATTCTAATAAACTCTAATAAGATAATTTCAAATTAATATAAAAAGTATACACAATGCATGGGAAATCGATACAAAGGCACTCCCAACTATTTAATACTAGCTTTCGCTCGCATCTCCGCCCGCAAGAAATTACAAAATACAAAAGTAGGTAGTCTATGTGTTATGCCAGACTATCCTCTATATCTATGCCAAATTTCATTGACATCCGTTCAGCCGTTTAGACTACAAACTCTATCAAACATCCATCTAAACTTTCACATTTATAATACTAGTAAGATCTGAATGAGGTTGTTATGCAACAAAAATTATTACCTGTACAGAGTTTTGACTACATTGTAGTCCAATGTGCCAGCTGTTTGTGATCCTCGGTCTATCAGAAGGTCAATGAGAGCCTTTTCACTTCCACTTAGAGGCTGAAAAATAACTTTTACTTAATTTAAGAATTTAATCAAATCTATAATTAATAAATATCTAAATCTCTTCAGTTGTTAATTACCTTCACATCTTCCTCCAGTACATAACCCAGTTCCACTCTCCACCATGGCAGCATTGGTATATTAAGTGGCACTCGAGGTAAAAGACTGCGGATCGCCTTGGAGCGACCTCGTCTTCCCAAAGAACGAGCCTTGGCAACTAATTCTAAGTACTCATTGCGTCCAATTCCCAACAGTCGCAGACCTACCAGTAAACAGTTATTTTGTTAATCAAGGTCACTAAAATTCTACCATGGCCACACTACAATGTCTTATGGGCGTTGCTGGGAGGAGTATGAGAGTGGAGGGGGGGGATTTAAGGGGAGTAGGAGGTAGGGGTTAGGTGGTTCCCTAGAGTCGGAAACTGTTAAATATAACTAGAACATTAACTGGTGACTCTTGTGTTGTCTCTATTTTTCTAAAGAGATTGTATAGACATATACTTACAATCAGCAGCAGTAAAATTGGGCATTGTGTCATAGCTTTTCTCCATTTCTATAAGCAAAGCAACCACTTCTAGATAATATATAAATGGAGTTATTCGTAATCCTGGAACAATCAACATTATTTTAACCAACCCCTTATTTAAAGAATGCAGAGCTAGTATAGTTAGTATATATTATTACCTTTAACAATCATGTCCGCTAAGTGATATGGGTAGAGCATGAGCCTCTGTATACTATTCTGAACAAGTACCTCATAGTACTTCCTTTCATCTTTCCGGACTGTGCGTACTAAAATAACAGTAAAAGAACATAACTTTATAAGGACTAAAAAATTTTATAGTTATAAGAGATATGCAGATATATTGTTTTAATTGTAGATAAATAAATGTAATGTGTAGTTTTAAAACTTCTTATCAACAAAATTGAGGCCATTATATAATCTTATGATATATATTAACTTAAAATCGATCACACCTATTCTGCCTAACCTTAAGTTAACATTAACATAGAGGATATTATTAAAATGTCAAGTGTGACAAATGTGCCATGTAAAATTCTTCTTTTTATTTCACCTTAATTTTGTATTCTTGATTAGGTATTTATAGGTTTAATAAAAAAGACAAGTAATAACTTACCAAGACTGCCTCTGTAACGCAGTTGATTTTTAACACTAAACTCAAATATGTATCTCTCATATTCTTTAGGAGAATCACCCAACACCTGAAGAAGATTTTTAAATATTTATTTGAGTTAACAGCTGATCAATCAGCAATAAAGTATACAGTATAATACATAAACAATAAACTTGAGAACCAAGAATGAATTAATTGCATTTTGTGTAAAACATCCTTAAAAATATGTGAATTATCGTCGTAAGAGAAAGGTGGTCAATTTTAAGAAATTGTGTTACCTTTTTTACAGTAGTTGGTAACTGTGGCCATTGAATTCTTTTTCTAATACATTCGTCTATTTCGTCCTCCATTATAATGAAATTACTAAATTATTTACTTTTCTCTTTATCGTTTCTACATTGAAAACAACAAAAATTAAATTTCTCCGACACAATATTTTGATAAGAAAAAATAGCCATACACATTGCGTTCTTAAAAATACGCAGTATTGTTGTCATTGCCAATTGATAAACTTAATATCCAATTATCTGTTGTAGATTAAAATATATTTTACTATTTTCCATCGTTTTACTTACTTTTACGCAAAAACGTATACAATACGATCGATTATTTATAAAATGTGAACAAATATTGTTTGTTTTACGCATAGGTATTGCGTTTATGAACGTATTGCGTATATGTCATGAGTGAAAATGAGCGGGAATGTTTGGAATTTTCAAACATTTTTCTATAGTTTGCCCCTACACCATATATGATATAACTTTATTTTTGCAGACCGTGGTAAAAAAAAATCTTTATTACTCTTGCATTAGGACAAGTTGTAAATATATTGGGATAAAGTGATGTTAAATTCTGTATATATATGAAATGCTAATGTGTTCTAAAATGTGTAAATAGCTAGTTTCCACAAAAAAGTAAATCGATATGACAAAAATAAAAAATCTGAGACAATGCCACTATATATTGTAATTCAATGAGATTCGTTATAACATGTATTTAGTATATGCATAAATTCATTTAAAGAAATTGCTCCTCAAAGGCTTTATGCAGTTCTTTCAACATATCTGAAGCTATCATACTTCGTCCGTAAATCTTGTAAGCTCTTGAATTGCACGACCTTGTTAACCTTGCGGCGGCATAAGCTGCAACACTCTGTGAAAATGGTGTTATTTTTCCTTTTGTACAGAAATAGTTTGTTTTCAAAGCCCAGTTGAAAAATGTCCCTAAGCTTCCAGATAAAATGTCGCCTTGTCCGCCAGCACGGCGACTAGAGCCACCTTCGTTTGACGACCATTTAACAGATCCCACACTAGAAAGAAAATTGTCATATTCTCCTTTAGCTAAAACTGACACATTGGTACCCCAGTATTCATACCAAGATAAATTCTTTGCCTGAACAGCTTGCATTAAACGACTTGCTTCTCTTTTGTTTGGAGTAAGAATAACACCTGGACTGGGGTAATCTTTTAAAATTGAGATATTCTGACATACTGCAAATAAACCATCAGCATCAATAACCATTGGTTTCTTCAAAGATTTACATGTTTGCATTATTTCTCGCGCTAATTTAATAGCTTCATCGTCTCTACCTAACCCTGGTCCGAGAACTATGACATCCATTTTTGATAGGATATAGTTCAGTTTTGAGGCAGAATTCATATTAAGAAATGGATAAACAATAAGATCTGGACTGTAAGCTTTTATGATGGGGGCTGCATTCTCTGTTGTTATCACATATACCAAATCAGCTCCAGCCTAAACAAATAAAAAATATGTATTAATTATGTGTGTTTAATTAACAAATTTTTACTATCATTACTTATGATTAATACAAATAAAAGAACTTTAGTAGATCTGTAAAAAGTCCATCTTTTACCATAATGGTGAAATATACATACCCTTAATGCTGATATAGCAGCAAAATATGGAGCTCCGGTATATTCCACAGACCCTCCAATGATGCCAATTTTACCAGCTTCCCCTTTACCTTTGCCATCCAGTTCAGGTATAATGGACTTGCTAATACTCTTAAGATCACTTATTCTCAATTCATTAATGTTTGAACACTGTTCTACTAAATTAGACTGAACAACACATATAATTGTTGTGATTGTAATGAAGAACAAAATATTTGCCAAACAATTCATTGTTTATCCTAAGATATACGAATCAGTCGGGTTACAACGCAAGATAACAGTGGCTATTGTCACTATTAGACGACCTGCATGTTTTAAAGTGTAAGTCTATCCGTAATAATATTTATATTTATGTGGCCTTGTGATATATGATAATTTGAAGGTCAGCCAGGCAAGTAACATGAATGTTTTTTTATGAGATTTATATTCCTATATGGCGTTGTTCGGAACCTAAAGAAGACAGCATGAAAATAAGACAATCTCAATGCTTATAATCTCAAAATACGGAATAGGTTTGTCGGTATTCGGCGATTTCGAGTTTTTCTTAGCATGATTCTTATCAATCTGACAATTCTTTATCATGCAAAGGGAAGAGTTATCAAGTTTCAGTGACATTGACAAGTTGATAATATTTTGACAATGACAAGGAGAATATAGTGCGACAAACTTATCTGGTCCAGTGGGCTAAAGTAAAATAGCGGTTGCTTTTGGCAGAGAAAATTATATAATTAGGCAACATAAGAGTTTCATACTTTTGTATCTACATGCATGATCCATTTTTGTGAATTAACAAGTGTTGCGCGTTATGTGTAACTTCTTGGTAAAACATTGGCAATGGATTAGAACAGAAAAAAAGAAATTGTTTATAGTTATTTATGGTTCATCTTTATCTTATTTTGATATCTTTATCTGCTTTTGATCGCTGCTGTCATTCGGTTGTCAGACGTGAATTCAGTGATTGTGATATGAAAATAGTGCTATTTAATTAAAAAGACGGCGATATGGATATGGAAGAGAAATATGAATCCGTTGAATTATGTTATGCGGTGCATAAATACTCCAGCTATTCGGCGAATTATGTCCCGCAGTACGTACTTACATTTTATTCCTATATTCGTATAATAAATGCCATTTCCCGGTATTTATTTTGTTTATTTTTAGCTACAGAAGTATATATTTAGATAAACTATCGTAAGGAATTGCATTATTTGGTAGTACATTATGTACCAGACGACTGGAATATATTGAATTTTAAATTGACATCAAATTATCATATTCGCCTTGAAACGAAAACAACAACCGGTGCATTAATTCAGGAAAAAAAACCATATGACCATAATTTTACATAGGAAATTTCCTACCCTTTTGTGTTCCTACTACTTATGCCTTGTTGTTTTAAAATGAATGTAATCATAATGGCCTAACTTATTCTATACAGGGAGTATCTTCATATAATAAATATTTAATAAAATTATCTAAACAAACAACTAGCTAAAAAGCCAAATTAGTAAACTTTCTCAGTTTCAGTCATTTTTTTTCTATTAAAAGTGATTTTTAGTTGACTGTTAAATCTTACTAATATTGTTAATATAAAAGTTTGTTATAAGATAAATGACTGAATTAATCTCCATGAAATTTGTCACAGTATGCTCTACAATAGTGCGGAAGAACACAGGCTACTTGACTTACGGAAGGAGTCATTGGCAACAGCTAATGTAAACATTTTCTTTATCATACCATTAAAAATCAAATTACTTTTTAGAAACATCATGGTTAACAACCCTTCGGATCAATTATCAAGATGGTTTACGGACAGTTCAAGCGCCAGCATGATGCAGCCACAGTACATCATACTCAAGTTAAAATCCTTATCAATAGTAGATACTATAAAATTTGGTAAATATATAAAACCTCATGTGAGCGATCTCAAGAAGTTTCAAGTGTTTGGTGGTATGGATGAAAATAATATTTCCCTGCTCTTAACAGCGTAAGTATTCTTACACTAACTACTTTGTAACTGAGCTTCAACTGTTACTTGTATTAATATATTAGGGCCTGTCCAAATTGTAAATTGTTAACAATCCAATGTGTAAAATGGGATGAAGTCGGATGTATCGGATTTTGTACCCTTATCTGACAGTGACATCATTATTACGCTATATCAGCCAGTGGTGGGACAGGCTCTTAGTGTATTTGTTTATTAAAGAGGATAAAAAGGGATACTATGTATGAAGACAAGTTCTAATTCTAACAATTCTATTATAAAGAACATTTCTATGTTACTGTTTAGTATCCTATTAAGATTTGTGTTCATAAAAGTTTATTTAGAAGGATAATTTTTACTATATATCTCTAGAATAACTTAACGGATCATACTGAAATTTAGCATAGATAAAACACATAGGCTTCTAATTGATTTAAACCTGGGACATAGTTCCTTTGACAACTAGTTCATAATAAACATTGATTACTACAATTAAGCTGATAGATGTAATCTATAAATAGAATGTAACTCATCCAAATATTTGTGTTTTTGTTGTTTTCCAATATTAATAGTTTTTCATTGATAATCATTTAGTTCTAATAAATGTTTTGTATATGGATATAGTAATTTGTTAATTACTGATAAATCACTTGAACTATCATTGTTGGTTTTAATTACTTTGTAACTTTTAATTAAATGTATTGACATAAGGAATATGGAAATAATTAAATCAATTAATAATGATGTTTACAAAATGGATGATTTATAACATTCTAGAACTATTCCTTTTTCCACATAGTAGAATAATAATCTTACTTCTTACTAATATAAATGCTAAAGTTTCGATGGATGGATGGATGGATGGATGTTTGTTACCGTTTGTAGCCTAAACGGCTGAACTGATCTCCATGAAATTTGGCACAGGTTTAGAGCATAGTCTGGAAGAACATATAGGCTACTTTTTATCCCGGGAATAGTTACGGTTCCCGTGGGATTCATTAATTTAGTTTTTTAATGTTCAGTCAATCATTCTGCAACGGTTCAACATATCTTTTTGTAATTTGGCACAGATATAAAACAAAGTCTACTACTATAGTACTCCACACATGGGATAAGCTTCTTCCCAGAGAAATGTCCGGTTCCCGAGGGATACGTAGATTTTTGTAATTTATATAGTTCGTATGTTTTCTAATACCACGCGGACTAAGTCGCGGGCAACAGCTCGTTTGTAATATTGTATGTTATTGGACAATGGAAACAAATTAATTGATAGATTGTACGATGCTTGTATATTTTAAATTACAGTTGTTCATGCATAACTTAGACATGTATAACAAGTTTAAGAATTAAGTAATCACTGATTTTGTTTTTAAGTTAACCATTTTTTACTTCTATGTATCTTAGCGACCCAAGGTCATCGGTGCGCTGCGCAGTACATGCATCCTGACACAACTAATATATGTGCATAAACTCGCGAGAAGTTAAAAGCCACAAGAATATCTAACTTCTGTACTACAATGTTAATACTGTTACTTTATGGTTTATTAAATAACGAGCTGTTGCCCGCGACTTCGTACGCGTGGTATTAGAAAACATACAAACTATATAAATTACAAAAAGTTACGTATCGCTCGGGAACCGGACATTGCTCGGGGATGTAGCTTATCCCATGTGTACTGCAGACTTTATTTTATATCTGTGCAAAATTTCAATAAGATATGTTGAACCGTTGCAGAATGATCGAGTAAACATTAAAAAACTAAATTAATGAATCCCACGGGAACCGTAACTATTCCCGGGATAAAAAATAGCCTATGTGTTCTTCCAGACTATGCTCTAAACCTGTGCCAAATATCATGGAGATCCGTTCAGCCGTTTAGGCTACAAACGCTAACAAACATCCATCCATCCATCTAAACTTTCGCATTTATAATATTAGTAAGATAATATTAGTAACATTAAATAAAATGTAAACATAACAATCATTGTATTTAAATCGGGTTTTAATGGATTTTACTTTTTCTATTTCAGTGGTCTGAAGAAAGATAATACACCAGAGACATTTAAACTCAGGAATAGAACTACAGAGGGTTTGTACTTGCCCATACAGTATATCAAAATTGTTCCCCTTGTTTCCTGGGGTCCGGCTTATAATTATACCATCTGGTATGTGGAGCTACATGGCAGGAACCAGGAGGATTTTATTCAAAATGCTGTGGAAACTATTAACTTGGTAAATTTAATGGTTATTATATTATTTACAACACGGCTAAAACTCACGTGGGAACTTTCGGTGTAGGCACCGCCCGATTGCGAATAAAGCCGGCATCCACTCACTCTGAAGAAGGACCCCCTACGGGTTTGAAACTGGTCGGTGCCTACACCGAAAGTTCCCAAGTGAGTTTTAGCCGTGTTATAAATAATATAGTGTAATGTCTCACGAAAGTTTTAATAAGTTAAGTAATGGTTATTGTATGTAAAGATCGATTTTATGTCATTAATTAAAATTGTAACAAATATTTTTTATAGCGTAAGGAAGAAGAGGCAGTACGTATTTTGTTGAAGCATTTACGCCGACGTCGGTATAAAGATGCTTTCGAAGCGTTGTCTAGAGAAACCGGTGTCCAGCTCGAAGGACCAACTCAGGCTCGTCTATGGAATGCTTTAGTTGAAAATGGAGACTACAAATTAGCTGAAGAGATATTAGAAGAGGCTTTGAATGGTAAGTATAATTGGTTTGGTTTATAAAATTGTGTGTTTTCTTTTTATTTTCAACAAGCTGTTCCCATGCGACTTCATTTGCAAAATCTTCATTTCATTGAAAACATTCTGACAAATGACATCAAATGTTTTTTGCTAACAGAACCATTACCATAGTAGTGTTTAATTTTTTTATGTACATTTTCTTGCAAACCATTTCACGCCTAAATAGCTTGAAAATATATAGACTAAAGCATCGTCCATGTAAAGGGTTTTATTGAAAAATAATTATTCAAATTCTGTGTGATTGTTGTGATTTCTGCCATCCTACATAATAAAGAAATGTGTGTTTTATGATATGATGTCTGGTGCAGAGGGCGAGATGGACTGGTACCTGTCGTGGCAGCCGTACCAGCCGGAGTGGCGGCAGCTGTCGCCGTGCTCCGCGGCGGTGGAGGCGCGGCTGTGCTGCGGGGACGCGGTGCCGCCCGCGCTGCGCCCGCGCCCGCAAGACCTCGCCTGCGCGGACCGCGAGCCACGTATGGAGCTGATGGTTAGTAATATATTTACAACTCTACTGAATTTAGGTTTATAGGTTTAAATTTAGCACTACTATTTATTTTATTGATTTCATTATATAGGCACCGAAATTTCTAAACTGATTTGAAAAATTCTTTCCCCATTAAAAACCCACATCATCACTCAGTATCAAAATATATTATACATGTAGTGGAAAGGTATGTCTTTGCCAACCAGGCGAAGCTGACGGGATTGCTAGTTAATTTTAAGTATTATTATCTCTTACACTATGATAATTGTGATGTTAGGAAGTGTTGGCGAGCGGCGCTGGCGGCGAGGGCGGCGAGGGGTGCGAGGTGGGGTGCGGCGGCGCGTGCACGGCGCGCCCCGGCCCGCGCGGCGGACACCAGCTCGTCGTCGACACCAACACCGGTACATCTTCATACACACTGCATTATAACAAGCGGAATAACAAATATCATATAGATTTTTCATTTCTATTGAATTCGACTACACATACAAATATTGCCAGTGTTAAGAAGAAAACCGATAACGGAAACGGCATACCACTACACCTACCGGAAGACGTCTCCTCACTATGACAGCTGTCAATGTCAATTAGACGATTTAATGATAAGCGCGCCATTCCTCTCTAATATAGACTTAGTATTGAAGTATAACATTATAATATTGTCCAAAACCAGGTACGTTGTACTTGTTCGGTGGATGGAACGGTACGGAGGACTTAGATGACCTGTGGAGCTACAGCACGAGCTCGGAGCGGTGGTCGCTGCTGTGTCGGCACAGCAGCCTGACTGGTGGGCCTTCGCCCCGCTCCTGCCACAAGATGGTGTTCGACCCCGTCAACGAGCGCCTCTACACCCTCGGACGGTACCTAGACAACGCACAGCGAGTGCCAGCCAATATGAATGTAAGTACATTTTGTAATTCATTTAATTATCAAAATATTCGATCTTAAAAGCACACAGGAAAGAAATTTGAACGAAATGGATTAAAACCATGTCAATAACAATAACTCGTACAAAGTTAGAACCCAACCATGTAAAGTGGCCCTGCTGCACTTTGACAGCCCAGCTTGTAACCTCTTTAAATTACACGTCGTGCATTTTCACAATAAATTTGTATTATTTTCAATATTATCGATAATATTAAAATAAATACGATGGACTATATATTTTTTATAAATTTAAAATTGTTTAGAGCGAGCTATACGTGTACGACGTGTGCGCGGGGACTTGGTCGCTGGCGTGCGCGGACACGGCGGCGGCGGGGGGGCCGCGGCTAGTCTTCGACCACCAGATGTGTCTCGACGCAGACACGCAGACTATATACGTATTCGGAGGACGAGTGCTGCCATCTAACACGTATGTAAATACGTCCCCACTGAGCGGTTTAGAACATACCCTAAGTTAGGCCCACTGCGGGTTGGTTGATTTCACACATATTTTTTAATTTCTTTGTTGATATGTGCAGGTTGCATCACGATGTTTTCCTTTATAGGAAGAACGTCGGGTAAATTATGTACATATGAAATTTGAAAGATCGAACATCTTATTGGTATAGCGGGATTCGAACCCAGGACCTGTGGATGAGTCACCGACGCTCTTTGGTGTCTGTTCCATCCGCTTAGTATCGATTAATGGTCATTAATCACAAAGTTAGTTAAATAATTAAGATTTCTTTTGTATCAGTGAGGAGCTGGTGAGTCCGCAGTACTCAGGTCTGTACGCGTACTACATCAACAGCAACACGTGGCAGCAGCTGCTGGCCGATCGACACGACCTGCCCGCGCCGCAGCCGCGCGTCTCCCACTCCATGCTCTTCCATCCCGTGAGTACACGCACGTACGCACGCACGCACGCACGAACGTACACACGCACGCACGAATGTACACAGGCACGTACCAACGTATACACACCGTTCTTGGTAAAAACACAAGTCTACTTTTTATTTTAAACCATTATTTCCAAAATCTTACAACACATTCCACATTTGCGTGGTTTGTAGACTTCACACTTTTTACACAAATAAACTTCTGTATAATACCGTTAGCAAAATTACAATTAAAGAAAGAAACAAAAATAAAAAACAAGGAATAAATACAATAAAAATCCTTAACTTTTAACAAAAGATATCTATATCCCCTTCAGGCCCTACTGCTGTCTTAGTTACTGGTTGTTTAAAGTTGTTAATTTTTTTTTACGCGTTATCCATAATAATTCTTAGCTCTGACTTAAATGTTTATGTATTGTATTGTAGGTGCAGCGTCGTCTGTACATGTTCGCGGGGCAGCGCAACAAGGAGCAGCTGCTGGACCTGTGGTGGTGGGACGTGGGCGAGGGGCGCTGCGGCGCGCTGTGCGCCGGCGCCGCCGCCTGCCCGCCGCCCGCCGCCGGCTTCACGCAGCGCGCCACCATCGACCCCGACACCGACGAGATCTTCGTGCTCTCCGTACACACTTTTACAATACAATATTTAAACTAGCTGTTGCCCGTGATTTCGTACACGCAATATTAAGATAAAAAAGTAGCCTATAATTTCAGTTCAGTTCAGAAAGTTCAGTTTCGGAGAATACCCGGAACAAACGCGGCTTGCTGACAGACACGCAGACAAATTTTTTTTTAATGCTTTTCATTTTAGTTATTAGCAACGTAAATACATCATATTCCCGAAGTCTGGAATTTTTCTTTTGATATTACAAACAGATACTCCAATTTTATTATATGTATTGCTAAGCAGAAAATTACTACCGTGTTCTAGAATTGATGCAACACTAGATTGTCGGCATAAACGTCACGTCCCTAGCTGACCGCTGTCACTGTCATTAGAAGGATTGATATATTCGCGGGAATTCCTGACGAGATCTCTAGTGCAATGTGTAAATTAATATGGCTGGTTACAATTATAATAATTGTTTAAAAGTATTTTTGTATTGTTGCAGGGCATGAGCAAGGAGAAGGACAAGCGCGTGTACAACTCGCTGTGGGTGTTCTCGCTGCGGCGGCTGACGTGGACGTGCGTGTACCGCAACGACTGCGTCACGCCCGCGGAGCCCCGCCCCCGCTTCGCGCACCAGCTCGTGTACGACCCCGTCAGGAAGGTATACATAAATAAACAAATTTAAGATATATTCATCTTTCTTCTTATCCTACTCCCGTAGGGTCGGCGCAACAGGTTTTTGTCCTCCACATAACTCTATTCGATAATGTCACCTTTCCGGCAATCCATCCATCTCTTTCTAGGTCTATCTCTACCGGTGTACCCTTCTACACTCATAACTAACATTCTTCTTGTAACATGCGATTCATCCCTCCTTATAACATGCCCCCATGCTAACCTTTTACTTCTTACCTTCTCTACTACTGGGACTACTCTCAAACTTCCTCTAATATACTCATTTCATATCTCATCCATTCGTGTTGCCACACATCCATCTTAACCTTATCCTTTCATCCGTCTCTTGTACTACCTTACTGTTATTTTGGTAACTGTAACTTGTATTTTTAAATGTCGACGCACGTTCGCAGATCCACTACCTGTTCGGCGGCAACCCGGGCACGGCGAGCAGTCCGCGGCTGCGGCTGGACGACCTGTGGGCGCTGCGGCTGGAGCGCGCCTCCCGCGGCGGCGTGTGGCGCTCCGTGCGCGCGGCGCTGCGCGAGGCGCACTACCGCGAGCTGGCCGCCGCGCCCGCGCTGCGCCCGCGCGCGCTGCACTACCTGCGCCACGACCTCAGCGCCGCGCTCGACCACTGCGACCCCGCCCAGGTACACACCCTTCACACAACTTACTAACTGCCTCTACCCTCGCGCGGCGCTTCCTCACTGCTCGCAGAAAACTATACAAAAACACAACATAGCGAGCGAGAGGTCAGCACAGTGTAGCAGCGAGAGGCGAGGTCAGCCTCACAAATTGTTTCACAAATTTTGTGTAGTTAGCAGTCTCGGTTACCCTATTCAATTAATGTATTACTTTACCTTAATGCGATGGAGCTAGACAAAAACAAAAAGCCAAAGCTAGCGCAGGAACGGCTTAGTCTCTCCAGCACACAGCTGTCTACTTTTTGGCACAATTTTTGTACTATTTTGTCTATACAATAAGTCCGTGTAATTATTACTTTTTCTGGAATTAAGGATATTCTATCATATTAATAATGTGTTTGCAGGTGTCCCAGTTCCAGAAGCTAGCCACCGCGCTGTTCGTGAGCCCGGCGGTGGAGTGGCGCGCCGCGTGCGCGCTGTCGCCGCGCCGCGCCCGCACGCTGGCCCGCCGCAGGGCGCGCCGCACGCCGCACGCCGACCTCGCACACGCACTCGCCGCGGTAAACACAACCATATACACACAATCATACTTCATACTAATATTATAAACTAGCTTACGCCCGCGACTCCGTCCACGTGAAATTAATAAAAAAAAAAGTGAGTAGCCTATGTGTTTTTCCAGACTATCCTCTATATCTATAGTAAATTTTATCCAAATCCATAAAAACTCTAAGAAACATACATCTAAACTTTCGCATTTATAATATTAGTATGATGATGATTGTTATACGTATCTTTAGACCGGTTCAACTGATCTTAATGAAATTTAGCACAGACGTAACATAGTCAGGAGACGTAAAATCGTATTTTACTTACTAATTTTATTATTTAATTCCGCACGAACGAAGTCGCGGACAAAATAAAAACGGCCAGTAAAACTAAACAGGGTAAAATATGTTGGTGTATCGTTACAGGTGCTGGGCGCGGATGAGGCGTGCCCGGAGGCGCCGCAGCCGTTCGAGGAGGCGCGGCCGCCCACGCCGGACACGTGGGACGTGGGCGAGGTGGGCGGCGCGTGCGAGGGCGCGGCCAGCGAGGAGGAGGAGGAGGCGGGCTGGGCGGCGCGCGACGCCCGCGTGCGCCTCTACGACCGCCTCAGCGCCTACTTCCGCCCCTCCAGCGTGCCGCCGCGCGCAGACGTCGCAGACCTCATCTCCCTCTAGACCTCGCAACCAAGGTGACACCTCGCTCATCATCATCTGTCTCCTTATTCTACTCCCGTAGTGGCGTAACAGGAATTTGTCCTCCACATAACTCTATCATACGTCATCTCAGTCATCACACCCTTTCTCATCAGGACACCTTTCACGCAATACATCCATCTCTTATTAGGTCTACCTCTACCGATGTACCCTTCCACACTCATAACTAACGTTCTCTTTGTAACATGCGATTCATCCCTCCTCATAACATGCCCATACTGGGGCTACTCTCAAACTTCCTCTATTATGCTCAATTCGTAGGTATCATACATAGATTGCTTAAAACCTAAAAACGAGCAAGCGGCCACCTTAAAGGGCTGAAATGGCGAAGCGATTGCTGCCTATAGACATCCGCAATTGCAGATGTTGCCTACCCTTTATTGACAGAGGAGACGCACATAAACAGGATGCTTCTCCTTCCTATGCATCTCTTCCACTGTCAAAACATGTAAAATTAAAGCTAAACATGTAAGAACACCATAAACGTAAATATTTATAGATTGTTTTTTTTTCTGTATTTGGCATTCACACTTGGTGTATTTAGCCTGCCAGTGGCAATTATAGATTGTTAGTTCATTCAGTTTTAAACTTTTATTACAAGTGGTCGCACTAAACTTTACAACTGATATACAAAACGTCGATAAGTTAAAATCCAAGGAAACCACAAAATATTTTAAGTTATAGAGGTTTTAAGTTATCAAGGGTCTATCTTATAGAGATTTTGGGCTCTGATGGGAAGGGAACATATTATTTTTTGAAGTTATAGTGGTTTTATGTTACCGAGGTTTGAGTTATCGAGGTTTTACTGTAGTACCTTTCAGAGAAAGTACCGGTGGAAAAATTTTGTTCTTCATGCGTGATATATATTATATATTTCTTAAAAGTCGTTGGTTTCACCATTACTATATCAAGGCCCGAGTCAATTTGAATAAATTACTTTTATAAGTACTTTAAAACTAAATTTATAATTTTCAGTTGAACCAAAATGCAGCAGAAGTGATCGCCACCTGGAGATATCTAAAATTATGAATGTTTTGACATTTTCTATTGTAATATCAAAGATACAGTAAATGTATGGTAAATGATTCATTATTTTAGATCTTATGTCAATGAAATAAGGTTTATTTTGCGTTGTTTTATTGTATAATTTATAAAATGTACAATGCGCATGTTTCAATGCAAGTAATAATTTAGAGCATAGACTAAAATTGTACATTTTAATTTTATTTCGTTTGTAATTGTAAAATAAGTTATTAAAAGATTTCTTTTGATGTTTTGTTTTTCAAAGTATTTTTTTTCTTTGTTTTTTATTTTTTAATATCATGGTTACCTTATATAATGTATGTATCCATAATATAATATTTCCTTGTTTGTAAAGGAAAAAGTAATTATTTAGTTTAAGACATGTTGATATAAGTAACGGAGCTATAAAAGGCGCTCTGTCAATAAAAAGTCACCGTTTTTTTTTATAAAATGTACAGTGCGATTAAAAAATGTTATGAAATGAAAAAATATGGTTGAAAAATTTACTCATTTAAATAAAAAAAAATTAACACATTAATCTAAAAGGAATCTTTTTTAACATTCATGTATCTAACGCATTAACATGCTCGCCTTTTTATTTCTGTATATTACATTATTTCAAATTTTTTTACTGGAATAAAATACGGTGACGTCATAAGGCTCATATCACGTGTTACATTTACGTAATTTTACCTCTGATAATATTTGTACAAATTGCATTTTTCATAATTTAAACATATTTAATTATTATAATTTATCTCAATGATATCTAAAAACGGTGAATGCTACCAACAAAATAACATCAAAAGTCTAAAATAGTCAAAATAATTTGATGCAAAGAAAAATTTTGTAGTTTTCGTTTATTATTTGCTTTTTATTTTATTTTCTAGTCATTAACTTTCACATATTGACTGCAAGAAAGCATACGTTATAACCACGTTCACACAATAATTAAATTTACTATTAGTAAACATACTTTTTCTTTTCGTTCACTCTTATGTAAAATATGTAAATATTCCAGTAACTGCCGCACGCATGCCACTAAGGGCGTCCCTCAGTGTAGTCTTAAGCGTATAACTATAACTGTGAGTGCAGTAACTGCTTCTAGATAACATACTCTGATACGATTGTTTCTAGTTCATAGCATTTAGTTTGTTTTTATTCAAAATGCAAACCAAACTAGTAATACATTTACCCATATTTATGTCCGGAAGTATACTTTTGTAGTTCAAGTGTACACGTGACAATGTATTATGCTTGCCTCGGTCTTGTACACAAGGCAACGAAAATTGTTCAAACTCGGCGATTTAAATCTCCAAAACTTACCTATATTGTAAAGGTACAATCGGGGAATCTGTTGGTGGTCCACCTTAAGAGTTAGTTTGAATGTATTGTACATATTGGGATTATGTAAACGCAAATGTATTAGTTTTGAAGATTGTTTCCTTGTGTACGAAAGATCATAATTAAACTAAAAGATAATATACTTTATCTTAGAGATTTAATTTATTTAATTATAAATTAAGTTAAAGATAATTTTGTAAAAGTATTGTAATAGATATCAACTGGTATGTTCATTTGTATTTCTTGCTTTTTTTTATTATAATTCCCGTAACAGCTTATCATGACCTGTTGGAATAACAGATTTTGTCATAAATGACAATTATGTTTTTTCTGTTTTTATAACGTGTTACGTAACGTTGAGGGCCTGTCCCAACAAATTGTAAACTGTCTGATAACAATCCAACGTGTAAAATATGTGGAAATATCGGATTTTGGTCCCTTATCTGACAGTGACGTCCAACGTCTAACAGCCAGTGGTGGAACAGGCCCTTAACTACCAGTTTAAGAACTGATGTTTTTGTTTCCATAGCGCTGTAAAACTGACCGATCTATATACAATGCTCATATCGCTTTAAATTCGATAATTATGTAAAAATAATTAATGTAATTATGTATGTCTGATATTTTACACTTTTGTGGATATTTAAAGATCGATGTAGATCACTTACTATGTACATACATTTCGCAATATTGCGTAATGCTCAATTTATCTAAATGCACCAGCACATTTCGTAAAACTAAATGTATATGTAATTGATTATTTAAAATTGTCTTACAATGTCTTTGAAAGGAGATGCCAATGTTTCAGTGCGTGTATCTGCGGTGGAAACGCATTACTTTATTACTTTATTTTACGTACATTTTACAAAATGACATTGTTTTAACTTCTTGCCTAAGGGCAAAGTTATTTATGAATACGGGTTAAGTATACTATTTTGAAAATACCACGAATACAAACTGAAGAAAATCCTTGTTACAATTCTCACGAAAACTACTGATATGTAAATAATTATAAGGCACATCATTCAGTTGTTTATTGATATTATTTAAGGAATTTAATTGTCACTTTGTGTATCTAAATAAATATTTGATGTATAAATTGCATTTTGAATTATTCCCTCAGTATAGTATCCTTCAGTGAATGTTGATATTTGCTATTGAATTTATGAAAATGTAAATGAAGAATTCATAATCCTATTCCCTATATTGTCGACACAGCATTATGTATGTCTACATCTCTATAAATCGACGTTTAATATTTTTTTTTAATACTTATAGTGATTAATGGGAATATTTGGATGGATGGATGGAGTTTGTAGACTAAACTGCTGTACGGATTTTAATGATATTTGGTTTACAAGTTGACGACAGTCTGGAATAACACATAGGCTACCTACTATCGTTTTTGTTTTTAATTACTCACAGGCGGAATCATGGCCAAAAGTTAGTAATAAATAAAACATAAGAATTAAATATATCATTTATTATTTCAGTTACATGAATCAAATCAGTCATTGCGACAACACGGCGTTACCCAATACATTGAAAATAAATACGCTTTACATCAGCCATGATATGTTCCCAAGGCCGGTTCATTGCATCTGTCGTTGAATTACCAAATATTTTTATATTTAAGCAACATTGTTTTATACTCTCCGAAGCTCATGCGTTACATTTATATGATTTGATGGCAAAGACATGTAATCTGAAAACCGTCGACTTGAACTGCGAAATAATAAAATGGCCATCTTGCAATTGAAGCTAGGTGTCGTGTGCAGAGTGAACCATCAAACTGTGCGATGAGAGCCGACAACCGACATATTTACTCAGCTACAGAACAAATAGAACCATTAAATAATGGGAACATTCATGCTTCAATTGTCGAGCGCTTCAATACAAAGTAGCGGACAAATACTTTACAATATTTAAATAATAACACATAATTCTTCTATAATATAAAATAATAACTATATCTAGACAAATAAAGTCATCTAAATTGTTATATATAAACTATATAAAGAAAATATTTGGTTAATCGCTGCAGATGGCGCCACCGACGTGGGTACGCATCCGGCGGTTTTTCCCAAGGTAATCGAATACTGAAAAAAATATATAATATGGTTAAATGCGGCGAAGCCACGCCTCGGCGCATTTATCATATAGTCAATTGCACCTTAACTAATACTAAAAAATAAATTGGAACAATAAATACTCAAAATATTGCGTAAACAACCACTGTTGACAGTGAGTTATGTAATTAATGCATTGAGAAATGATCGAATGAAAAGAAGACGTTAGGGCAAAGGCAATGTCCCCGCGGCTTCCGTCTGAATCACAACGCTGCGACAGATGCCTGACTAGACATGACATACGCTGTCGGTTTCCGATGCTAAGCTACCATAATGTCGAAAAAAAAAAACAAAAAATAATACATTTTAATACTAATAAATTTGTAAGTAGTTTAAGTACGAGAAGAACGATTCTACGAATAAGCTAGGTAATACGATCTAGAAACAATAAATGCAAGGCTGTGGTCCTCGCGGGGCGAGCCGCCGCGCCCAGCTCTGCCAACAGAACGTACACTACATAGTATAATATTGCAAATGATTTCACTACGCGCCTCGAGGGGGCGCCTCGGTCACTACCTAAGAAGAATACTTGAAGGTTAACGTAGTAACTAGATCTAATCCTAAACAAGTAAAAATACCTAGGAAGGGCGAGTGCCCGCGCTACATGGAACGGTTCAACTAGCCTATGTCCAGGAGACACTAAAAGATAAACGACTACGTCATCCACCGGTTTCACGCAATCTTATCACGGGAAGCTGCAAACATCACATTCGATAACGTAAATAATAATAATTAATAATACCTCGTAACACTTTAATAATCTCTTGTAAATTTTGTCTTATCAATAGAGCGCCGGTCGAGCCCCGCGTGAGCAAACTTTGAGCAAATCGGGACGCGTTTACATTTGTGATGTGACTAATTTCGTTGTGATGCATTTGTCTGTCTGTCTGATTATGTGCATGTCTGTGTGTGTGCACGTGTGTGCAGGCTCGGCCGGCTCTTGGACAAGAAGTGGACGCGCGTGGCGACGCCACAGGACGGCAGAGTGCGTCGAGCCGGCTGCGACCCCCCTGTCCCACCTCTGTGTACTCTACCTTGTACATACCAAATATAAATGGGAAGACCTTCCTTTGATACGAACCATTCAGTTCGACGTTATAGATCGCAGCGACCTCGACGTTACTTTAACAGAACAAAATAATACGGAAATACTACAAATATAACTAGAACAAGATGGACGAAAGTATTCGGCGGAGGGCCACAACAACACAACAAACTAGAGAATAACAACTACAACAGATTACATAGTCTTTTTGCGCACTCAATGGATGGAAATCGACGAATATGTTTTTTTTTTAGATTTTTCATGGACGTACTAGACATTCGTATCGAGTAAATGATTACATAATGTGTATAATCTATGCGAACCTCACAGCGCTCATTAAATATGTAAATAATTAAAAAATAACGTTGCGCGGTTCCGTTGTCCGGTGCGAGGCGGGGCAGCCGCGCGGGGCGTGGCCGCGGGCGGCGGCGCCGAGTGCGTTCGCGTTATAAAATACACCGATACAATTACAAAAATATTCGTTAAAGATTAATTTGGCGTAGTGCAGTAGACGTAGGTACGAGGAAATTCGGTAATATCAAAATATTGTGAAAGGGCGATAGACAAAATAGGGAATGCGATACGTCTCACGTGACCTCTCTACGGAGGGGTGGGTGTGCGGGGGGCGGGGGGTGCGGCGCGCCCGCACTAAACAACAAAGGCCGCGGCGCGCCGCCGCCCGCACCCCGCCATTAAAATCAGTCAACATTCATATAACACCAACTACACAGGGCGGGGCTCCGCGCACTCTCGGCCAAGCGGCACACTGACCACTGGCCACACCCACAAGTCAACTAGTCTCGTAAACAATTCACCTCAAACATCCCCTTAATATTTAATGGGATGTAATAACGATTGCTAAAATGATGAGAAAAATTTATTCTAATTCAGTACAAAAGACAACCATTATGCAATTCCATAATTTATCTAATTTAATTATTGATTACTTATACGTCAGTAAACTACGCGACTACTCTTTTATTAAAGAACAGTGCGTGTGAACATTGCACAAATCGCATCTAATATCTTAAAATGTATACTAAAATTTTTAATGCTCAATTTTTTCTTCTTTTAAAGACAGTTCTTAAGAGAACAGGTTATATTTGATGCTGAGGTGAATTGTATTATAAAGTACACTACATTTATTAGTTATTATGTTGAGTTGTGTAGTGGGCGTGGCTCAGTGTGTTGTGGGCGGGGCGTGCGGTGCGCGCGCGCCGCCGCACAGTTTGACGGTTCACGGCGGGGGGGTAGCGGCGCGGCGCACCATTTTCGCTTTAACACTAGTTAAGTACCGCGGAGCCTCGCTTACATTATTGGTACGATTAATTACAAGTAGTTTTATAAAAGGTATAAATAATTTAGTCTCCTTACAACCACAAATAGAAAAAACGTTGACGAGTCGCTCGCGGGCGGCTCGTCCGAGTCACCGTCACCACAATAACACTAGTACATAACACAACGCATACGATAACACTACTATGTTAACGGTTAAGATGTATTCGACGTCGAAACGTGGCCTGTTGCAATCATATCGTTTCAAATCACATCATTACAACAGTAATAAGTTTTAGCACATAGGTAAAGTTGTGTGGTCAGTTCTGTAGTTCAAGTAATCACTGAGCCTGCCGCGGCCGCTGCGGATGTTGTGGCGGGGGGGGGGAGCGGTGTGGCGAGTAGTGTGGCGTGCGGCGAGCGCGGAGTGCCGGCGAGTCAGGGCGCGCGCGTGGCGTGGCGCAGCAGCGCGCGCACGGCGGCCGCGGCGGCCTTCAGCGCCAGCACGAGCCGCTAGAAGTCCCGCGGCCGCGCGCGCGCCGTACCCGCAGACTTGGGGACGCGTCGCGTGCGCATCTCGCGGTCCACCTGGAAACAATTCATTACAATAGCCTATTTTAGAATTACCTATGCTGAATTGCCCATTATTCTTCCATATGTAGATTGTCCATTAAATAATTAGGTCCTCAATAGTTATATTGGGTGAGTACCTCGAGTTCCTCGAGACGTTGTGTAAGGGTGAGTTTCTGCTGGACGGCGAGGCGCAGCAGCTGGTTGAGGGTCTTCTTCTCGTCCTCTGCGCTGGACAGCGCCTGCGTCAGCTCGTCCACCTGCGTCACGTACTCCTCGCACCGCGCCGCGAACATTGCACGCAAACCTGACGCAACAACACACGTATTTAAGAGGTGACCAAATATGAATAAAAACGCTTTTCAGTTTTTGAACAACCTACAAAATGTAGAATTAATTTAAAAACCAGTTAAAAATTTCGTGGTCCCTAAATTTAGTTACCAGTAATCATGAAGATAACAGAACCGCCCACAGATATGCGAATGGACCACAGGTTATCCATCTGGACCACTCAGGGAAATACCGATTTAAAGTGTGTGTGTGTACAATACATACTTGAGAATGTAGCGGCATCCTCCTTGAGCAGACGGAGCTCGTTGCGCAGCTTGAGCATGGTCTCCGTGACGATGGTCTTCTCCGTCTCGTACTTGGACTTGAGGTTGGCGAGCGCGACCTCGGCCGTGTTCTTGTTGGACTTGAGCACGGTGCGCAGAGTCGCGATCTGCTCGCGCTTCGTCGACAGCAGCGACTTCAGCTTGATCACTTGCTCCTGCAGCTCGCCCACCTCCGCGCCGCGCTCCTCGCACTCCATCACTACACAAGAGACACGATTACTAACTCAACTGACTTACTGCGTTGGCGCAGCGACCCAAAGTGGGTCTTGGCCTCCGATTAACTCGACTTAATAATCTAAAAACAGAGAACTTTACATGCTACCACTTTTTTACTAAATAATTATTCACTTAGTTTAACTATTAAAACATGAAAATATTTATATTTATAAGTGTTTTACTCATTTTAGTCTTCAAAATTATGATGTAACAAAGAATAAATTGGTATGAAATCTTAGAGCATACGCACACCTTTGATTAAATTATCGCACAACTTGTACGATTGTCGATTGTCAATTGTTTCGCAGCCAAATCAACTGTTTAGTTGTATAACTAAAAATCGAGTAGTGTGCACTTCCATATAAGCTCATAGCAATCAAAGCGAGACTAAACAATTCTGCGATAGTTTAGTCAATGGTGTGTGCGCTCTGATTGGTAATAAAATATAAAAGTCGATATATTAGATATCTACAGTACTTATACCAAAACAACCACTACGAGATTATACACTATGTATGTTATTTTATCTTACATGTATATCTTGGGATTAATGGCATCACATAATATATTGCAGAAGCAACATGCAAGTTATGAAACTAGATTTCAACGAGTCTCTTATACTGTTCAATCCATTATCATTGCTTTTATAACCTGAAGATTTTTTAAATTGTAATATATTTCCATATAAAATATTATCTTTCCATATATTCTTGTAAATCTCGTTTTGATCTATTTTATTTATCATGTTATTTTCTTGCGTTTTTCGACAATTTATTGTAAGTTTATTGCAAAATATATTATTACTTTCTGATTGGTAATTAATATTACACCTGTCATTGATTATTTTATTATTATTTAATTTTGTTATATTTTCGAAATACTCTGTTATTTCTTTCACACTTTTTCGTGAGCAATTCGTTTCTTTTTCGACTTTAGATTTTTGTTTGTTCTGAATATATTTAATGGTGGATTGTATGATAATTTCTTGCAGTTTTCTCTTAGCGTCTCCCTTTAATTTGCTGTTGTAATGTTCTTTTTGTAATTTACTGTAATCATCAGACGGAATACTTTGCTTACTGCAACTTGAAGCTACGGAAATAAGTTGATTATACTAAATTTACTTGAGATCTTTACATTAATTTACCTAGAGAGATATTTTAGACCAGTGGATATATTGAATTACATTTACATTGTCCTCAAGTAACTGAATTAGTGGAGTATTATCCCACTAAAAATACACTAAGAGACATCCTTAGTACAATCAAGAGTAATGTACTCAAATTTCACACATTAGTGTACTATTATTATCAATTTCATTACGTTTTGACGTTATGAATATTTGTTAATAATTAATGGTATTATATTAGTAAAATATCTTAGCAGCTCGGAATATCCCATAGACGGTGTTGAGCCGATGAGATATTTGAATAGCAGTGTAGTGTGAGCAGTTACCGGGCTGGTGCCTGAGGCGCGAGTCGAGCGCGGTGTCGAGCGCGGCGCGCAGGTGCGTCAGCTGGTCCAGCAGCGTGTCCGCGCAGCGCGCCACCACGCCCGCCGCGCGCAGCCCCTCCACCTCGCCCGCCGCCAGCGCCAGCGCCTCCTCCTCCACGCTGCGCCCCTCCGCACCGACACCTGCAACACATACATACAAACTAATACAATATTCCATACCAAAACATTTGGATTTGAAAACAGAGTACAGTCGGCTGCATATATATTTACACTTAAGAAGTAGTCAGTTACAAAAATATATTGCACTTATCTTATATGTATATAGGGTCAAAAGTATACGGATGAATAAGTTTAAGCAAATTTTAAAAACCAAAGCTTTGTAAATGTATAAGTCGCAATCGAAAGAAGGATCTATTTGTAGTTAAGTCATAATTAGGACACAAGCGGCCACCAAGAGACGTTTTAGAGAACTTCATTCATTCTGACACTAAAGATAGAGTTGCGAGATTATTATGAACTTTTTAAATTGATGATAACCTGATTGAGAAGTATTGCGAGTATATTACTTAAAGTGGACGTTACCCATGACCGGCCACATATGATCTCAAGTAATAGTAATTTTGACATCATTCTAGTTCAGGTCGATATATAGATATTATTGTAGCTGACTGTACCAAAGTTGTTGAATAACTACAGTATGTAACATGCGTGTTGTACGCACCGTCCTGGTGTCCGGCGTGCTCCAGCAGCAGGCGCTCGGGCTGCGTGCCGTTGACCGCGCACACGTGGTGGTACAGCTGCGCCAGCGTCTCCGCCGCTGACGTCAGCGCCGGCGCAGCGCTCGCCAGCGCACGGCCAGCACCTGCAAAGTACACGTTACTTTTTTGTTTATTTATTACCAAATTACAGAATCTGTTAGTAGAATTAATTGTGATGTTTTTATTAATACCAGAAAAAAATGTACGTATTATATTAGATAATCCAAAAAAACATTGATGACATGGATAGGATCGAAGCCATATTCAAGATTAAAGTCCTGTTCGGGACAACTGCGGTACTGGCGCTCTTTTATTAATAGTCATCTAAATGTTTAGATATTGATTATTAATTTATAAACTATTGCTTGAGACTTCATCCGCGAAATTAAGAATTAAAAAAGTTATTAGTTCGTATCGTAGTTCTTCATTGATGATAGATTTTTATGAAATAAAAAAAATCAGTAGTTTTTGAGTTATTTCAATGCCTAAAAAATACATATCTTTCCTGTTTATAATAATAAGTATAGATGTTTGGGGTTGTTGCGACATACCTCCGGCAAGTGTACGGAGCAAGTCTGCATCCGCCTCCAGCGCGGCGCAGCGCAGCTCGGCCTCCGCGACGCGGTCGCTGAGCTGCGCGAGCGCCTGCCGCTGCTGCGCGGCGGGGGAGCCGGGAGCGGCGCTGGCGGCGCTCAGCTCGGCCAGCGCGCCCGCCAGTGCACTCAGCTCGCCGCCAGACACGCGCCACCACGTCAGCCACCGCGCCGCACGAGCAGGCACGCCGCCGGACGTCTTCTCCTCTTTCTCTTCCTAACATTTGTTAAACATTTTAATACAAAATTACACTATATACCCTTAGTTAAGATATAATATAAATCTACATTAAGATAATGTTAAAATAATATTTAAAGTACTTCAAACGCGACGGTTTGTTAATTTCACAAGAGATTTCCCAGTCTAAGTTCAGGTTGTAAAACACTGAAAAACTATTGTTTTATTGTAGAAAAGGACAAACGAGCAGCGGATCGCGTAATGATAATTGATCCAACCCCATCCAGCCCATAGACCGCCAGAAAAACCGCAGATTTCGACCTTTCAAGGAGTAGTACGCTCCTCCTGAAGGCCTCTAAGTCGTAACTATTAGGACAGAGTATTGTAAGGAGTGTGTACTGACGGCGGGCGCGCAGTCCGCGTGCAGTGCGTTGAGCGCGGAGACGCGCGAGGCGACGCGCACGAGGCCGGTGCGCAGCGCGCCCGCCGCCGCGCCCTCGCTCTCCGCCGCCGTCTGCGCCGCGCGCATCGACGCCGTCAGCTGGCTCTGCAATACCCACACAAGTATATTGTACTGCTTGAGTAGCAACTAATGTAATTTAATTGATATGAAAATCGAAGTATTTCTAATAAAACTGGTTATAAAACATTTCCTACGTTAACAAATCTTACATTTTCATTGTGCGCTTGTTCGAGCTGTTTCTCGAGACGTGATATCTCGTGCAGATGCACCTCGGAGAAGAGGTCCGCGTGGTGGTCGCCCATCGCGGTGGCCAGCTCCGCGGACGAGGAGCCGCCCGGCTCGCCCTCCTCCTCCGCACTGTCGTCTGGCATACCTAAACGTTGACATTGCTATTTAGTTTATACAAGAAACTGATCTGTATTTTACTGTTATTCCGATAGTATGAATTTTTCCATCGAATCTTTAATTTGAAGTTAAAGTCCTTTCGAAACTTAACCCTTCAATTCATGATGATTCATTTATACATCAGCCTTACGCAATAGACTATTTTCAATAATCATTTTTCTTCTTTCCTTTTCCTTAATCTATATTCAATTTACTAGCCGCTTCAATTTATGGTATTTAAAGCGAAAAACGTGCTTTTAACGGTTAAGAGGTTAAGACATATGTGGGTACGAGATAAGTATAATAAAAAGGACCACTCTTATAAGCCCTACCAATATTTTTGTTGTTACACCTCAGGAATATGAGTACCGCCTGTAGGAATTTTTTTACTGACCTCGTATACTGTATGCGAGATTTGTGATGTTGTAAGCTGCCTCTCTGCTGAGGTGAGCGTCGAGTTCTTTTTTGGCAGCGAACTTGGCCTCGCGCTCTGCCTGCAGCGCTTCCAGCGCCTCCGCCAGCTGGCGCTCCGCGATTCGCCGCAGCGCCGCCGTCTCCTCGGCCATCGCGCGCGCGTTCTCCGCCTCCTCGCGCAACTGACGCACCTCATGCTTCAGACCTTCGAATTCTACCTGAAAATGTTACATGTATGTTACAGTAAACCTGTATGTTACAGAAAATAAAAATAATCTTGTCTATCAGACATCTCATCATCTCAGACAACGACTTGACCAATTTTTAGTACCTTTGCACTCTGGAAGATAAGTGAAGTGTTTCATTTTATTTAATAAAGTACGTCTATATATATTCAAATATTTTGAATTACCTGTTATACTAAGTAAGCTTTCTGTATGCACGTACCTGTGAGGACCTGAGCGCGGAGACCTGCTTCTGCAGCGAGATGTTCTCATCTTCTAGATCCGCGATGTCCAGCAGCTGCCGCTGCTCCCGCTGGCGCGCCTCACGCAGCTCCGCCCGCAGCGCCGCGCGCTCCGCCTCGCGCGTCGTCTTGTCCGCGCCCAGCTCACAGCTCTCTGTCAGCAGCCGGTCCCTCTCTGACACCACGCGCTCCAGCTCGTGACGTAACTGAACACCAAATTAAATATAGATTAAATAAGTAAACATTTATTGTTTCATTGCTTAAACTAGTTGTTGCTCGCGACTTCAACCGCGAAAATTAAAAAAAATATATATAAAAATATGCCAACGTTACTCACTGGTAAAGTATGGTAATGGTGTAAGAATTTTGAAAATCGAACAGAGTTTTTTTAATACATACATAAATCCAAAAATACAAATCTTTCCTCTTTATAATATTAGTATAGAAGTAGTTTTATACAACCCAGATAATGTTGACTGACACTTAAGTAAAAACTTACATAATAAATCTTTAACATAAGAGATGCTTCACTTTTATCATAAAGTTGATTCAAAACGTCGAAAATAGGTCAAAGTAGTTGAGGTCTTATAAAAAAAATCTTGCGTAATAAATATGTATACATTTTGCTTGAATTTTTCAACATCGTCGGTCGCTGTATAATTCATTCCGATGCATTATAACTAGTGACCTATTTTCTGTAAAAATCCACAGAGAGCCGTGGCGGGAACGCTTTTAATTAATATAAGATAGTCCAATGCTTCTGGAAAATATTTCATTCAATTTGTTTCTTTTTGCAGGCGATAGCACCGCTGTTGAACCGAGGGCTCTTTTCAAATATTCAGTTTATTTCAATAATATTTTTAGCTTGAAATTACTTTTATAATATTCGCTACAGGCGCCCAGTTCTGATAATTAAAATATTACTGATACACAGCTTAACTGAAAAGTTCGACTCAGTCAAAACTGTCCGAAGTGAACGGCTGTAGCGGGCATTAGGGTCACAACTTTGTTAAAGCGCTAAATTTCGTTTAAAATCGAGTTTTCCTTTTGTGAGTTAAAATTAGTATGTGTAATTTGTATTAAGCGAATTAAGAACGTATAGATTTAAATAGTTAAAAAATAACTCAAGGTTCAACATGCTTGTAGCGTGCATCGTAGTAAATATCTGATAACAAATATGCTACGGCTCGTGTTTAGTCAGTCAAATTTCACAATAATTATAACGCATTTTTTTAAATTACTAATACTCATACATTTTCTATTGACTTTCAGATAGTGTGTACATCACTATTTCGTAAAATATTGCTTTAAGTGGACGAGTAATTTTCTAATATAAATATTGCCATCTCAACGGATGTCTTCGATCGATCGAATAGGAAATAGCTTACTTCCTACTTAAAGTCCGTAAACGTCGGCATAATCTTTGAAGTTACGGATGTTTACAATCAGCTTAAGTTAATCAATTTAAGTTATTTCTTGTTTGAATTTTGATAAATAACTGTGCAGTTTCGCTTATCGTATAAAATAATTGTTAATTTTGTATCCTTGCTCGTAAATCATATAAGTAATGTAATTCCAACTTGATTCCCAAAAGAACTTACTTCTTCAGGTTATGAGTATTCATGTTAAGCCGCACTTGATACTTTGACCCCACTGACAATATACAAATTGTAAGATTAGTCATTCATTGAGTTCAATCTGTTCATTCTTAAATTGAATGATTGCTTTGGTATAAAAGTTCTATGGGATGAAGGGAAGTCGTCAAATGCAAGAATGAGATGCCAAAATTTTAATACGAAGCATAAATGATTGAATGTTGACTACAAATGGAAAGGACCTTCTCTAAATGAAATAAAAAATCAACCATTTTGTTAGCTTACCAGTGTTATTGAAAAAAATAACATGATTTACAACTAATATTCATATGAAGCATCAGCAAAACAAGTCCATAGCTACGACTATCAAATATCAATAGTCTGTTCGATATATGCGAACGCTCCCTGCTGGTATAGAGTATGATTGGTTCATTGGATTGACGCTGGAAGTGGCACTTAGTTGATTAGGCTGGAAACTCGGAATTAGCCGTATGGGGTGTGGCGCAGCGGACGCCCAAGCTACTTCGTAAATTACATGCAACGTCTGAATTACAATATTATACGTCTAGTTTGTAAAATAAAATCAAATGTAACTTACGTTTTGAAACTCACGAGTGGTTTTTGAAGATTTTAAAATATTAAAAATACCAAACTAGGATTCCGAAATTACTGACACGAAAACTAAATGACAAAAAGTGTTAAATACATTTTAAACTACATGTTTTTTCTTCAAACTGTTAAGTGTTTGCAGCAAGGGTGGTTCGCCAAGAAAATGTAGAAAAAAGGTTCTTCATACGTTGCACAAAACAAAATCAGCGTTCATTAAACGCAGCGTAAATTGATGCATATATTTTAACAAGACAGTAGACGAGTTCAGAACAATATGACAGGGGCTCGTCAGTTTCATGAAATAAGCAATTTAAATTCAGGGATAACTCCCTGGAGAGGGATTGTCTGCTCCATAACGAAGCAAGGGAACAGTATACAATGTACATTGCATACGGTATGTGGTTACAGTGTACATAAATTATTTAACATTATGAACTTTACTTGATACATGTTATAGCATCTTGTCTCAATTTGGAATAGAGAAACTATGAGATCACAGTCTGCCTTTATCATCTTATTATCTACTGTCTTAAAATCACTAGTTCTTTGTGCGATTAATTCATCATTGAAATTCAATACACTGTTCAGTCTGTATATTGTTAAATACCATCGAATGCATTCGAATTCAACGCATCGTGGTTAGACTTCTCATAAGATCGACCGACGATCTGGTCAATGTTTCTGGATTATCCTGGCTCTTGGCAGCACTGGACCAATAATTGTGGCGATGTTCTGGAGAAGTCTATACCCAGTAATGGCAGTCAACTGGCTGAGATGAATGGATCCACAGATTGTAAGCGAAATTAACTTCTTAAATATAGCACCTATATTCGGAACTTTTAAAAGACTATTTCAATTTAAATGATTAATTAGATTTATGAACACTGTAAGTGCATGTCAAGGCGAAACACGTCATGTTGCCTATGCACAATATCTACAATCTTCTCAGAGCAAAGATAAAACTCTACGAGATAACCCTAGCCTATGAATTACAAACTAACGAGTAATTAAAAAACTTCTTTTATAACAACATCATAGATGGAATCAAACCTAAGACATGAGTAAAAATTTTATTGTTAAAACTAAATTTTCTAAGACAGAAAACGTTCTTAAAGTTAAGTAAAAAGGTTTTTATATTTAAAAAAAAATCGCGGGGTAAATCAAGTAAGCAACCAATGTTAGTAATTGGTGATAATAATATTGACCTGGCAACCTTGCATTTATGAGAACACTCCTACTAAACGACGAGCCATTAGCTAACATTATCGCCCACCTACCTGACGGTTAACTTATTCAACAATATAAAATATTATAATATGATATTACTCCTATAAACGGAAAACGAAGGAAACCATCCCGTTGGCGTCGCGCCAGCGAACAAACATCAACAATGTTCCATTATCTACGTAAACACTACATCGAACCTGAAACATGAGCTAACTCTACTGAGTTCAGGTTATCGCTAATGCACGACAGGCCACGGACACATCGCCCTCGTGCCGACTGTAAATATACATGAAGCATTTACCTCACCACCTTCGTCCATTTTCAATGAACGTTCTCACCATACCACTGATGCACTTGTTAAATATTTCCCCCACTCAAACTTGGCACAAACACTGAATATTTCGCATTATCGATGGGTACAGTCGCGCGGCGGCAGGGTGCATCGATGTAATCCTTACGCTCTCACGCCGCGTGCGAATCAAGGCCGGCCAAATAAAAATGTATTTCTGGATCAGTGTTATGGATTAACGGGCGCTGCGCTTACGCCATTCGCGGCATTACATCACGGACGCTGTGGCCGCTATTGGCCGCGGCGAGTGCGACTCGTCGATTAGTTGGAGCACGATGACTAACGGGCGGTGGAGTGGTGGAGCGGTGGTGCGGCCGGGAGCGGCCGAGGGTCCGCCGGTGATTCACAGCAATCGCTCTCGTTCCATTAAACGACGGCATAATTCAGTTACATGTGTCTGGGCAAACGGACTGTAATGAGATCATGACGTGTTCTGGAGGCGCCTTGGACTGGCGCTTCGCACACTGTGCGACGGTGGCGTACGTAAGCGCCTATTGTATCGGCGGACTTAACCCTGACACTGCGACGTATATTATAAAACGCTCCCAGCATTTTTAAATGACAATGTTTCTATAGTTATATTTATAGTTTAGCCTTTTAAGTAATCATCAATCGATCAACAACATTCATTATAATTCTTAAAAAGAATGAAAAATCGAAAAAGAACACATCTTCAGAAACAAGAGACAGAGATAAGCCAGAATAACATGGGAACTGAAAAGTTCAAAATATAAAAATGTTGTGCAAACATGTCACCATGGTCCCAAAATTTAAACTAAATAAATAATTTAAGTATTCATTAATAATAGGAATTTAATAATTATGTAAATTCGAATCCATTGAAAAAAAAGAAGGTACTTGTCAAAGTACAAATAATATCAATTGATTAGTTGCTATATCAAACTTTATAGCTGAGTATCTTGCTATTTATCATATTCATGTAATATTTTAACTGTAAAATATAACAATATGAATAAACGTATCACTCTATTTATGCAAAAATTAACAATTACATTAAAAAAAAAAAGAAATCACTACAAAAATATAATTATAGTGCAGATTATAGGCATTTACTATTTTAAATTATTTAAACTTTGGTGAGACATTTTACAATTAATTATTTACTATTTTTGTAATATTATTTGTTTACTTTTCAAAAACCCTTTATTTTAAATTAAATATGGACCATAGTAGCTATGTAAGTGTTAAAGTAAATATATATAATAATTTTCATAAGTATGCAAAACATTTTTGCCTTGTGATAATTACTTTTGTTTACTACTGAATGGGGTTACAACTTGAAGAAACTGTATGGTAATATTAATAGATTATGGAGTCATAATAATTAAATTAAAACCACGCCCTAGCTACCCCTAATTAGGTAGACTACCAGCTCAGTAATGACACACACAAGCCATAGATAAAGCAATGATAATGAGGATCATATAAACTATGAGCTGTTGCCAGCAACTTCGTCCGCGTGGTATTAGAAAACATTCGAACTATCTATGTAAATTACATAAAGCTACGTATCCTTCGGGAACCGGACATTTCTCGGGAATGAAGCTTATCCCATGTGTACTCCAGACTTTGTTTTGTATATGTGTCAAATTTCAATTAAATATGTTGAACCGTTGCAGAATTATCGAGTAAACATTAAAAAACTAAATTAATGAATCCCACGGGAACCGTAACTATTCCGGGAATAAAAAGTAGCCTATGTGTTCTTCCAGACTAAGTTCTAAACCTGTGCCAAATTTCATGGAGATCCGTTCAGCCGTTTAGGCTACAAACGCTAACAAACATCCATCCATCCATAATATTAGTACGAAGTAAGAATTGTAATACAGTAGAATCTCAATAACTTAAAAACCCTCTAACTTCAAAAAATAAAATGTTCCCTTCCCATCCGAGCCCAAAACCTCTACAACATAGACCCTTGATAACTTAAAAACTCTATAACTTAAAATATTTTGTGTTTCCCTTGGACTTTAACTTATTGCAGTTCTACTGTATCTACAATTTTAAACATTTTTTAGAGAATTTGGAGCAAGAATTTTGACAAAGAAGTTGAACATAATTACAAACTGACTGGAATTACAAACTTTAAAAATTCTTTCACCACTTTTTTTTAATAAGTTAAAAATAAAATTGGAAGAGCGAGCAAGAGTTTATGCAGACAATTTATGCTATTATTTATAAAGACAAAAGATTCTTATTTCTGTATGTTTTGAATAAACTTAAAAAATTATTTGACAGATTTCAAATATTCTTTTGCCGTTTTAAAGCTTCATAATCTATTACTTGAATTTTTAATTCTTAGCAGACATTGAACGGTAGTAAAAAATATGCAGAATTTATGTTAATTGATAGTCCTCAAATCATATCATAATGAATAAGAACAAAATGTTCTATAAAATATACAAACCCTTGTTATTAATTTTACATTCTTATTAGAAATACAGGTAATAATGAATTGTTTTTAGGCTGCTTTGAAACTAGATATAAACCAGGACTTACTTGTTTTGATTCTCCTTCCAGTTCAATGATTTGTAATGTGAGAGAGCTTTCCATGGCAGCCGATTCATTGAGGAGTGCATTTTCCTGTTCAATACCACTCTGTGTGGTCACTTTCTGTGTCGTATCGAGTTTCATCAAAGCCTATTAAACAAATATATTAAATTTTAACATACAGACTACCATACAAGTGTGTTGTATGTAAATTTGTCACATCGTTGACTCAAATATGTATACTATAAATCGGATTATAACAGAAATAATTATATTTGATTAGACCATAATTCAACTAGCGTAATGAATCATTTGAATAAATTACTGGTGACATTTACATTTCAAATTAAATATAGTAAAACTGGATTTCACTCATAATTTTTATAAGTAGTTCAGTGCTCACATATTAGAATGTTTTTTTTTTGAGTTACCGTTTGGTTTAGCTTAATGTGAATCCAGTAATGCATGAAAAGTGAAAATAAGGCGGTATGTAGGACATCTAACCTCTTGTGTGATCTCAAGTTCGTGTTTCGTGTTCTCGTAGAGGCTTTCCAAATCGTTACATCTTTGCTGCAGCGCACTCTTCTCCTCCAACAGTACCAGACCTAACTGAGCTGATTGTATCTTCTCGCTGCTGGCCTGGTCCAGTTCCCGACTTAGTCTCTCAATCTCCACCTTCAAGTCCACGATCGAAAGTTCGTTATGTGCCGTGGCTGCCATCGTGTGACAGTTAGACGGCTAATTGTCTAAAACTTCATATACAAAGTAAATAATCTTAGAAAAACAACTTTAAAACGTGTAAAATCAATGTTTCTACATTCTCCTAACAAAAAGTATAACGTATTGACAGTTCGTTCAATGGCCTCTTTTTTTTTAATTGCTGTCAGTGTCAGAATGTCAGACTTAATTTCAGTCATCGGTGTTGCAAGCCTAGAATATATTTCATCCAGTCTTTTCAATATTTCTCATCATCACCAGCTCACTATACGTCCCCACCGAGGGGTTCGGAGCCTACCCTAAGTTAGAGTAACCATATTTTTTTTTTTGTAATATAAGGTGGCAAACGAGCAAGCGGCCACCTGAAAACGCCAAAATGGCGAAGTGACCGCTGCCCATAGACATCCGCAATTGCGGATGCGTTGCCTACCCTCATCCGACGGAGGAGGAGACGCACATAAAGAGGATATTTCCCCTTCCTATGCATCTCCTCCACTGTCAAATCCCCTTCCTCTTTCCAACCTCTCCTTATAAGAAAAGGGTGGTAAAGAGAGAGGGACTTAAATTAGGCCCCTGGCACCACACTCATTAGACGAAACACGGAATTGTTTCCATTTCACGCCTGTCTTCTGTGTGTTCGTGGTATTACACCGGGCGTGCCGGCCTATTCGTGCTAAGATGTTAAAGCGGGCACTACCACTGTTAAGCGGGCACTACCACTGTTAAGTATAGTTCATACCATAGTTCATAGTCAACCACGCTGGCGCAGTGCGGGTTGCTTGACTTCACATATATATTTGAATTTCTTCGCCGATATGTGCAGGTTACATCACGATGTTTTCTTTCGCCGTAAGAGCACCGGATAAATTATGTACATATGAAAATTCGAAAAATAGCAATCACATTGGTACATGGCGGGATTCGTACCCAAAACCTGTAGATTACAAGTCAGTGTTTAAACCACCAACGCGCACCACTGAGTCTTCGACGCTCAATATTCCTTCTATTTATTATAATTCAAGTACATTTGGGTTCAACCTCGTCCGGCTCAGAGGACCAAAACGTATATTCGGTATTGACCCCGATTGAAATTGAGCCCGAATATACCACTTAATGCATATAGGGTGAACGGGCAATGATCAACGGTACACCGCCAACGTGGGACACGGGGAAATAAAACTAACTACTTATGCTGGTTCAAGAAACACTGGTTTATTAGTGTGGGGAGGTATCATTTTATATTTCGTCTTAACTGTTAATTGTGGTGGTTAAAAAATATTTAATAGGGGCGATGGGAAACAAACAGGATCATTAATTTTCTGCAGCCTTATATTTCTTAAATGTTACAAGTTAAACGTGGATTTGTAACAGATCTAATTCAATTTTTTTTTAAAGAATTCGGGTTAATTAATATAAATGAAATAACGAAAAGTTTTTAGATGATTTAATTTTTTAATCTTTATAAAAGAATCCGCAGAAAGTCTCGCAAGCAACGAGCGTTTCGGGTCTGGCAGATCGAATCAATTATTTCCCATTGGGCCGATTAATCAGTTGACCGATCAGCCTAACCCGAAACATCCAATGCGACATGAGAAGACACTGCTAGTTTTATATCGATAGGATCAATACTGTAGGAACAGACATAGGTCAAACAAACTTTTTTTTTCACAATGCATTTATTGATGACATGTTTTTTTTATTTGATTAATATCTCCTCAATGTATTCTGAAATGGGAAAATTGGTTATGTGTCTTAGCTTTACTAGCACCGGAAAGTTTAGTGACGGTTTTTGGTTAATAGTTAACATAAATACTAATCACAACTTTAATTGACCCCTAAAATGCAACCAACGAGTTCCTAGTGTTATTATATCAATAATAAAGATTGATAGTCTTAACTGCGAGTGTTTGCCGATGACATCACTAAAAGCGGGCGACACCTTTGACTAAACTATCGCAGAATCGTTATGCGATTGTCGTTTGTTTCGAAGCCAATCCAACAGTTTAGTTGCACAACTAAAAAACGAGTAGTGTGCGCTCTTTCATAAGGCAATCAAAGCGAGACTAAACAGTTGTGCGATAGTTATGAAAAAGCGACCGCGTCAGTTTCTCAATAGCGTTTTTTAACATTTCACGTCGTGAGGCCATCAGCAAACTGCGCACTAGTAATATTCTACACTATACTAAAGAATATGAAGGAAACATCGCAAACATAATTCAAAACTAACAGTATTCTGATAAAATGCCTAATTCTGCATTAATCGAAAATACTTTAATTTGGAATGTATATATATAACATACTAGTTATTACAATGAAACACATTTTACCGTGATTTTACTGCTCAAATACGCAAACAATAATGTATTGTTGTCTCTTTTTTTTTTTCAAAGTTAATAAGCGGAATAACAATATGTCTGTGTTCGACTGAAGAACTCCACATATATGAAGTACAAATTACTAATTGAAAACATACCAATAAAACACATAGGTACAAATACATTTCACTAAAAATTATTAATAATTTAATTAAAATAATTAAAAACTGTGATTTCTTATTTCTATGTTACTTTAAAATTAATTTCACATATTATTGCTTACATACTCACTTATAAATTAAATGTTAGTATAACATGTGTATAGTTGATATGGACACAGTTTTAGTACTTTACTCTCCTCATACTATGCGACCAGAATAACATGATACTCTAGTAAATGAGAAAATAGTTGCCTTTTCAAATATTTAATAAATTGTTGTGTTTAAAAATGGCGTATATAAGTTATTAATCAATAACATAAAATTACATTGAGAGTAAAGTATTAAATTATATTAATTTGTACTAAAAATATCCTAAAGTTAACATTTGCTAATGTAACGTATATTTCTAACTATGGCTCGATTATGAAAAACAGCGTCTTTATAATGTACTAAAGAAAAAAATGTATAATTTAAATATTAAGTCAAAAAAAAACAAAATTGGCACCAAAATGGCGAAATACCAGTAAATTAAAGTTCGGTGAGTAATACTTAATAAAATATGAGATTATTACTTGAGCAATACAAAATAAAACCTTAATAAGGCGATGAGCAAAATCTAATTGTTATACGAAAAATATAATGAAAATGGTTAATTAATTGAATTATAATGAAATAAATAATCAATTAGAAAATGATTAAAATTTATAAATAAAACGTTTCAATATAATTAAAGTGATTTTCCTATGAATTGTACTAAATTAATGTTCATATTAAATTTTTTATTACCTATTCTACCACAAATATTTAAATTCATCATAAACAGTAAGTATAGTTTTGATTAAATCCATTAAAAACAACATAATTTACATTAAAAAATGATTAATTTTAATAAATTATATGACATATGTTAAGCAATAATAAAGTATACACAAAATGTGTCAAAACATTTGCAAAATATTGGTTTTAAATGTCCCTATAGAACTTTCTCTGTGCTATATGTAAGTAAATTACATATAAAATATCTAATGACATTTAAAAATAAATAAGACTGCACAGATTCTATAAGAAAACACTAATTAGTAAAGACTAGAAAAAGTTAATGCAGTGAAGGAAAGTTTTTGTGAGCGAGGTTAAATTGAGACCTTTGCGCACCATGGAAATATTAACTAAAATACAAATCGAGACTATTAGTATACAAACATACACAAAATACTTAAAAATTTCTAATACTAATTGTTAATCAAAAGATTAAAATATGTCCAGTTAAATTGTGTACTAAACATAATATTTTCACATTACTATTAATTATTTTAAACAGTTTCAATCTAAAATTCTACTATTTATATGATATACAATTACATTAATCACTCTATTATTTTTTAAATTAAGATTTACATTATCTATGACCAACGAATATAACAGGGCTGTCACTGTCAAACTGTTGACAGATGTCAGAGAAAAAAAAACATCATCTACGTTTTCAGTTAAGTTACAAATATCTTCGTTAATAAAGTCAAACAGCCTTACAAATAAATGCGATATAAAGTTAAAGTTAAAGGGAGAAACTGACTATAAGCAAACATTAGAACAAAGTTTGTTTTTTTTTCTTTTTTACTAGACTATCACGTTATTCTGAGTGTAAGCAAATATTAGTACAAAGTTTGCTTATACTCAGTTTATTTCAAGTTTAAAGTTATACCGCGTTTATTTGTAAGGCTGCAAAAGTGTAAAGGTTGTATAAAGTTATGGTGGTGTCTGTGATATGTGAGGGAGTGGGGGTGGGGGTGGTCTACATGAGGCGGCAGTTGGCGGGCGCGGGCGGCGCGGGCCCGCACTCTGCGGACACGCTGGGGGACTCCTTGCGGACGGATTGCTTCGACACCTCCTGCGCCTTCTGCGGCGGAGGCAGTATGGCTTCTTGAGTTGTTTGCTGGAAATATGAAACAATCTTATTTAAAAAATGTTATATAGATGCGAACGTTTAGATGATTGGATGTTTATTAGAGTTTGTAGCCTAAATGGCTGTACGAATCTCGATGAAATGTGGTATCTTTTAATTTCGCGCGGACGGAGTCTCTGGCGTAAGCTAGCTAGCTAACATATAATATTCTGGAAATATCTGTAGTACATGCACCTAGAAGAAATATGTAAAACATTTTACCTGAGATTTTAATTCCAAATTTAATGAGCCAGTACTGGGTGTTCGTACTCGGTTTTTGACCATCGAAACTCTTCGTTCGCGCGCGTTGATGATGGATGTCAGGAATGGCACTTGGTTGTTGATCGCCATCATGAACGGCTTGTAGCCAAGACTGGAAAAATAAATAATTTATGACCATGACAACCAGACTGAATCACACCAATTATTTCTGCAAATTCATAAAAGTGTATTAAACATAATATTAAAGTTTCTTTGCCACAAACTAAAGTAATATATTTTTTTTATCGTTGGAGTTCTATATAGGATGAAGATTATATCACAATATATATTTACCACTCGGCGTCGCTCCAGGCGCAGAGGTCTATGATGGCAGTGCGCAGCCTGCGTACGGCAGCGGCACTGACGTCATGCGCGCGCGCCGCGTTGGCAGTACGCAGCACGGCGAGCGCGTCCTTCAGCGCCACCGCCACCACTAGTGCCCACTCCACGCACGACGCCTCCGTCATCAGTTGCAAGAAGTATCTGAAACCAGGATAATTCAACAATGTCTAAATTTTAAATCGTGCTTTTTAGGCAAGGTATCCGTGAAGGGATTTTGTTCACTATGTCTCGTCTATATATTATTTAAATGTCTTTGTAAGGTATGTACATATAAGAAGTAGGTGTCTGTCACCAACAAATTTGTCTTTTATAGGTCATTGCATATTGTATATTTTTCTTATGATAATAAATAAAAAACACACCGTAGCCGCACGTGCGCGGTGTGGTCGCCGCGCTCCGCCTGGTGCACATGCAGGCGCTCCATGAGGGCCGCGTAGCGCCGCTCCTCCCCGCCCGCGCTCTCGCTGGCCCCGCCCCACGCCACCGCCCCGCCCTCCGCCACGCTGCACTCGCCCGCTGAACTGTACCATCATATTATTGTTATACAGACCTAGTACATAAATAAATTGTGTTTAAAATACTGTATATTACCTGACGGGCCCGGGTGAGATAGGTGCGCCGAGCGCGATGGGCAAAGCCGCACGAAGTGATAGACTCATATAGCCGCTATCTCCGCACAGACTGTCCGTTTCCGCTGACGGCGTGTTTGGACCTACAGGAAAACTTCATGATTAAATATATTGCAAGCCTTATGACAAAGAAAGAGATACATCTTGGAATTTCAATGATTCTTTTACAATTCAATAAGGAATTACAAATCGGTCTTTTCAATATTTCAAAAAAAAAACTGACAGGGTACGACGCTGGCCTTGCGCTGTATGTAGTGCTCGTCGCCCTGCTGCAGCACGGGGTAGGGCCAGTTGAAGTCGTCGTGCAGCCGCTTGAGGCAGAGCACGGCGCTGTCGACGCGCGCGGCGCGCTCGCGCTCACCGGCCAGCCAGGCCACCAGGTGCAAGTCGAGCGCTGCCGCCAGCCGGCCCAGCGCCACCAGCCGCGCCGTCGACAGCAGCAGCCGCGCGTGCCGCTGGATCATCATGTCGATGAAGAACTCCTCCGCAGTACCGCTATACGATTCCCTGTTGCATTTTAACATCAATGTATCAAATCGTGAAACAATACTTTAGTACAGTACAGTCCACCACCACCCGTGGCTCCACTGACCCACGACTCGAGCCAAAAGTTTGAGCGTCTTTGGCTCCGCATGAAAATTGACTCCCTACAAGTTATTTGGTCCATTCCTTTATGTTGTATTCACTGTCCCACTAATGGACGACACAAAATAATACTTATGAACATTTCAATCTGAAACGTACAAGTATAACGTACCTGTCAGCGCGTGCTGGTACTGACTTCTTCCGTTTGACGGCGGCGGTGCGGCGCGCGGGCGGGGGCGCGGGCGCGGCCGCTGGTGGGGACGGCTCGCGTGGGGCTGCTGTCGTACTGAAACTGCGTCCTCTGCCGCCTGCCAGCTACCGGAAATAAAAAGCAATAATGTACAATGTAGGTAGTGAAATAATTATAAAAAAGATAGAATAAAGTAGTTACAGTTAGATACCTGCATAGTGCCAAGTATAACAGAGAGGTCCTCCGCATTGGGCACGGTCTGCGGCTGCACGATCTGTCCGTACTTGGCCTGCACGTTCACTGAGTTGCGCGGCGAGTCTACGTCGTTTGGATCTAGTAACAGTAAATGTTAATATACATCTATAGTTTTAAAATAAACGGAAAGAAAACGCATTTAGAAGTATGTTACCTTACTAATATTATAAATGCGAAAATTTAGATGGATGGATGGATGTTTATTAGATTTTGTAGCCTAAACTGCTGAACGGATCTCGACCAAATGTGGCACAATGTACATGATAGTCTGGAAGAACACATAGGCATACTTTCTTTCATTTTTTCAATTCCACGCCGACGGAGCTGCGGGCGAAAACTAGTGTTGTTATAAAATACATGTCAAATTTCTTTGTATTATTATCCCTTCAATTACAACTACTGTTATATGATTGGTCATTAGTAAGAAGAGACGAATTTAATCATTGCAAGGAGCAAGGTACTCTGTAAGTGTAACACAGCAGATTTGCGCGACTTTACCTATAGCTCTGAGGAATCTGACGAGGTCCCTGGCGAGGTCCCAGCGCTCGTGCTGCAGCGCCGTGTCCAGCAGCTGCGTGGCGAGCTGCCGGCTCACAGCTGAACTCTCCAGGTTCTGGAAACATTTACTGTTAATAACATGACTGAAATATATATAAACATATAAAGCTTTAAACAGTCGTGGTTTTAACAAATATAATGTTAGCCCGTGAATATGGCGCATGCAACTATGCCGAAATATCGGGAGATAAAACAACCCAATCGTGGTAAGAAACCCTTATATTACGAAAATTATACACATAAACATATCTAGTTTTATGCAACAATTTTACAGTGGTAGAGCCCGCTTTAACATCTTTGCACGAATGGGCCGGCTCGCCCGGTGTAATACCACGACCACACAGAAAACAGGCGTGAAGTGGAAGCAACTCCGCGTTTCGTCTGGTAAGTATGGTGCCGGAGGCCTAATTTTAGTCCCTTTTCCTTTCCACCCTTTTCTTAAGAGGAAAGGATGGGAGGAAAAAGTGGATTGGACGGTGAAGGAGATGCATAGGAAGGGGAAATGTCCTCTTTATGTGCGTCTCCTCCTCCGTCAATTAGGGTAGGCAACGCATCTACAATAGCGGATGTTTATGGGCAACGGTCGCTTTCCATTTCGGTGGATTCAGGTCACGCTCGCTCGTTTGCCACCTCGTATTATAAAAAAAAAATAAATATAAGCAAAGTTATTAATAAGAATAATACCTATTATAAGAAGAAAGTTATTTGTACAACAAAGACTACAAAAGCAAAAATAACTAATGCAACTAACTATAGTAACAACTTACTTTATAATAAGCAAAAACTAAGGAAAGCGAATATTATAAGAATATTTATAATTTTAAAACATATAAAGAGTACATTTATATATGTATTAGTGGAATAACAAAAATTACCTTTGAAATCTGAAAATAACAACAAATCACTAGTCACTTTGTTAGACACAAACACAATTACAAATAACATGCACCTTCACCATACTTGTTTAAACACAATATTTTTGTAGGTTTAATGCTGACAACCTATCTTATATATATTTATCTTTGTTTTGTCAAAGAGAATGTAAGGGATGTTAATAACTATATATATATAATAAAATTGTATAATCTGTATGTAATATAACAAACAATTCCGCCAACATGGAGCATTTGTATTGATAGTAACAAAAATTTTGTTAATCTGTGTGTCGCAAAACCGCATATATTTTGAGGAATCTATAGAATATATGCACAAGAGAAAATTAGAATTGAATCTATTCTGACGAAGTCGCGGGTGAATACTACTGTGTAAGTGTCAGTGTAGTTTAGTTTTGGGATAACAAAGTAAATAACCTGCAGAATGATGAGGTAGGATGCGGCGGTGTCCAGCATCTTCCTCTGCAGACACTCCTGGAATAGCTCCTTGGGCTTGCCGGCCGCAGAGAAAAGGTACGCCCACAGAGCTATTTCTGTTTTTCTTGCGCATTGTACCACTGTCTGGCAATAAAATATACAACTTAACAGGAACTCGCCCACCTTATAAATACCATAACTATTCTTTGACATTTATTTAAAAAAAATAGATAAAAAACCTTAAGATAATTAACTACTTATGAAATATTCAACCAACAAACATTGACCCACCTGTAGATAGACTGGGAACTCGTGAACAAACTCTATAACGCTGGGCAGCTGTGCGTCAGGTATTGGCTCCTTGCTAGTGGCCTCCTCCTCCAGCACCTCGTGTAACAGCAGCTCCAGAGAGTGCGGGAAGTATGGCAGCTGAGCACACGAGCGCGCGATTTCCCACGCGTGGTACCCCAGGTTGCGTCGCAGCAGCTGACGTAAGATTTGGTGCAGGTACACCTGGCTCTGGAATATTACATACACGTATTCCGTTTAAGAGAAAGATAAGTAACAGAGGTAGAACCCCCTTAAACATCTTCGCACTGTTAGGCTGGCCACACACTAGACGAGCGTGAAGTGTGAGCAATTCCGCCCAGAGTCTGATGCGTATACGTTCCGGAGGACTAGTTTTAGTCCCTTTCCCTATCCACCCTTTTCTTATAAGAAAAAGATGGAGAGAGGAAAGAGATTTGACGATGAGGAGACGCATAGGAATGGGAAGAATCCTCTTTATGTGCGTCTCCTCCGTCGATTAAGGGTAGGCAACGAATCTGCAATTGCGAATATCTATGGGCAGCTGTCGCTTCGTCATTTTGGCGGAATCAGGTTGGCGCTAGCTCGTTATCCACCTCATAAAACAAAAAAAACAATAAAACCCCCTTGTGTGTAAATCATAACTTACCGTTCTATTCACAACACAGAAGGGCAAAGAGAACACGGAGTTGGAGTCTGATGCGTAAAGTGTTGTGTCATTTTCTGCTCCTAGAAGTATCGCATCGTCGAAAAGAATTGCTGGAAAGAAATAAAGATCGCATGATATATAACGTGTGGTAACAATTACTACTAATGTTCAAAGTGGTATATGGTATTCTTACTCAGTGGGTATATATTAAGGTGGAATGGCAGCATGATCCTCTTGGCCATGAAGGTGTGCCTAGAGGAGTCAGGTCGGCGGGTGGTGTCGCGAGGCAGCAGGGGCAGCCAGACGCGTGCGCCGAGCGCGCCACACCACAGCCAGAGCGCGCGCGACAGCTGCGTTTGCTGGCGAGCTCCGCCGCACGACCACACGCTCTCCACGCACGACGCCAGAACTGTCGCCGGAAGACAGCTGTATGCCTATAAACGTTATTATCTAAGTCTTTGTACTTTTAAGCTTTTTTTAATTAAAAGTCATGCATTCATAGAAAGGCAATAAATTTCGCTATCTTATTCCTCCATTCGAGGAATATTGAACGCAAAGACTACACATCTACAAATCATATTATGATTTTGCGCTTTAGTCTTAATACTTATTCCATACGTATAATATTTTAAAAAAAAACCTTTCAACGTATTTTAGACAAAAAAATTGATACAATTATAAAATTAAGATGCAAACAGTGTTGCACAAATCTTATTTGCGTATTGAGTAGGAATAGGTTTCACGCGCGGGTAGGCGGTTGCAGTTTAGAATGTCGCCCTTATTTCGTAACTGAAGAGCGAGAATTAACTAATCCTAAAGTTAATGGTATTTTTTTTAGTTTCGAACAATTGAGGGTCATAATATTAATTTTACACTTCTATTAGCTAGGTTTCCTTGAATTGCGTCGTTTTAGAAGCAATATCGTTTACAACAGGAAACAATGAAAGAACGGAATTTATAACTATTTTGGAATTATATAAGTTCCGCATAAAATATATTCCAACTTGGGACGTTTACTGGCTACTAGCCTCGGGGTCAACACTGGTCTTAATTAGAGCAAATCGTAACGTCGCTGGTTCCTTGCTGGTATTGCATGAACATTCGACACGCTTCACAAGCCATTTGTATTGTAGTTACCAATTAACACAAATGTAAGCATAATATAAAATGCTGAAATTATTTAAATGCCGCCATTGCTGTATGCATTTTCATAAACAGTGCATTTTGCTGTCTGTAGATTGACCACAATACAAAACATCTTCATTCTATCTATCTATATCTATACTATTATAATAAAGCGTAAACACACACTTCTTTGTTGTCTAAAATGTCAGCAATTACAGCATATGCGTGAATAATTTTTTTTTAAATAAAAAGCCCTACACATACGTCACGCTTTAGGCTGTATATTTTTACGCAAATAAACTTAAGGTGAAATATTTTGGATAAAATCCCTAATGTGTGAAAGAGACCATAAGTGGCTGCCAACATCAAAGAAGTAATGTTGCCATACTTTACCATCATGTCATGTCATTTTGACATTTGCAATTGATAATTTGACAAATGTAAACGATAAAATAAAATTTTCATAATTTCATGCGGATGAAGTCGCACAGGAACAGCTAGTCATATATAAAATGGACTAGAAAACGCCCCACAGAACAATTTGGCGCGTTCCTCACACGCCTTTCGGCTACTCTTAATATCACCCTTCTTCAGTATTTCGTCAATTTGGGACAGCCCTAACCAACATGCCACTCACTCACTATTCGTTTTAGATGACTTATTATTTTCAGGAAGAAAACAATTGTTCTCCGTCGATATCAATTACAATAACTTATTAGTTAGGATACTTAGGAAACAAAACTCTCTCATAATCGCTTAACTAATCATTATAATAATTACATTGTTGAAGTTAAAATTGTTCACACTCAATAAACACTAAATAAAGGAAACACTTAATTGAGTTAATTCAAAGTTCCTGATCTTGATATTATCGACAGCAGTCTAGATACGGTAAATATAGCGTTTTCACTGATCGAAGGTTGTTAGAAAATGTGGAAGCGTGATGCAAGGCTCGGAGCGGACACGGTCGGCGCGGGTGCAGCCGCTCCATATCCTCTCCACGACAGGACGCGGAGGTGTCAAACAATCGTCTATAAATTATTCAGCTTTGCCACATACGTACCAGTACGTTTTACACACCAGGTGGACACAGCGCCTCGCAAAAAAAATGAATTTATATTTTGCGGTTCGTGTTTTTTGTCTAGAGGATTTGAACTTGAATAATTCGGGATTAAAGTGTATTTTTTTTAATTCTTTAGGTAACTTGCCTTCTTGCCTTAACAGCAGTAAGCAAAGCTGATGGGACGTTAGACGGACTGATCTACGCCCCAGGGCATTCCTCCGTTGATTACTATGTGAGTGTTGTCATTTTCAAGTTATTTCGTAATGGCATTGTGATTGACTAGCGGCGGACAACCTAATGTGCATTCAAGTATGACATGAAATGAAAGAAAGAAGTTATTGTACCATTTTACTGAATTATATTGTTTTGCTTGTAGGCGTACCCAAGCTATGCCTTCGAATACGCAGTAAAAGATCCGCACACCGGAGACAACAAGGCGCAATGGGAAAAACGGGACGGAGACTCAGTTAAAGGCGAGTTTAAAAAATGAAGCTTCTAAAAATTTTCTATCTTTTTAAACATAAACCTATCATTATTTTTCTTACAACAGGTGCGTACTCACTCGTGGAGCCCGACGGTAGCATTCGCGTTGTCGAATACTGGGCGGACGCGAAGTCCGGCTTCAACGCTGTAGTGAAGCGCGTGGGACCCAACCTGCACCCCGTTGCAGCGCCCATATATAAGGCGCCGATTCCTCTGCTGAGCCACGGACCCGCCGTTGCCCCTATCAGCGTGGGCTCGGTGGCTAATATCGAGGCGCTAGCCAGCGCGCCTATAGACAGCGGACCGGCCTATAGTGGCGCCGTCTCCTCATCGGCCGTTTACAAAGCTGCACCGGTCGTTAAATCGGCACCGATAGCCCCAATCGCCCCAATCCTACCGGTTCCCATTTACAAAACTCCCATCATACCACAACCTATTATTACTGAATCTTATGAGAAGGCACCCCTACGCCATCCGATCGTAGTCCAACCTATCTACAAAGCATTACCTATTCCGGCTGCACCTATTAAAGCTGCGCCTTTATTAGACCAAGGTTTGTTAGCTCCATGGCCGCTTCTAAAAGGTACTGACTACCTTTCCGCGGTCTCATTGGGAGATTACTTGTTGAAAGATTCTCTGCTAGCGGGTAATGGATACGATCTTGGCTATGATGCTTATGGACAATCATGGGACGGCTTGGGCTTAGGGTATAAACACTGATTGGAAAGATGAGACAGTCTGAAGCATCATAGTTAGCTGCCGCTACCACTATCTTTTGTACCTAGTCCCTTCTTCATTAGAGTATTAGTGTAAAATTGTGTAATGTTAAGATAATTATGTTATTTAAACTAGTGGAAAATAAAACTGCATTGATGACATCGGCCATTGTGTGGTGGACCCAATTTTGTTTCATTGAACCAACCTCTTAAAAAAAAGTTATAAACAAGTTTTACACTTGTTCTGTTTTAATTTATATCCTACCAAGTCCGTGTTCATTTATGTAAGCGTATATGTTTTTATGTAAACATTTAAAAACAGATATTTTAGATTGCAAAAAATAGAGACGCCTATAAAAAATGAAGAGCAATGTAGAACGGTAACGGGGAACAACGAATCATGTTGCTAAAATTTATCACGCTCTTGTATTCCTAAGATTTAATTCGTGATATCTCGGGCGGAGCATATTACATGATTATATTACTTCTGTCTATATCTGTACTAAAATAACCATATAAAGAGGAAAGGTTTGTATTTTTGAATTTTTGTATGTGTTATATAACTCAAAAACTACTATTAAAAATAAAAAAAAATAACTAGTGAGTAACATAGGCTAAATTATTTTTTTCATACCACGCAGACGAAGTTAAGACGAGTTAGTTTCCCCTTCCCTAAGCATACAACAAAAACAAAAGCATAGCACAAAAAACAATCATTAAATGAGGATTACGCATCGGAGTCGCATAACACAGCCAAAACTCGATGAAAACTTGTCCTGCTTATATCAGACATGTATAATGTAGCGAGGTGGGATACCCTTGTACCGCACAGGCGGCATCCATGCAGAAAAGAATATAAACACACTACGCCCAATAAATCACACATTAACAGTAGAACCAGCGCAGGCGACATGAATCGACTTTTGATGGTAATAGACCCGTATTGTTTTCAAACATTTGTTTCGTTTACAGGCTTGATTTATCATCGCTTACAGTCAAGTTTTGATTGTAACTTGTTTATATTTGTAAAATGTGATATGTTAAGTAAAAAATAAAACCTTTAGCCTGATTGCACTTCCTAATGATGATTCAGATTGAAATGTTATGTATATTTCAGACTTTAAGTTTGACGGCTCTGGCGATAGCATCTGTTTCGGGTGCTGTCGTATCACGCAAGACCATTGTCTCCGAATACGTACGTATTTTCAACATTATAAAATAATATTTCGAATATGTTGTCAAGTGTCTTACACACACATAACTGAAAAGTGTATAAAAATTTAATGTCACTAACGAAGACAACAAACTGACAACTTAAAAAACAAATCTTTTTTTCAAGATTACTCTGTTTACAGGATTACCCTCGTTATGGCTTCAACTATGCCATAAACGATCCAATAACAAAAGACAACAAAGCGCAATGGGAGGTTAGAGACGGTGACGTGATCAATGGTGCATACTCCTTACGAGAACCCGACGGTACTATTCGGGTTGTGGAATATTCTGCAAACGACATAAAGGGTTTCAACGCAGTTGTTAAGAAAATCGGCTCTAATGTACATCCAATTTCTATCGTAACACAAACCATTCACGAAAAAGGACCCATAAAGGCTAAAGCACCTGTCAAAGCTGCACCTGTGGTTGAAATTACTCCAGTCAGTATTAGCACCGTTCATAACAGCGGTCCTAAAAATACCATTACTTCGAATTATAACTACGGTTTCGGAGCTGCGGCTTTAGCAATTGGACTCCCTAAAGTGACGTCTTTAGGTCACTGGAGTCTACCATGGGACCCTGCTACCAGGTCATACGGGGGCTGGGTGCCACTCAAAGGTCCAGTGGCGCAAGGACCCTACGCGACTGTCTTCAGCAAGAAATACATAAACGGCAAAGTACACGAATGGACTACGGGACCAATATCATTACAAAACGTTAAATCCATAGTCATTAAAACGAAAAATTGATTAGTAATGGCACAACAGTACAGTATGTTTTGTGTATAAAGGTATCTGGTTATCCCAAGTTTTGTTAAATGAAAATCAGATTTATAATTTTTGTTAGAGTATGAAAAAAAATGTGTCTTGTACTATTAAGTGATTTGGAATTTTGTGATGAAAATCAAGAGTCAAAACACTAGTTATAATCCTAGGTGAAACTGTGCTACCTCCTTCAATATTGTCTAGTAGGCAATGACCATATAAAGAACATCCTATATGTTTTATATTTATGAGATATTATTTTATAAACGGTCTATTTTATATATTTACTTCGTCAGAGAAGTAAAATATATTTAATGTTTACACATTAAATTATAATTTTATATAATAAATGAAACGAAACCGAAAGACTGCATGTTGATTTTAAAACAAAAAATAATAAAGAATAGAATAGGAATATTGGCTTTTCAATTTTTATATCTTAATCCCTTGCCTGATTTTTACTTCACATTATTTTTTGTGAAAACAGAGATAAAACATGGACGGGGAAGCCAACGCCTACGCCAACGCCTAAGATACTATTACGTAAACTAGCTTTAGCATGCGACTCCGTCCGCGCGAAATTAAAAAAAAAAATATGTTGTTCTTCCACACTATGCTCTACATCTATGCCAAATATCATCGAAATTCTTTCAACCGGTTAAGATACAAACTCAACATCCATCCATCCATTTAAACTCGCATTTATAACATTAGTATGATAACGAAAATCTTGAAAAACTAAAAAAAAGAAATATTTGCAAGAACTGTTAAAAGCCCGCTGACACCTTCAGTTTAATTGAACAGTCGAACTATTCAGTTAAAACTGTCTCTGTATATGCCACACTTGAACTGTATAGTTTACCTATTTCTACACTAGCTGTTCCCATTCATCGGCATAAAATTATGAAAATTTCATTTTATTGTTCACATTTGTCAAATTATCAATTGCAAATGTCAAAATGACATGTCATGATGTCGAACCATGGAAACTTTGCTTTCTTGATGTTGGCAACAACTTATGGTCTCTTTCCTACATTAAGGTTTTTATCCAAAATATTTACCCCTAAGTTTAACGGCGTGAAAATATATAGCCTAAAGCGTGACGTAAGTGTAAGGCTTTTTTTTATAAAAAGAGCTATCCGAAAATTTGCTGTGATTGCTGACATCTTAGGCAACAAAGGAGTGTGTGTTTACGCTTTATTGTATTAGTAAAGATAAAGAAGTAAAGATAAAAGATATAAGAAACATGAAGTGTCTGTATGTAATATTAATTGAAAAATTCCAGATTTCGGGAAGATGATGTATTGGCGTTGACGATAACGAAAATGTCGTTACGGGTGGTCCAAATTTGCGCTAACGATGTTTGCGGGCGACATCTCGTTTTACATAAAATTTTGCGTACACACTTTCAGTTTGATAACAATACAGTTAAAAGTGTATCCCAAACCCTAGAAACTTATTCAACTTAGTGATGTCAGATGTTTGATCTGGTAATGATTTATATAAATATAAAAGATTTGATTGTTTAAATTACACAGACTCCGAAACTACCGATTTGACAAATTCACTGTTGGGAAGCTACACTATCCCCAGGTGACATCAAATACTAAGAATTTTTTATTAATGCGCGGACACATTCGCGGGCAAAAGGTAGTTTCATGTAAAAAATCTGTGTGATGTATTAGGAATTAAATTCTTTTATGAGAATATAACCGTGATTATGGCAGTAACTACGGGTTCATTAGTTTTTTTTTTACAAATCTATATATTTTTGATATATGAATTTGAAAATTAAGCATAAGTACATCATACATTACAAGTTTTGAATACTATCAATGTCCACTGTCGGTGGTAACTTATAGCATCTATGCTCAATGGATGTCCATATTCTGTTCCTTTTTTCCCTGACTGACTCGTAGCCTAAAAGACTAAAACGATTTAACTGAGTGTGATATCATTCGACATATTATTTCCTTATTTTTTATCAACAAACAGACACATTTAATTTACTTTTTTACTTTCTATAAGAATAGATTAAAAATCATTGCTATAAAATAGATTGAATCTCGAATCAGGTCGTCAGCTTAAAATTGCAAAAACCGTGCTGTAACCATTATCTCATCCTTATACAATGTACAATCGTGGAAATCCGCAGTGTTCCACTTCAGGAAAACATTGCTTTGTTCATTGCAACGAGACAAATTCTATAACTTCTTACAAATAACTAATTTTAGCAGTGAGTGCAAATGAACGGTTATATTATTATTAATGAAAAGAAACTAGCCGTGTATCAACAACCATTTTTTTGTACAGACACATTTATGTATGCTGCGTTGTATTTTTGTTCCCGTCGCTTTCAAAATATTCAAATGATTGTAGCTTTTAAGATGGGACACGGCCAGTTTTCCCGACTGTACCTATAATTTAAACAAAGAAAAACTAAAGACATAACAAGTAATGTGATTATGAGTGCGGGGTCCGTTAAATTATACTAGAATATACAGAAAAGCACACATGTCAAATCATCCGTGGAAACGAGATGGCCGACGAAACCGGCGTCGACGCACACCCAACGGAATAATTAGTGCCATATAAAATGCTAGTGTTCGATGACAAAAACACAGTGCACTTCAATTGCTTACTGGAATACATTGTCAGCGAAATGAACAAGTATTTGACGGTAATTAGACATTTGTTGATTTAAATAAATGATTAATTGCACTTATAAACATTTCAATTGACGTTTCTCCATTTTAAAAAATAAAGAAAGAGTTGCCAGCGGTGTCAACACTGTTGTTATTTAAGACTTCATCAGTTCTTTAATTTTCAGGTATGTTGCCTGATGGCATCCGTTGCGATGGCGTCGGAGTATGGACCCTCGCTCGGATACGTAAACTATGCGACCATCGACAAAATTGTACGTAAAATTACTATCTTACTAATGTTATAAATGCGAAAGTTTAGATTGGATGTTTGTTAGAGTTTGTAGCCTAAACGGCAGAACGAATCTCGATGAAATTTGGTATAGTCATAGAGTAGTCATACAATAGTCATATATTCAATTCCACGCGGACGGAGTCGCGGGCAAAAGCTAGTTTATTCATATTTCCTAATTCCTAAATAGGCATATGATGGACTTCAATGTTACAAATGGTGTATAATCTTTTCAGCCAAACCCGAATTACGAGTTCAACTATGCGGTCAATGACCCGTCAACCGGAGACAACAAATCTCAGTGGGAGAAACGTGATGGAGACGTCGTCAAAGGTTCCTACTCGCTGGTGGAGCCTGACGGCAACGTGCGCGTTGTAGAGTATACCGCGGATTCCGTGCGAGGATTCAACGCGGTCGTCAAAAGGACCGGCCCTAATGTGCACTCAGTATCGACAGTGTACGGACAAATTGCACCTAAGATACAAGAACCGATCGTATTAACACCATCCTACCAGTACCAAGCGCCGATCGCTTCATATCAACATATCGCTCCTATTGCTCCAATCCTAGAGGAGCCGTCTTACTACGCCGCGCCCGCACCCGTTGAAGAACCAATCGCACACGGACCGGTATTAACTCCATACTTGGATACTGCTCCACTCTTAGCGCAGTACCAAACGCTGGATTACCTCCCATACCCAATACAAGCACAAAATCCCTCCTGGGTATCGGTATCCGGCACCTCGTATGGCCACAAGGGCAACATTGTCCGAAGATGGGCCACAGGTCCCATCGCCATAGATGGTAAAACGCTCACTATTAAAACTAAGCATTAAGGATGATTATCGCTTGTGCCAAATAACAGTAAGCTGAAACTTCTATGTAAGTAACCTACTAGTTACTCGCGACACTTGTGTGTTTTTGCACATTGTATAGTATTGCACGTGTAAAACAACACATAGGTCTTATTAGAAGTTAAGATGTAAAGTAATCGGAGACTAGAGAAGTGTACCTGATTTTATACGAATGTAAATAAACTATTATTATGAACAGAAATTGTTATTTATCTACCCCCAACCTAACAAAGGACCTGTCCCACCACTGGCTGATAGAGGCTAAGATAAAAATGACGTCACTGTCATAAGGTAACAAAATCCAATATTTCGAACATATTCTACATGTTGGATTGTTATCAGACAATTTATGGTGGGACAGGCCCTTAATGTTACTCGTAATATCTTACTGGATTGTTGTCTTCGTCAACGTCGTACTCCTCTCTCTGCACCATCATCAGTTTCCCACTTGCGTTTATTACCTACATACAAATTGAGCATTAAAACAAATTATATTTGTGGTAAGTAATAATAAGAAAAAGCTAGTATTAAATCAGATTTATAATGTAGTTTACAGCCGCATGACAATACAAAATATACATTAAAACCTTCGATAGTAAACGACAAAATTCAAATGACAACGATCTTCTGCTATTGGCAGAGAATTTATGTAACCATGACAGTCTTGCCGCTATCACCTTGTAGTTTTTGTATCTTTAAAGCAAAGTAATGTTTTTAAATTTACTCTTTCCAAGCTAAATATCGTGATTATATATAGCCTAAACCATTTCGTAATTATAAATTATTTTATTATAAAAAAATAATCAAAATATCCTCATAATCAAAGAGTGTTTACGCTTTATTTTATCTTACTAGTCTTACTAATATAAAAAACGCAAAAGTTAGATAAATGGATTGATGTTTGTTAAAGTTTGTATCCTAAACTGCAGACCGGATCTTCGTGAAATTTGGCATAAATGTAAAGTATACTCTGGAAGAACAAATAGGCTACCATCTTATTTTTTTTTTATTAATTCGACTCGCGGACGTAAGCTAGTTACATATATATAGACATAGAAGTATAAATAGTTTCATAGTAAGCGAGTACTGACGAGCGAGTGCGGCGCGAGGGGCGTGGCGGGGGCGTGCGGGCGCGCGAGGTGCGGCGGCCCCGCCTGCTCCTGCAGCCGGCACAGCGCCGCAGACACCACGCACGCGGGGTGCGACAGCGCCGATATGTCCACCGCCTGCACGCACCGCATCTCCACACACCCGTCTACACACACCGTATACTTATAAATAAAAAAACACAATTTTATACTACAGTAGAACCTTGATAAGTTAAAGTCCAAGGGAAACACAACATGTTTTAAGTTATCAAGGGTCTATGTTATAGAGGTTTCGGGCTCTGATGGGAAGGGAACGTATTATTTTTTGAAGTTATAGTGGTTTTTATGTTACCGAGGTTTGAGTAATCGAGGTTCTACTGTAATATTATTACCAAAGCGAGATGAATGGATTTAGAAGGTATCTCCGGAACGACTCAATTATGTATACGAATACCGATATTATGATCAGATTCCCTTTGAGAGCGTAGGTACGGATCCTACTGACTGTGCCATGTAAAAAACGTAATAATACGACAAGCTTCAGATGCAGATTAATTTATTTAGACTTTTTATGAGTACCCTAAACATTGATTCACTCATACCGACAAATGGATCTCGATGAAATTTGTCCCAGATGTAGTTAATCTGGAAGAACACATTATCTACTTATTGTTAATTCCACCTTGACGCAATTGTGGGAAAGAGCTAGATAGCCAGCTTATAATTTTTTCAGACACGTAAAAATAATTTAAGTTAGAAAAAACCTTTCCTCCACACACTGAATATCTTAAAGCTTACTTAAACACTTACTAAAAGTAGATTTCGCATAAGTAACCTTCACTTAAGGACACTTTTTGTACACAATACTAAATTCAATACTTATTCAAACACATTAATTAAAAAATCAAAGCATAAAATCTATCAACAACAAAATATAACTAACTTTTTTCAACACTGAGTTCGTATATGGTGACGAGCGCGTCCGCAGAGAAGACGACGAGCTGGTCGTCGAGTGCGTCGAGCGCGTACACCTGCGCCTGCGCACGCACCATCTTAGCGAACCTGTTGTCCAGCTTCGCGTCGCGCGGGTAGAAGCGAATCTCATCGTGCCCGTCCAAGATACTGTAGCAACCTGACAAAATATACATCGAATGAAGTTTACTAATATATACTTATATTATACAGAGAAAACATTTAGATTATTGGATTTTTGCATGTAATAAAAACAAATAAACTACTAGGTCGATATCAAAAAATCTTTCACCATTAAAAAACTACGCTATTAGTGATTAACATAGGCTATGTTTATTTTTTTTTATTTCTCGGAGGCGAAGTAGTGACTACACAACAACTAATAGACAATAAAGCAATATTTTGTTTGTTCCACTTTATATTTATTTTTATAAAGTAGTAATCTTAAGCCCGCTACATGCGCTTAGTATTATCTTTTTACTTGAACTGTCGTATAGTTCAGTAAATCTAACAAAACTGAGAACAAAACAGTTCTCAGTTTTGCCTACGAGTTAGATTTATCTGAACAATCCGACTGTTCAGATAAAACGGAACGTGTATAGCTGGCTTTACATTGAAGATGTTAACCAAACTTTGTCATAAATGGGGTCATTTTGCATTTTTAACTATTTTTTCAATTAAATTTGGTTAAAATGTTTGAAAAACCTATGACGATGTGGTCCCTCCACCAGAGCATGCCGCCGGTGACGACGAAGTCCTTCTCCTGCGCCTCGTTGCCGAACAGCTTCCAGCGGCGCGAGGCGCAGCTGTAGTGCGCCAGCCCCGCGCGCCCCGCCACGCACACGTTCACGCCCGCCTCGTCGATAGCGCTGTACTGTACATTACAATCTTACTTTTTTTTTGCTGTGCTTCGCTGTGTCGCCCTCTCGTTCCCCCTAACATATTTGTGGGAAAGGGACGTTGGGTGCGGGTGGAACTTTTATTTCTCTATTTAAAAGTTTTTTCTCATAACGTTACAAATTCTTTAATACTAGCTTACGATTACAATTACACACGACGCCAATTTTTTAATAGACGTAACAGCTTTTTTTAGCTATTTCAAGCTGTCACGTCTTTTTTTAGTTTCTTGAATGCTATTTTTTTTATTTTCCTAATAAATTCAATTTGAATGCTACAATTCAAAAAGATCTTTAATTTTCTTACCCTAAGCGGCCAATTAGTAGCGATATACGTAGCGGGTAATGGCAACACTATCCACTGTTTCCTGCACTCGTTGTCATCCACAAAGTCTTTGTACTTGGCTTTATTGTCGTATTCCAACGTGTGCTGGTCCGGTACACCATTCTCTTGATAATCGGATGAATCGATCATTGATATCTTGGTTTTTCTCGTTAAATTGTCTTCTAAATTGACGTAAAGTTTATCATCTGCTTGTAAATATAAATGCCTTTGATTGCTCTGTAAATAATTCAAAGTTTAGTACAAAGCTAGGACACATCTATACTGATATTTAAAAAAAATTGGATTTTTGTATGTATATGACTATATAAATATAATAAAAACTACTGGGTCGATTTCACATATTCTTTCATCACTAGAAAGGTAACTTATCTGTGAGTATAATAGGCTGTTTTATAGTTTTTAAATTTACGCGGGCGAAGTTGCGAGCAACAGCTAGTTGAACTATAAATTAATTATTTTATTAAAATTGTATACTTACCATACATGGATTTACGCTGAGGGGACTTTTAATAAAATCCATTTGTATTAAATTCGAAGTTGTATCACTTTCAATCTTGACCATCCACAGCTGATAGCCTTCTGTAGCCCATTCCTGTAAATAAAAACATCCATTACAGTTCTGTAGAGATTTCATGAATAAGGGAAGGCTTGCGAATCGTCTCGTCCGCGTGGAATTAAAAAAAACACATAGATTATATTACTCAGTAATAATAATAACGCAGTTTTTTTAATGGTGATTTTTTTTTAAATCGACCCAGCAGGTCATTTGCCAACAGCAGGCCCAAAAAAATGTACAGATGAATTGAGTTCCTCCTTCTTTTGGGTAGTCGGTCAAAATACAAACCTCTTTTTTTTTTAATTAGTGTAGATTAAATCACTTAAGTGAGCCAAGCAGTCTCTTACATTTATATCTATACTAATATTATAAAGAGAAAATATTTGTATTTTCGTATTTTTGTATGTATTGAAAAAAACTGGGCGATTTTAAAAATTCTTTCACCGTTATCTGTGAGGAACATAGGTTATATTTTAATATCACGCGGTCGAAGACGCGAGCAACAACAAGTCCTAAATAAAATAACAATTATTTTTCCATCTGTAATAGTGTATTGACTGACCATACTGGAGACGACCAGCGGGTTGTGCTTGGTGAGGTCCTGGCTGAGGCCGTAGTCCCAGGCCAGCGAGCACATCAGCAGCGCGCCGAACGTGCTCCACACGGACACGCCGCCGCGCTCCCAGCTCACCGACACCGCGCGACCGTCCCCGGTCCATCTGGAACAGACCACATCGTTCTAGCTGTACCCCTGGGACCCGTGGACCTTGGATTCCATCCGGAAGACACACAAGACAGAAAAAAACTTAAAAGACAATGTGTTTTAAATTTTTTTACAATGATTTAGAAATCCGCAAAACTATGTAAGATTTTAAACTAGCTTTCGCCCGCCACTCCGCCCGCGTAAAATTAAAAAAAAAAAGAAAAAGTGTCCTTTATTTTCTTCCAGACTATACTTTGGTTTCTTGGAGATCCGTTCAGCAATTTAGGCTACAAACTCGAACAAACATCCATCCATCTAAACTTTTAGATTTATAATATTAGTAAGTAAAAAGTAATAAGATAAATAAAAAGTTTAGGAATATCTGTTGTAGCAGAAACAGCTTATCTTTCCCTGTTGATAACTTTACCTAATGCATTTAACAGGTCCGGGATCGCCGGGGAAATCCTTCGAGCTGAGCACCATAGTGTGCGATAACTCCAAACCTCCAGTCACTTCGTCTATCGTAAACACGTCTACTTGTGAACTGAAAAATTTAAAAAATTTTAATTACATTGAAAGTTATATTTCCGTTGCACATCGACTCTAAACATTCGACAAAAAATTTAACGCTACTAGCGCCCTGGGCGAGATCCCTACCGCGCCCCCTTTTTATATCATGGCTTGAGTGGGAGGGTGTCTGAGTTACATAATAAAATTTTAAAAAATCCATGCGATTTAAAGTTTACAAAAAAAAAATGTTACAAGTCTAATAATTATTAACTATAGATTATATTAGAAAAATTGATTCGGTCATATAAAGTTCAAACAATATCAATAAATAATCAAACATGTCCTAAATACTATTTTTTATTATTTATAAATTATCAATCTTTATTATATTTAATTTCTTATTTAAATATTTTCTACTGCATAGACCCCTCTCGGGTGAAGAATTACAAAAAAACTATGTAATTCTAACACCAATGGCGCCCTTTTTTGCCAACCGCCCTGGGCAGTCGCCCAACCGCGCCCAACCCTAACGCCGGTCCTGTGCAGTAATATATGACTTGAGTAACTTACTTTCTCCTGCCAATAGCAATAAGTCTGAACTTATGATTAACTCTTGCACAAGTAGCGTCATCTATGCCTGGCGCCCAGATCCCTTGTACTGCCTGAAAAAAGTTTTAAACTCTTACCAAAACATAAAAAACTCTCGTTAAAATAGATAAATAGCATAACAAATAGCATATTGTATACAGTTTATAATCAAAATTGAGATTTTAGGGGATATTGGGAACTAGCAACTTTTTACAATGTTACCACTCAAGTGTAAGCAACTTCTTACCCATAGTTCCATATCCAATAAAATCTGGTTAAATAAAATATTATTTTAATAAATACACACATAAAATACACATTTGCAATTATCGGGACATTATTTTTTTTTATATCATAAGGCGAAAAGCAGCAACCGGCCAATTGAATTCATCTAATTAGCGAAGCGACCGTTGAACATTCATTTGCTTGTACAAATTTTGACCATCATATTATAATTACTGTATTTTTAACTTACCATTATAGATAAAAGTCAAATTATTATCTACCTTACATCTATATGTATTAATGTTTGAATTCAAAAAAAATTATGATTAAAACTAATGCAAAGGTATTTGTTAAAAGCTTACATTTGGATCAAATTTGAGGTTAGGAGCGGTGAGGTAGGCTGCCCGGCCATCATTCAGAGTGATGCCAAAACCACACACTAATGGGGAGTATTCGATATCATTTACGTGCGTGTTATCTTCTAAGATAGGTTCGGCTGTAAAATAAATAATTAATGAAGCAATTATTTAAACAAAATAATTTCTTTAAAAATTTTATTTGTGATTCTGGTTACATTTTATCATTAATTATAAATCCACACATTAGTGTACAGTGTGTAAAAATGTATTTCACCAAAAAAAATCCTTTTTGAATTGAGCTTAATTATTTTTTTTTGTTCCATTGATAGTAAAAAAGTTTTTAAATGAAGTAAATAACAAAAAAAAAGAACATTAAAATTATACCTTTAGAAACTTGTTGATTTATAGAGAATGGTATCCGTCCTAGGTCTAAGCAGTAGTCTCTGTTCTGTGTCCCATCCCATCTGTATCTCAAGAGATGGGCGCGAGTGGTACACACCAGAATCTCGGTACCCGATATACAACACATGCGGGTAATCTGTCCATCCCATACTAAGACTTCTTTAAACTGAAATTAAGTTTTTTTTTATTATTAAAATGAAATAATAATTTCATTATAATAATTTTTTAAACAGATTGATCTACATGTAATTTAATTTTCAGCAGATATTGTTAATATTATTATTATTATAAATGAGTTATTATTATTATTCTCTCATATCTTTATTTTTATATATAATATATTTGACATGATTTTTTTTAAATAACAAAATAAAACATATTATATAAAAAAATAGAAGTCCACCGGCTGCGGAATCCGATGACTCAACCAGTTGTAAGGGCTGCAGAGACAGGAACCTCCTCACTATTCGTGCGGTTTCTAAAATAACCGCCTTTTGAATCGGGCCCTTAATCCAACTGTCTAGCGAGCGCTTCTTGAGGTGTTGGTCGAAGCTCTTGCTTTTATTATTATTATTATTAATGGGACATGAGGTTGTCTACAGGTAATTTCCAGCAGATATTGTTAATGGGACATGAGGCTTTCTACACGAAACCTTACTAATATCATAAATGTGTAAATTTAGGTGGATTGATTGATTATTACAAGTTATAGGCAGAAGGGTTCAATGGATTGAGGTGATAGATAGCCTGGAAAAATACACATGCATTAAATTCTTCATGGACAGTTGTAGGCAAAAGCTAGTAAAGCCATAAACTACTAAATGGAACTTATAACAGACATAATGAGTCTGCAGTTACATAGTATGATATAAAAATAGTCAGCTGATTAAATATTGAAATAAAACAAAATAATATCTAAAATTATTTAGGCCACTTGGCCATGCTATCATGTTAGCTTTATCATGCTATAAATGGATGTTACACAGTATTTAGAAACATTATGATAACCACTTAATATAGTGAATAACTAAATACAGATGACTAAAATATATCTTACTAATATTATAAATGCAAAAGTTTAGATGGATGGATGGATGGATGTTTGTTAGAGTTTGTAGCCTGAACATCCAAACGGATTTCGATGAAATTTGGTATAGATGTAGACGATAGTCTGGAAGAACACATAGGTTATAATATATTCAATAAATTTACATATTTCTACCTAAAAGACAAACAAAATGAATGCAATGATGTTTTTTCATGGCTTAACTCATTTTGTTGTATTTAAACATGAATTAAGACTCACCAATGTTATTTTAAGTGATGGTATCATCTCTTTCACAAATAGCTCAGCTGAATCCCTGCGTAGACTTGCCATAGGTGGATCAAATTGATTGTATGCAGTTTGCTCAGGTTGTGGTTCCACATTGTAGATGATTAAATGTCCTTCTTGTGTCTGAAATTATATTTACAATTTTATATTGCTCCTAGCAATTACAAAATTAAAAAAACTCACTAGTTTTGTCTTATTTATTAATCTGTACTCATATAATAACATGTAAACACACATTGTTTTGTTGCTTAGGATGTCAGCTATCACAGCATGTTTTTTAATAATTCCTTGTTTAATACAAAACCCTACACTTATGACATGCTTTAGGCCATCTATTTTCACACTATTATACTTAGAGAGTAAATAAATTGGAAAAGGAAGCGACCATAAACTACAAGCTGCCAACACTAAGGTAGCAAGGTAATTATGGTATAGCTAATTTTGACATTTGCAATTGAGAATTTGACAAATGTAAACAATGAAATAATGTTTGTATAATTCTATGCGGATGATGCCGCACAGGAATAGCTATTTATCTAATATTTCTAATCTAATTATTATGTAATTCTTACCGATATGCAAATCATAGAAGAATCCGGTTTCCATTCCACACCAACATTTATACCAAGTCTCTGTATGGAGTCGGCATTACGCTTTTGATAAACTATTGGCACAGTAGGCTGCAAAAGAATTATGAAAAATGTAATAACAATATAAATGTTCTTTACTACAATAATACAAGGATACTTTAAACATGGTATTATAACCTAATCCTTATGAAAAAGAAAAACTATGAGCAGATCTAGTTTTGAATGAATTAAATAATATTTAATGTAACAAACAGTTTATTATATGTAAACATTGCAAATAACTTTATGAATATCCCTGATACTTCTACACCAGTGTATTTAACCTCACAACCATTAACCTAGTTTATTGAACCGTATAAAATTAATAAAATATAAATTCAAGGGATGCACTTAACTTCCTTAGAATACACTGTAATACATCTAGTATATGTGGCTATTGTGTGAGGGCGTAAAAAACATTATTCAATGTAAATAACTTACCTTGCAAAACCAAATAATAATAGAATCATCAGTCAAAGATACAAAAAGTATTTTGTCTCTATTTGATACTATTTGTTTGATTGCCTGTCCATCTGCTTCCAAATTCTTGCACACTTTTGGCCATCCTATTGGAAAATACATTACGGTCTAACATTTGATTATGATTCTTTTATAAATAAAAGGCCTTTCTGTGGACTCTTTCTAAATGTTTTGGGTAAATTTTCCTTAGATTACTGAATATGTCAACAATATTGCAATGTTGTAAACTTTTGCAAAAATTACTAGATTTAGGGGTTGTCACTTGTCATCAAAGAGTATGAAATCTGTTGCATGTCAAGATTGTTAAGGTTTTCAATTTTTCAGTTCAAACGCTGAAATATGTAGCTAAAAAAAATGCAATTAAAAAAAATAGAAGATTATTAAAAAAATCTTTAGCGACAAATTATTAAACACACATTCTGTTTATCTTTAACATAAAATGGTGATCGAGAATCTCAGATTCTTTCACTTCTATTCTTTGTTAGTAGTAGTAGTGTCATTTATTTTTATAGTGATGGGACTCGAGTGATTTTTTTTCACTCGAGTCACTCGGTACTCGTAACTTTCTCACTCGAATGCCACTCGAGTGAAGGTAAGACTCGAGTGATGTTTATAGACGCGAGTCACTCGGAATATAAAAATCGAGGAACCAAAATTTTCAAACCAATAAAACAATGTTAATTTAACATAAGGAAATTATTTTCGCATTAACGTAAAAGTTACTCAAAAAATCTGTACAAAATGTGTAAAAATAGTGTTTTCCTTTAAACTAAACCTGTCTACATAATAAAGAAACCTCTTATATCATCTATTAGTTGAAATTTTATAGTGTACTATAAATAAGTTCAAATCCATTTTAATAAATTCTTACAAGTAATTTTCATGAGATCCAAATATTTTGATTTTGTTGAGTTTGATTATGTTCTTACACAATTTTGATAATAATCATGCTTTAAAATTTTAAAGTTAAGTTAAGTAAAGTTAATTAACTTAAACAAAGCTTAAATAAACTCTATAAAAGAACAGAAATAGTGTGTTTTTAAAAAGATAACAAATTTAACTGAAAATGCTGTAAAAATTTCTTACTCCGCTTAGTATAAACCAACAAAATGGTTACGAGTCACTCGTAATTCGAGTCAACTCGAGTCACTCGCAACTCGGGTTGTCAAAAATTTCACTCGAGTCCGAGTAAGAAAAAAATGACTCGAGTCACTCGAGTAAAAAGCAACTCGAGTCCCATCACTAATTTTTATGATTTAGTGGTTATGGAGAAAGAAGTCAACATTGGGATAGAGTTTAATTATTAAATTCTATTTCTCAATTATGTTTGCGTTTTTGTGATAAATGGCGATTATTTTTATTAGCTTCGTATTATAAAGTTCGTAATATAAAATGTAAACATGTATTCTATTGATATTCAGGCCAGTCTATTGTAATGTCAGACATGAGTAAATTAAAAAGCTTTAGTGTTCCCGAGGAGGCATTTGAAAGTTTTCAAGCCGCATCTATTCATAAAGAAATGGATTTAAATGCTAAGAAATTGTCTATTCCGATACCGGCTTGTGCAAGCAACGTAGAGATATCATCTACCATAGCAGATGAAGTCCAGAGTGTAAACAGTACATCAACGTCTCACGACACCGCACCGACGGTGGAATCATCGAAAATATGTTTAAAACATAAAGCCCATAATATGTCGCAGAATAAAGATATCGACAGTACATTGAAAGATCAACAAGTGAGCACTACACAAGAGTCTTCTGAAACTGTCAATGAAGAAGATGACTTACAAGATAATCTTGAGAAATATCAAGTACTTTTTGAAACGAACATTAAACCCCGACGATTAAGAGGACGACCTTTGAAACGTAGGATCGGAAGACCTAAACAAAAGTTACAGCTAAAAAAACAAGAAAACAACACAGAGCCCCGTGACAAAATTGAGGCTACTGAAGAGATTTTAATCACCAAGTACTACACATTGACAGAAAATCAAGTTGCTGATAGTACAACTTCCCAAATACCCAATAAAACAAATATTGACCATGAGAATGGCACACAAGAAAACAAACCTACTATATGCGCAAAACCTGAACACATTATTAATTCTAATACTGAAGATAGTTTAAATAAAATTGATAACAATATGCACACTGTTAAATTAAACAATGGTTCTATTTTACACACTCCAGATTGTGTAGAAATTAAATATAATAATGAAAGTGATGATGATCCTGATGAAATTTCATTGAGTAAATTGAAAAAAACTTTGACAGACCTTGATAATGAAAATGCTCTGGTAAAATCAGAGGAGACTGAATCACAAATTTTAAATGAAGTGAAAGTAATTAAAACCGACAAAAATACGAAAATAAAACCATCCCAAATGTTAGTCCCAGTTGTAGTTGTAGTTGATGATAATAATGTAAAAGTGCAGACAGAAGAATCACCAGTAGTTGATATTGCCACTTCAAGTGAAAGCTCGAGTGGTAGACCACAGCGTAAAAGAGGCAAAGTTAAACTTCATTATGATGATGGCTCAGATGAAGATCCTTTTGCTAACATAGAAATATCTGATGATGACAATGAACCGAGAAGATCAAAAAAAAGCAAGAGATATAACTCTGATGACGAATATATACCAGATGAAAAATGTGAAAAAAAAATATCAACAGATAGCGATATTGACAAAGATGAAGAGGAATTGAAAAAACCGAGAAAAAAGCGAAATAACAAGGGCTTAAAGAGAAAACAAAAAAATTCTGATTCTGAAACGATACTTGATTGTAGTCAATCGATTGATATATTTCAAGATAAATGTACTCAACAAGATGATGACATGGAAGTCTCTATAATAAATTCAGAGGTAAAAAAAATTAGCAGTAGCTGTAACTCCTGGGGTAACACTAATGAATTCGAAAATTTTCTAGCCCAAAAAATTCAAGGCACTAATTTAAAAATAAAAAGAGTGACTAATAAGGAAAACAGTGCAATCACACATTTGGAAATCCCTGTTATTGATTCTTTCGCTAAAACTGCTGATGTTTATTCACAAACAAACATTACAAAACATTCTTCTACTGGAGTACAAACAACATCTCATTCTGAGATTCACATGGAAAAAAGTGTACCTCTCACAACTGTACAAGCAGAAGAAGCATGTGAATTTTTAACAGACATGGTAAAAGCTACCTCTAAATTAGGTGAACTGATGACACAAAAATCAGATGATTTTGTGCAGAAAAAAATCAACACCACTAATCTGACTGACACAGTCAAAATGGACCATTACGTTAAAAAATCACTTTTGCTATTTAAACTTGCAAAAGATAGTATTATGGACATTGAACAAAATTTGGCCATGAAATATGAAGATTTTCTGAAAGAACATAAATTATCGAGGTATGCATCAGTTCCAAAATTAATAACACCTACAGTGGCATTGAAAGACAATGATAGCGACTGTGAAATTGTTGAAGAAACTAAAGATCATAAACAAAATGCCAAGGGAAAAAATCAGTCAAAACTTAATCTTAAGACTGTGTTTCTTAATAAAGAATTGTCAATAAAAATTGCCAAAAAGCCAAGTGAAGAACAAAAGATTAAAACTAAAATTAACATAAAAGGGAAAAATCCAGTGTGGATAAGTGATTCGGTGTTAGTTAAAAAAGTTAAACCGACACAGTCTTTTTTAGCCCAAGATAGCCGAAATAAAAAACCTCCTGATATATATGTCACAAATGAAATGGTAAGTGATTTTTTTAAGGAATATTATCAGGCCAATGCACTGACTTGTGATTATTTACTCCAACCCGAGTGGCAGAATTGGAGTAATCAGAAGATCTGGCAGAATAGAGTTTGGTGCTTTTACTTCAGTGTTGAAACAAACAACAATGACTTTACATATTTTCAAAGTTCAGTAAATGCTGTGAGTGTCAATGATAATACTAATACAAATGCAAATTGTGATACTGTCACAATATGTATAAATCCAAAAAGCCTATTTATGTTAAGTATTCAGGCTTTACAAAAAAAAAATATTGAAATAAAAAATAATGATGTGAGCCATAATGCGATTGGTCATAAACATGATACTATTGCAGATTTGAAGATCTACAATGCCGAAAAATTGAGCAGTTTGTGTCTTCATAAAATAAAACATGTTTTTTATAATACTCGTCCTAATATAGAAACAGTACCGAAAACTAACGTAAGTTTGCAAGATGAAAAAGTTTCCAGTCTTAAAATTTTGTGCTACCATCGAATTATTAAAAAAAACTTCTTATTCAACAATTCAAGAAAAAGTGACAATACATGTATAAGAGAAAAGGAGTGTAATCTTGCATCTCAAAAGAAGAATATGCCTTTACTGTATACTTCTGATAGAAAATTAGATTTTGATACAAATATTCAATCTGATAATAGTGGTGCTCTAGTGTTCAAATCCAAGAATAGTTTAATTGTGAATACAGTTGCTCCTTTGCAAACTTTGTGTTACCACACAATTATACAAAAAATGTATATGTCTTCAATTAGAAAAAATAATAACACTTTAATGATACATCAAGACAAGAAAATTGAAAATCTTCAATGTAGTAAAGTGAACTCCTTACTTTCCTTGTGTTTAAAAGTTATATGGTGTTACCAAAAATGTAACATAAAAAGTAATAGATCTAATAAAGAAAATAACAAGGCACTGTGTAAACAAGTTGAGACATTAATCTCTCTTTGTTTAAATGTCATACAAAGCAACCAAAAAATTGATGTTGGTTGTATAGAGGACATAAATAAACTTAAAAATAAAAATAATACCATGTCACTAGAACAAGTCAAGAACATTGATGACATAGACAACAGTAATAATTTGAGCCTGAAGCAAAATGATGTATATGACAAATGTATAGAAGATAAATTTGAATACATCGAACCAAAGTCTTTGAAATACAATGCATTGTCTTCCCTACTACATATTATGTCTAACCAGAAAAATGTGAATGTTAGCAATCTCAAATCTAACACAGAAAATACATCACATACAAATCATGATAATTATTTGGAACATTTCGAAAATAAACATGAAAAAGGAAATAATTTGATAAAATCTGTACCATTTGTGTCCAATCCTGTGAGTGTGAAACCATTGTTTCAACTTTGTTACGAAAGAGTCAAATTTATTTGTAATAACGAAAATATGCTGGATCAAAATTCTGTATGTAACAGTATACAAATAAATTCCGTGAACACAGTACCTGAAGAAGTATTTTTCAATATTCAAAATGTAACATCCAATTTTGAAGATTGTCATGTAAATAGTGATGACGAGGAACACATTTGTGATGATTACTTATTTGATAGTTATAGTGAAAGTGAAACCCACATAGAAGATTATAATTCTGAATCTAAGCAACTAATGGAAGAAGTTATCCCTCCAACTCAAACTAATCATAATAATTGTTTTGACCATGGAGAAAATACACTCACTGCTGAAATTAGTAATACATCTATACCGCATATAAAAATAGAACCAATAGAAAATTATATGGAGGAAAATATTGCTGAAATTAAAACAGAACCAGACGCAGATTTGATGCCCCGAATTCAGTGTATACAAGCGGCAAAATTGGAAAATTTCTTTGAGACACCCAATATTCATAATGAAGTTGTATCGAGTTTTTGTCATGAATTTGATTCTATCGAACCTTTGCTAAATCCAAAAGGAATAAAACAAGTGATAGGCGATAAAAACAATCATGAACAAAAAGTTTTTAGTCAAAGCTCATTAAGAATACGCAGACAGTTTGAACCCGATTCTGATGATGAAAACGATAATAACATGAGCTTATTGGTCCCAGACACGTATGAGCCCTTAGATAACGTAATGATTGGAGATATTATTCCAAGTGTAAATCATTTACTAGAAGAAGAAGAGAAAATTGAAAAGAAGAAAAAGAGAAAAGAGAAGCGGATTGAAAAGAAAAAGAACAAATCTAGAACTTCAGTTTCTAAAGATATAGACGGTATAGATGAACAAATATCCAATAAAGAAATTGATGTTATTAAAGAAAAGGCGAGTGATAAAATAACACAAGACGAGGAAGAAGCTGAAAGTTCAGATTCTGACTCATTAAGTATGGTTTTGAGTTCCAGAAGGAAGAAGAAAACCGAAAGGGATATTGAAACCGAACTTCAAACAAACAGTGAACAAAAAGCCACCACTGATGAAATACAATGTAATGATGTTGATTCCACTCAGGAAATGAATGAAAATTATGAACCAAATGAAGAAGAGAATAATACAGAAAAGAGGCTTACTGGCTTACAGGAATATAATAAATATGTTAATGATCTTTATTCAAAATTTAAAAAGAAAGACAAGCTAAACGCGACCAGGGAAGCAGATGCTACAGGTAACGAACAATGTCAAGAAGAAACAGAAGAAATGGATAGATCTTTTTCACCTGCATTAAATTCTGATGAGCCTATCGAATTACTGCAATGCGAACCTAGTTTACCATTCTTAGTTGATATAATCGAGAACAGGAAAAGCAAAAAAAATGTAAACAAATCTAAAACATTAGAATCGAATGGAGACAATATCAGTGTTCTTACGGCTTCTGATTCAAGTCAAAATACGTTTAATTTGAAATACATCGTTAATAATGATAGCAAGTTATGTCAACAAGCAATTGTGGCTTTAGAAAAATTACCAGAAACGGTTACAAAAGCCTATTTTAAATCCCAAGGTATTAAATACAGAGATAACAATTCATTTAAAAGGTAACTAAATTATTTTCTTTTCCATCAATTTGCTTTTATTAAACAAAGAATTAATCGTTTTCTTTCTCTTAGGGAAGAAATTCTTTCCTTATTAGATCAAACTGAAAGTGAGAAAGCAAAAATTGAAGACAGGTCCAATATTCAAGCCATCAAAAATATAATGATCGAAAACGACGACGAAAGCAATGATAGTAATTCAATGGCACCATTTGGAGAAGATACAAACGATATCGAATCATTGCCAGATGTAAGTATAAAAGTTAATTTCAGGTAAAGTTTATTTTTGCATGAAAAAATGAATTTGTACTTATCCGTTTCTTAAACCTGTAACACTATTTTTTTAAAGGTCCCAATTTGCGAGAGACCAATAAACTCTTCTAAGCCAGAAGACTGTATAGAAATGGAACTTGAAGAATTAGTAAAGAGAGAAGAAGAAGAGAATAGTATAAAAGAAGAATTATTAGATGAAGAACTAAAATATACAAAGAGTTTGCTGTCTCGCAAAGTTTTGAACGAGACCAAAGATAAAACATGTAATGATGCAATAGTAAATAATGATACAACTCTGTTGACTGCTGATAAAATGATGAAGACTGATCTCTTACTGTTAAATGGACCTGTTGTTGAGAACAAGGAAATCACCGTTAACCCATCAAATTATCCTACAAAGAGTGTAAGATAGATTTTATTATATAAAAAAATATCTCCTGAAAACTAAATTCTATTATTGAATTCAATACATTTTTATAGAAAAGAAAATCAGATGGTACTACGCACAAAGATGATATTAACGCGGAGGACTGCTCTTCATCGGAGGAGGAGAAGCAATGGGTTACTACTAAAGAAAAGCTTTTAAAGAGGCAGTTAAAGAAAAAAGATGATACAAGGTAAATATCTATAGTAAGTTTCAAATAATAATGTGAACTTGATCTGTGGTAAATAGTAAAAAAAGTTCCGATCAAAAATGTATTTGTCTTAATATTATTGTTATTAATGAATTGAGAGCTGTGACGTCATAATATGGCGCTTATGCACATATATGTATAATCATACTAGCTTTCGCCCGCGACTCTGTCAGCGTGCAATTTAAAAAATCAAAAGTAAATAGTCTGTATTCTACCAAACTGTGTACATCTATACCAAAATTCATCGAGATTCGTTCAACAGTTTAGGCTACGAACTCTAACATCCATCTAAACTTTGCCATTAATAATGTTAGTGAAATTAATGTATGTTTTTTAACGTTTTTAGTATGGACGCGGCAAAGCGAGCTAAAATGGTTAGCCAGTATGTAACAAAATGCAAGACGACAGAATCACGCCATCGATATACACGAAGTGTTCGCTCGAGGAGGGAAAACTTTTTGGAGCGGCAAAAGCAACTCAAGTAAGCTTCCTTTGAACAACCAAATATGCCTGTATTCCTCACCATTAAACACATAAATTATGTATTAAATTTCAAATGGTCGCTTTACTATGTATTACAACATTACAATGAATCAATTGAGAAAAAATATACATCCACCGACATTTATTTCAACTTATCTATTACTACGAGTCGCCCGCTAACTTCGTCAGCGTGGAATTTCAAAAAAATGGTCGCCTATAACATTTCCGCGTGCATCTCCTTTTTACTTACTACCTTCTAGACAAAGTCCCGTCCAAATCGATCCACCCGTTCCAGAGATGGCGATCCGGTCGCCATTTTGACAGCACGGAATTTTATAAAAGTAGTCTATAATATGCCCGTCTATGTCAGCTACACTCCAGTGAAAGTCGGGTCGAAATCGGCCCAGCCGTTTCGGAGATTACCCGAAACAAACACGGCTTGCGGACAGACAAAAATGTTCCCGAAATCTGGATTTTTCTTTTGATATTACAAACAGCCACTCCAAGTTTATTATATGTATAGATTATTATTGGTATACTATTATTTGATTATTAGATATTCTCTATGTATTTCAAATTACAGAGTTCTATCCGAAGAGGGTTTCGGTGAATGTTCAAACGAGCCATATCAATTAGGAAAAAAGAGTTCACAGAGTTTCAGAAAGGGACGACGTAATATTAGAAGGGTAAGACAAATATTTTTAAACTAAAAACACGAAATCAATGAATACTACTATACTAATGTTATTAAGAGAAAAGATTTGTATTTATATTTTTGCATGTATTGCTAGCTACGTTTTTTAAAACAAAAAATTTAATTGTAACTAGCGTAAAAAAATTAACAACTAGAGTACTGGACCCGCCAGAAAGGCAAGCTATATCAATACGTCTGAAGGACATTGACAGCTGTCAGATAGGGATGGACGTCTATGCCGAAAATCTAGTGTTGCGCCAATCCTCCAGCGCAATACTGATTTTCTACTTACCGTTATCACCGAGTTACATAGGCTATTTTTTTCCGCTCGGACAAAGACGCAAACAATCTATAATACATTAATAAGCCTAACGTCGAACCTAATAATTTCTATTGAATATTCTAAAAAATATGTAAATAATTAACTAAATATCATAATGTTAATTTCAGGTAATTGACAAGAAGTCATTGGCGAACAGTACCTTGTCGGCAAATATGGAAGAATTGAATCGTAAAAGTAGACTGCTTTATCGACAGAACAAATTGGTACAGTTACTAATTTTCCATATAAAGAATTGATATTTTTTGTCCGTTTACTTTCAAATGTGTGAATACCATGGTCTCTTATATTACAGAGAGAGATTTTGGGCTGCGAGGAAGGTGTGAATGTTGTTGTAATAAACGATGAAGTGTGCCTTGAATACGATTTTGAAGAAAATCGGCCCATTGTCACTGTACATCATTTCTTTACGCAAGTCATGAAGGCACATCAGGTAAAAACTTTTCTCCTTAATGTCTATTCTCAAATAGTTAAGTTACACTTTCTTCGCATCATCAATTCAGTTGTACTTAGGTTCTACTAAGCCGCAACATTGTAACTGACATAGTTCGTCGTATTTCCAGATTGCAACTCACACACATAGCATAGTAATTGCAACTTTTCTAAGAAAACACATCATAGGCTAGATGAGTATCTATACTCTATATTATAAAGCTCTCAATATAATACAGCGTAAACGCACACTACTTCGTGGCGTAGGATGTCAGCAATCACAGCATATTTTTGAATAATTCTTTCTTAAAAAAAAAACCCTACACTTACAACACGTAAATAAATTGAAAAAAAAAACATAAACTACAAGCTGCCAACATTAAGGAAGCGAGGTTATTATGGTAACGGTAATTTTGACATTTGCAATGGAGAATTTGACATTTGTAAACAATAAAATATATTTTTTTTATATTTTTATGCCCTTCAAGCCGGAGGGGAACAGTTAGTTAATTGATATTTTAAATAAATAGAATCAGCTCAAACGCTTGGATATAGGTTTATGGCCCATGTGTTACGTTGCAGTACGAGGGTGTGAAGTTCATGTGGGACGCGTGCTTCGAGAGCTTGGAGCTGGTGCGCGCGGGGCACGCGGGCGGCGGCTGCATCCTCGCGCACTGCATGGGCCTCGGCAAGACGCTACAGGTGCTGGCGCTGCTGCACACGGTGCGTTGCACATGTATACTCACATGCAAACTTTATAGTGGGTCGCTACTTCACATCACATGTTATATCACCAACCCACAGTCGGCTAACGTGATTGACTATGGCATACTTATGCTGCCAGACCCTCAGTGTGCTCGTATAGTGAGCTGATGATGATGATCTTACAAGCTATGGTAAGCATAACACAATTTCAGATATCTAAGGGATCCGAACGACTTTATATACTTGCACACGTTGTTATCCACGAGCCGCATAAACTTTGTATTGTATAATACCTATGTTGTATGTATGTTTCTCAGTGTTACTGTGGGTTGTCGCCTCTTTGATTAAACATAGGTAATATATTTTTAAATTGTGTTTTCCTTTATTTTCATATATATAGGTGCTAACTCACCCCGACGTGGGCATACGGCGTGTGCTGGTGGTCTGCCCGCTCTCCACCGTGCTCAACTGGGTCGACGAAATCAACAAGTGGATGGGACCCGTCAACAAAAACATAAAGGTCACAAACACTTTTAATATTTAATTTGTAATAACTTAAAAATAAATGACACATTCGCGAATTTTATATTAGATTGTAAAATTTATTTTTTCCTATTCAAGTCTGCTAAAGCGAAGAGGACTACGCGGGTAATTATACATGTCATATGAACTGAAAATAAATTTAATTATCTCAAATCTCTAACACTATTGATGTCGTCTTATCCGCTATAATCTTTATTCAAAACAATATTTTGTTTTTAGTTTTAAGAACATAACTTCATAGTAGCCATTTAACTTTTATAAAAGTTTTATATGTACTTATTTTGTAGTCCTAGTTGTATATAAATATGGTGAAAATTGTTTAAACTGAACAATTTCTCTAGGTATTCGAATTATCGAAGTTGAAAAAGACGTACGAGAGAGCTTACCAGCTAGAAGACTGGTACACAGCTGGTGGTATATTTATAATGGGTTACGAAATGTTCAGGAATCTATCAACTTTGGACGCGATATTAGACGACATACGACCGAACATTGTCAACAAAATTCGTACCGCGTTATTAGACCCTGGTCCTGATGTGATAATATGTGATGAAGGACATCTTCTGAAGAACGACAGCTCGGTCCTCGCGGTGGCCATCAGTAGGATCAAGACTAAACGACGAATTGTACTAACTGGTACACCAATGCAGAATAATCTCAGAGAATACTATTGTATGGTGAATTTTGTAAAGCCTAATCTACTAGGATTGTATTCTGAGTTTGCAAACAGGTTAGTTTTAATTTTTTTTCCTTCACGTCTTAATTAGGCAAGTCTATTGAAAATAATGTGTAACAATGTGTTATTTTTAACATAATTTAAAATTATAACATAAAATCTGTGGTAAAAAAAGCACGAAATGAAGTTCAATATTTATGTTGGCAGATTTGAAAATCCGATTATTAACGGTCAACATCGTGATTCAAGAGAAGAAGATATAAAATTAATGAAAGCGCGAACACACATCTTGCACAAAGTCCTAGAAGGTTGCCTACAGCGGCAAGAGGCTGCAGTACTCTATCCATATCTGCCAAAGAAACACGAATATACCGCGTTTATTCCCTTAACGGATTGTCAAACGGAGTTATACAAACATTATATGAAACATTACGCGCAACAAGCAAAGCACAATGTACTAAAAGATTATCATATTCTGCAGAAAATATGGACACATCCGCAAGTGTTGCATAATTTTCAATCAAAAAATCGAGACGCTAACAGAATTAAAGGTATTAAAAAATCTTACATTTTAAAATGTCTTACTATACAGAGTTTATTAAATGTATATTCTATTCCATATGAATAAACTACATGAAAATACTAATAATTTCCTTGGAGATAAAGTAGTATTGTAATAGTAAAAAGTTTATTTTTATTGATTCAAAATTTGTTCTTTATTATGTACTAGCTGCATCGGTGTGGAAATAAAAAAATCGTAATAAAAGAGCTACGTGTTATTCCATATTTTAAGTTTATGCCATTGAGATTCCTTAAGCCGTTTATAGAAACCTTTTAAAAATTTTCATTCATCAATCCTAAATGGATTACAATATTAGTAAGATTTTAACTCTTTCCAGTGGAGAAATTTGAAGACGACCTGGCGTGTGAGGACCTGGCGGCGAACGAGGATGTAAAGCCCTCGCAGACGGAGGTCTGGTGGCTGGAGTACCTGGAGGGCGGCAACAAGCTGGACTCCCTCGAGAGTTCCAATAAGCTATACGCTGTCTTCCGTATACTCGACGAGTGCATTGCCCTCGGCGACAAAGTGTGAGTCAGATATCACCTTTTTCTTCTAATTTCTCATTTTTATAACATTCTCTATTCTGCTTCCATCTCGCCTTCTCTTTTTCTGTATATCAGCGTAGATGTTCTTGTTTATTTCCTTTATAACAAGACATTCTAATATAAAAATTGAAATATTAGCTACTTGTTGCTCGCGACTTCGTCCGCGTAAAATTAAAAAGTAGTAAAAAATGTAGCTAATATTACCGATACATGAAATAGGCTGAGTAGTTTTTGAGTTATTTCAATACATACAATTCTTTAAAATATTGGCATATATAAGAATTTTTTTAATGAAAAGGTGAATTAATTATTTTATCTTTATCAGTTGGATTTTTTAAATCAATTATTTGTGTAATTCCAGGTTAATATTCTCAACATCGCTGAACACGATGGACACGCTGGAGTACTTCTTGAAGAAGATAAAGAAGTGGAGCCTCGGCTGCGAGTACTTCCGGCTGGACGGCTCCGTGCCCGCCGAGGTGCGCCAGAACTGGTGCCGCGAGTTCAACTCCCCGAACAACAATACCACCAAGTGAGGAACATTGGATTATTCATAATGCTATATTCTTTTACTACAAAGACCTTTAAATGATGTATAGACGAGGCATATTGTACTAAAATTTTTCACCGGTACTATCTCAGAAAGGTTGTCAAGTTTAGTACGCTATCTCGTTTCCTTGATTTATGCGTAATAAAACATTGTAAGAAGCTCCACCGTTTGTTATAAACTAAATAGTGTTACAAAATACAAAATAAACATATAAATATTATTAAATGACACCGATCGGCAATCAATTTTAATACAATTATATTGACATGTTGTTTTGAGGGTCTGTTAAAGAAAAAGAAAGCGTTAGTGAGATTATGTGTAAAATGTTTCAAGGGAAGTGTCAACTAGGCCTCCTCTATTTTTTTAAATCTCTTTGCTTTACTGCCATATTCTGCCAGTTTAGTAGTTCAGGCTACAAACTCTAACAAACATCCATCCATCTAAACTTTCACATGTATAATATTACTAAGATAGTTGGTGTTGGGTAATAAATGAAAATCTTATATCAAATGTTAAAAGGTACATATTGTTGTTTCAGTTTGTTCTTAATATCGACACGCGCCGGCTGCCTGGGACTGAATATGACGGCGGCCAACCGCGTCATCATCCTCGACACCTCGTGGAACCCCGCGCACGACATACAGAGCATCTTCCGCGTGTACCGCTTCGGACAGAAGAAGGACTGTTATATATACAGACTTGTTGCCATGGTAACAAACACATCACCTCAACTCTACAAATATACAGCGCAACAAACCTTACTCACATATGTACTACTGAATAGTGGAACTAAACCACAAGACGCACCCAAACTGGTTGTTAATGTCACAGTCTTTTTTTTCAGACATTTAAACAATGTATAGAGGAGACATAAGAATGTATAATTTTTACCTGTACCTTCTTTGTAAGGTACTATATAAGTTGTCAAGTTTAGTATGCCACCTTGTGTCAAATTTACAAAAATATGATATGCTCCATGTTTTGTTATAAATTAAACTAAACAGTTGTACAAAACAGGCTATTGGCAATTAATTTAAATACGCTTAACATGTGGTTTTAAGGATCTATTAATAGATACAGGCGTTAGTGAGATGTGAAAAATATTTTAAGTGAAATGTCACCTCTATTTGTTTTTTAATCTCTTTGTTTCTACGTCACTATTTTACGTTTTGTTTGATTGAGTATGTAGGAGGATGTCATGTTGATAAATAATTGTTTATGTATCAGGGTACAATGGAGCAGAAGATCTACGAGCGGTCTGTAACGAAGCAGGCGGTGGCGTGCCGCGTCGTCGACTCGCAGCAGATCGACCGACACTACAACATGGATGAACTCACAGAACTCTACAAGTCAGTAAAAACAAATAAATACTACTCACTGCAAAAAATTGTGACACTGCAAAGGATTTAAGAAAAATGTATAACTTTTTACACACAAAAGAATTGTTAATGTAGTTAATTGGTCACTTAGGGAGTCATCTTATTGTTTATTAAATCAAAACAACTTAATGATTAAGTGACATGAGTGAGGTTCTCATTAAAATCTCAAAATACCCTACTTAGGTTCGTTGTAGGTTTTCTTCTTCAATACCGATCTATGTTCTAAAAAAATAAAACCTAAAAAATAAATTGCTTAGTGTGTGAGGTTACTTAGTTTCTATTCACACTTAGCCAGTCGCTTCGGCCAGGCGTAGGCTAGCTGAAACAAGTTATCTTTTTTTTATATATTAACTTCTACAGACTCTTGGTCCGTACTCTTTTTTGCACAGTTTGTTTTTCTTTTTTATTTGTTGCATAATCCTTATTACACTAGTGAGTTCCTTTTTTATGTACATTTGACCAGTTAATGTTTACACTCCATAGAGTCTAAGATTAGTGGTCACAACTGTCCAAATGTACTGGCCCGGTGTGAACCGTGTGATGTGTGTATAGATTCGACGAGACAGGTGCAGGCGTGGAGAGCGGCGTGGCGGCGGGCGTGACGGACGTGGCGCTGCTGCGCGTGGCGCGCGACGCGCCGCTGCACGCGGTGCACGAGCACGACTCGCTGCTGCGCGACTCGCACGACCAGCACCTGCCGGAGCACGAGCGTGCAGCGGCATGGAAACAGTTCGAAATGGAACAGGGACACTCACGTAAGTATTAGGAGACCGACTAGAGACCTGAATTCAGCTAAATAGCTTTATAAGACTGAAGTTACAGACATAACTAGATGTGTTTTTATCATCAAATTAAACACAGCTTTCCAAAATAAATCCATAGACTAATATTAAAAAAAAATTTCTCGATAAGTGAATTGTATGTTCTTAAGAGAAAAATAAATATCTTAAACCTTGTGGTATAAACCACTTGTGGTAAAACCTTGTGGTGTATATACTTTCTCATTTCCATTGTATTCGACTATATCTTTAGGAAATTACCAAAGCTCATCAAGGTTTTAATTGTTCCTGCTGGCAGACTAATGTCGTAAACTTAGTATGTCAAAGTTTTGTGTTTTATTAATTTCAGATATGGCAAACCATGAGAACAATTTATTAAGAACGCCGACAAAAAAAAATCATGGACACGATTATCCTTTGTCACCAAGTTTGGCAAATGATAATTCAAACACTTTAATAGCAAAATCCAAAGGAAAAAAAGGAAAGAAGTCTAAACCAAAAGATCAAGATATGGTTAAAGAAGAAGTTGTCGATACAGACAGTCCATCTACCGATGCGACTAATTTAACACCAGAAATACAACAAATAAAAAAAATTCTAGTACAACAGAATTTAAAAGATGATTTAAGTGTTGAAAATAATATTGAACAATTGGTAGAACATGTGCAAAAAGTAGCCGAAGCTCGTTTAAGAGGTGAAAAATGCCACGCAGCCCCTTTGGTGGATAGTTTAGCTCGAGTGTTTCTCAAAATGAAAGCCAAAAACATGGCCACTGCGGATGTTCAAACGCCGACATCGGTTGTTGATAAAGAGGGACCTACCATAAGGGAAAATAATCGTAAAGTTTACAAGAATAAAAGAAAACGTCAAAGTGATATTACTGAAAAAATACCAGTAGATAATATAGAAGAAACCGCCAACATTGTAGATAATAAAAAAAGAAGAGCAGCTATCAAAGCTAAAGAATACATGAATTCTATAAATATAAAAGAAACTAACGATGAAGATGGAAGTTGGTCGCAGGAAGATTTTTGTGCCACTTCAGATACGAGGCAAAGGAAAAGGAATACAATTGATTCTGATGAAGAAAACGACCAAGCGGTTAATTTACGATCGTCCGATCAAATATCTACAGAAGATGATAATAAAACAGATAAAGCAGACAAATCTGAAACACTTATGGTTGAAATACCTGATGATGAAGACCCATCGTTAAAGAGTATCGTTTTAAGTGATGATGAAACAGTTTTAGAAGAAGAAACTAAATCAGCAGAGAGCATAGAAGATTGTGCTACAGTTGAGAGTGATGAAGAACGTATACCTTTACACGCATCTCTGTTAGTAAACCAATATTTTATTAAAGTAGTCGCCAATAAATACTTAGAGGGAAACCCCTTACTGGATAAAGATGCAGCGCTCCATGCAGCTCGGTACAGTGTACAAAAAGCTTTGAAAGAAATACAGGAAGATGGAAAAAATTTATACAGCGGTCCGCTATACGATATAGCTGTAAATGTTAGTATCTTTCTTTTATTGTTTCATCATCACCAGCTCACTATACATCCCCACCGAGGGGCTCGGAGCCTACTCTAAGTAAGGGGTGACTAGGCCATAGTCAACCACGCTGGCCAAGTGCGGGTTTGTCGACTTCACACATATCTTTGAATTTCTTCGCCGATATGTGCAGGTTGCTTCACGATGTTTTCCTTCACCGTAAGAAAGTCGGGTAAATTATGTACATATGAAAATTCGAAAAATCGAAACTCACTTTGGTACATGGCGGGATTCGAACCCAAGACCTGTAGATTATAAGTCAAGAGCTTAAACCACTGAGCCACCGACGCTCTTTTATTGTTTGATAAAACAAAAAAAAAGTGAATTTTCCATCTACAAACACATACAAAAAATATAGTCATACAAACTCTCATATTATATAACAGCTCAAATCTGATTGATTAATCTTATTCTAAATTTGACATTTTATTAATTCATGCATTTTCTTTTAGTCAATAGGCATCGATAAATTAAAGCAGCTTCATGAAATTTCTAAAAAAACGAATCCCGAATCAGATTCAACGAAACAAAGTAAAGATTCAACAAGAAAAGATAAACACGTAGCTAGTCAATCTGAATCCAATCCAGCAAAGGACGACGTTAGTAAAAGCAGAAGAAAGAGTAAAAATAAATCCAAACCAAAGTCGGAAATAGCCAAAGAAAGCGCAAAACGACAAGAACGGATAAGCTCAACGGATTCTGATGATTTAGTACTTGTGTCAGATGAAATGAGTTGTGAAAAAACAAAAAGTAAACAGCCCATTAGTAACAAAACAAACAAAACTGAACGGGAATCTCTCAAGTCAACTGTAAAACCGATCAATGGTACTTTGACGTCGGCATCAACATCTACGTCTGCGCCAGCGACTACACTTGCGCCTGCGCCTGCGTCCAGAAAAAAGCTTAACATATCTACAAACCTCCGTACTGAACAAGATCTAGTAATTCCTATTCAGCTGTGAGTATTACTTTATATTAAACTAGCTTTCGCCCCCGACTCCATCCGCGTGGAATTAAAAAAAAAACAAGTAGTCTACGTTTCTTCTAGACTCTTACATCTGTGCTAAATTTCATAGTAATCCATTCAGCTGTTTAGGCTACAAACTCTAACAAAACATCCATCAATCTATCTAAACTTTCGCATTTATAATATTAGTAAGATTTATATAAAATATAAATAGTCATTTTCGTTCATTTGCAAATCTACATTTTGTGAATTCAAACTCAGTACTTGCTTATACAATAGTTTTGAAGTTAAACATTTACTATGTTTTATGTAAACATCAGGATTAAAAGTTCATCCAACTCTACAATGACAATGAGAAGACCCTCAACACCCGTGACCGAGGAATGCATCCTGCCAGATGATGATGATGACGTGTGCTATATCACGGGCACCACTCCCACTGCATCCTCCAGCAGGAGCACTGCATCCCCACTGCACCTCTCCGAAGAACGTTCCGGAGATGAACATTCACATAGGAAAACAGCACCTATTGCTTCAACTAAATCAAATGTACAGCCAACAACCGTCCAAAAGAAAGTACCCCCTCGCTCTGTCGACAGGCCTGCATCCTCTGTTGATCTAGACAATGAATTAGCAAACTCTGTTAGATATAAAGATAATCAAATCAATACAAAAGGAAATTCTGACGTAATCTGCTTAGTCAGCGAGGACGAGGATGATAGCAGTGTAAGTTCCGAAGAATCGCAGCCGAGCACTGAAAATGGAGCAACTACTTCGCAATCCCCACTGCCGCCCAACCCGGTGTTCATATCGATGATACCCTCACATACCATTGCCGCACCTTCTGCAACTAATCAAACGCTCAGCCAAACTCAAATATTGAACTCTACCAAAAGCAACGCAACTATTGGAATTATAAACCAAAATCCACTACTTACACCAGTCTCTTTCTCCCACGTACAGTGTACAAATAACGCATTCACTTCAAATGCAAACGGTTTTTGCAAGCCCGGTGATCTCATAAAAATTAATCAATCCGGTGAAATGTTTTTGTTGAATCCAAACCAGACTTCCGTCACGAGACTTTTACCAACTCCTATGCCGACCGTACAAAACACACCCATAAATACGGCGAACTCGATAGTGGGTAAAGTAGCAATTAGAGCGCTCCGACAGAACCCACCACCTCTGGTTCAAACAAAAAGAGGCGGATCAAGAAAGGTCCCTTCTGTGTCCGGGACAATCGCACAAGACAAACCAGCTTCGATGGCACCAAAACTAACTATAGCTCCACTTGAACCAACTAAGAAAAAAGATAAACCGGCGGTTAACCATTCGATTGTATCATATTACCCTAACAAGAAAATTAAAGTAATAGATTCGAAACGAAACAATGAAGTTATAACAGATTGTCTCGACCTGACAGATAATGATTATAGTGATGTTCCAAAAAAACCGGCCAATAAATACAATATCACGAATGTTGCACCTCATGCAAGTAATGTTAAGAGAACTGTCTCCGTGGTCGGCTCGCCCAAAGATTTCATGATTGTTCGCTCAGGGCACCGGTCGAAACTGGAAACGTTAGTATACATCTTATTTTCGTTATTTCAACTACTTTTTTTCATCTTATAAATGACTACTGAAAATAAATATTAAATGAACTGAAGATAGTTCCTATCTAAATCAGGTTATTTCTTAATCTTCTTGGTTTATTTTTTGTTTTTCATTTCAATATTGGTCCTTTTTTCAGATTATTATCGCGAAAACGCAAAGAACCCACGATGCCCGCACTCGGTCGATTAGACCTCAAGAAAAAGTTAACGACACCAGAAGTCGCTGGTCCGTCGAAGAAGACGAAAACACCGCCTACCAGTAAGTGTTTGTTTTGTAAATGCCATTATTTGAGACAAAAAAAGTTAAGTTGAATTGTATAAAATTACATTCCTAATATTTTCTTTTTCCTTGCAGAAAAGTTTACCTTGCAAGACTTCAACATTGATATAGATGACGACATTATAGAACTCGAATAGTCGTACTTTAAAAAAAAAATACAAGTAGTTAAGTCTTTTTAGCCCTTATAACTTTTATTCCAAAACTCATGTTAAAACTGGAAAAAATTATGGTAGGGAAAGGTTTCTCAAAAATAACCCTGTGATATAATTATCTGTACTAGTTCTATTTTTTTCATTTTCGGTTTCCGAATTATTTAGCTGTAGATAAAATCTGACGCCGATGTGATGTTTGAATTAAGAACTGAACGGAGTATACATTAAGTGAACGAATGACCGAGAGATAGAAGAAAAAATCTTGTATTTGGAGTCTATTTTGTGCCGCGAAAATTTGAATGACGCAAAAATGGTTGACTCATTTGACTTTCCGTATCTAATAATTTAACAGAAATTTGTGAAACGACCGTACCGGATCAAAATTAATTGATATTAAATCCAGACAAATGTTGAAAAACGGAAATTTATAAATTTTTAGACACAAACAATTTTTATTTTGCATCCCTGAAAGTGTTCCGTTATATTAGATTTATGTAGATTTTAGTTTTTTATTTGGTTAATGTTGCTTGTTGTTTTCACCTATTTGGTGAATTTTTGTTGTAATTACTATTTTTTATAGTTTACTTAAGATTGCGACTAAAATGCATGTATTTCCTATTATAATATTTTTATTAGTAACTAAATAAATTAATATTTTCTTTCATGTTAACAAATTATGTTATAAATACGCATGTTTTAGACGTTTTTGATAACATATTTGGTATATAATTTAGGTCTGTATTGTATATTTTTATGTCTCAAGGTTAGCACATTGTGTAAACACTTTATAATATCACTTGGATATTCATAAATTAGTTTATAAGTAAAGTTTTTAAGGAGTGATGATTTAACTACTACTAGAACTAGTTTATTTCGAAGGAGAGAAAAGTTTATTTTAGTGACTGAGGTTTGAATCAGCAAGTACAGCGGATTGCATTTTATTTAACAATGTATCTTAAGAACTGAAGTTAACTAGCCGTTAAGTATTTTCAATATATGGAAATTTTATAGAATAACTTGTAAGAGTGCATTATGCAAATTTTATTTTACTTATAAGAATGGAACTATATGATAAAGTTCCAAAATATATGGATAGCTTGTACGTAGTGCATTGTAATAAAACAAAATGATTTATGCAACTGTATATTTATTTCTTCCCTTACAACAATAATGTATTAAAAATAATTTAATAAAATCTTATTCTAAAACTTTAAAGCTTCTACACAGATATAGCTCCAAAAATAACATTTTAAAGTAAACCAATAGAAATGACTGACCAGTCGTTTATCACTTTTTATAAAAGTTATATTTTAATTTTTCTAAATTCCACGAGCTAAATACATGTACAGTCAGCTGCATATTGACTACCACAAATCAGATAATGGATCAAAATCCAATGTTTCCATAACATATTTTACACGTTCAATTGTTATCAGACAATTTATAATATGGTGGGACAGGTCAATCATTGCATATACAGATTTATGCAGCTGAGTGTACATAACATACTCATCCTTTTCATTCCCTCTTTTCAATAATAGAGCTAATATTTCTTCGTGCAGGTTTTTTAGCAGTGGAAACGCACTATAAAAACCATTTACACAGTTATATTTAAATTATATCCTACTTACAGCCAATACTCTATACAAATTTTCTTGTTCGATCGTTATAAACTTTTTTTGCCTATTGTACATTATATTTTACAATTGTACTGATTAAATTAAATTAATTTTTTTGAATAAACTTTTTACTAAATTATATTATTCTTATAACTTAGAAAAATAGCTCAGAATTGAATATGTAGCAAAATAACTGAGCATTTCTATAAACAAAAAGATAACATTTACTTGGAACTTTTATTTTTTCGTTGGAAAATGTAACTAATTTACGTATATCTCTTGAAATAAACCTTGACTGCATATAGAAATTACCAAGAAGGTAATAAGGAGAGTTATCTTTCAACAGTGGTAGATTCCACCTTAGATTTCATACAAAATATTGAATTACCTTTTATAAAATCACTTGATTCTTATTACTTTTGCATTATAATATTTTTTAGAAAGTTAAGTTTCTTTAAAAAGTTAAAAGCTTCAGTTTGCAATTGATTTAAAAATTATAAAAGTTACAAATAAGACAGTGCGCAATATTTGCGAAAATTGCAGTTTTTTATTTGGTGTTTTTTATGAGTGTAGGCCGTTTCTTTTTGGCAGCTCAGCTGCACTTTGCGTAGCTCTCACCATTCACATCTTTTTAATCTCACTGTACTTAAGATGTTCTGGGCCACTCATTATCGCACGATCCAAACCGCCATATGATTTGTTTATTACACATTCTTATTGAACGCAATATTTTTTTTTACTCTAATCTTAAATCATAACAATACACTTTTAAAATAAATTTATTAAGTCAAAAAAGCTACCTGTATATTAAATGTCGTAGCGAAGTACATACTTCCCATTTCTTTGGAAAAACAAACAATACATTTAGTAGTTTCTAATTTTAAAATAGTAATATATTTTGTATATCTTTAAATCTTAATAATATTAAGATTAAATATATCTTTAAAAATAATACATCAAAATATTTGAAAAATAACAGCATATGTTCACTGTTTTTAACATATATTAATACTTTTAGATACCCAAATATTAAGTAAGAACATACAAATTATGTTCTTTACATACTTCATATATCAATATAACAAAGTCATTTAATTCTGATAAAACCTCACATTGAAGTTATTTATTTTGGATAAAGATTTTGAGGTTACTTTTTACACATTCATAAAAATAGCCTTTTAAAAAATAATAATTAAGACTAGTACACTATGAACAAAAACAGATCAAATTAATACCGTTTTCTTACTGGCAACCTCCATTATTTTAGATTTTCACACTGGTTATCTACTGTCGTTACTTGTATGCACATTTTTTATTGTCTTTCACAAATGGGAGACATGTATGTCAATGTGAGTTAATTTTAGCGAGTCTCGTTTTATCAAAGGAGCAGATAGCTTGCAGCAACGCGCCGCGACCTCCACACGGAGACAACATGGAGCCATTGCCGCTCGTATCGCCGGCTGTGTTATATTCAAAAAAGTGTGATAAGGTATTAAATAAATCCAATACAATACATAGTATAGTCCTAAAAGTGAAGACTTTTCGTGTTTCCCTTAAGTAAAGAGTCACAGCCTTTATAATAATAGGATATAATTTAACTTTTTAATTTTTTTATAGTATGAGGTGACAAACAAGCGGCCACTGGAATAAAAACAAACAGAAAGAGGAATTTTTCCCATTCTATGCGTCCCATTATCCACCTCCCCTTCCTTATAAGTAGAGTAGGAAGGGTAATGGAAATTAAACCGACACACATTCACCATCATAAGATGATCTCCACTTGACGCGTGTTTTGTGTAATTGTATTGCAGAGGGCGAACAGGCTCTGCAGTGAAACAGATATTGGTGTCCACCACTGTTGGAGTATGTGTGTAGTGTGGGTGGTTTGGTGTTAAGATGTTTGCAGGTGACTAACATCTTAACGTCCAAGAGGAAATAACTCGTAAAGGGAGACAGTGTAGTAGATAAAACTATACTAAGATAAAGACACTAGCTGATGTTTAACTGAAAAAGACATTAAATCGGTGTTAAATGAATTATGAAAATCAAAATTATTATATGTTAATGTTGTTAGATTGTTGAAATAATTTAATATTATAATAAGAGTGTACTCACAAGGCGCAGTGGGTGCAGTGGGCGCAGTGGGCGGGGTAGGCGCAGTGGGCGGGGTAGGCGCAGTGGGCGGGGTGGGCGCGGAGGGCGGCGTGGGCGAGGAGGCGGTGCTGGCGCTATGCGAGCGCACCGTCTCCGCCAACGACGACGTCGACTTCCATATACTGTCGCGTTTCTTCTAAAATCATACAATTTAAAAAGTTTACATAGACACAATTACTGTAATAAAGTTATATACGGTACTCGCTACTTCGTCTACCTGGAATTAAAAAAATAAATAAAATGGCCTTTGTTACTTACTGATAACATTTTAATGGTGAAATAATTTTTGAAATCGGTATTTTTCAAGTTATTTCAAAATGCACGCTAACAACCTTGTCCTTAAGGAATAATATAGTAATACATATACGATATGTTACTTGGTCCAGTAATATTGTGTTTATTCCTTACAAATATACAAATACTTCATTTTTACAACAGTATAGTATATAAGTAACAGTAACAAAATAAGTATAATTTGAATATGTATGATGTAATTAAGAGTACTAACCACTCTCCGCTTCTGTTTCTTCATTTCCTCTTCTGAATTTAATATTTCTTGTATTCTTACTTCTCTCTTTGCACTCCTTAACTGTAATAAAATTTGCATGTTTTAATTTTTTTTTATATATAACACCTTTTTAATTTATCAAACACTAGCTGTTCCCATGCGGCTTCATCCGCATGAAATTATGAAAATGTTATTTTATTCTTTACATTTGTCAAATTATTAATAGCAAATGTCAAAATGACATAACATTACAAACCATGCCAATCTTGCTTCTTGATGTTGGCAGCAACTTATGGTCTCTTTCCCACATTAGGGTTTTTATCCAAAATATATACCACCTAAATTTAACGGTGTGAAAATATATAGCCTAAAGCGTGACGTAAGTGTAGGGCTTTTTATTAAAAAAAAAGAATTATTTAAAAATATGCTGTAATTGCTGACATTTTAGGCAACAAAGAAGTGTGTGTTTATGCTTTATTATAATAGTATAGAAGATAAATCGTATACTTACTAATTTCTGATCAGCTTTGAGCCTCAGTTCTGCACAAGCGCGTGCTTTCTTGATTTCCTCTTTAAGAGGTAGCGGTAGTTTGAGATGTTTTGTGTGTTGTCGCGGCGCGAGGCCATTGAGTGCGGCGCGCGTGAAGAACTGGTGATGCAAGAGCTCCTCCAGCGACGCCCCGCCCTGCTTACACGATGCCGAGGAAAGACATACACGGAGCACTGACACTGAAATATAACCTAAATCTATATCTATACTAATATTATGAAGAGGAAAGATTTGCATTTTTGTATGTATTGAAACTAAAAAACTACTACGCCGATTTCAAATATTCTTTCACCAAAAACTCCATTATCAGTAAGATAGGCTTAATTTTAAGTTTAATTTTACGCGAAGTTGCGGGCATCAGCTAGTCTATACTAATATTATAGAGAGGAAAGATTTGGATTTTTGTACTTTTGTATATATTTGATTCCCGTAAAAACTTCAGAACCGATTTTAAAAATCCTTTCACCATTAGAAAGGTAATTTAACTGTGAAAAACATAGGCTATGGTATTTTAAATTTTTTGATTTTACACGGACGAAGTTGCGAGCAACAGCTAGTCTTTATTTTTTTCATAACTTACCTAAATCTTCAGACATTTCCTCCGGGTATATATCACAGTAATATTGATCTAATGTAGTAGCGAGGGCCATTTCATACAGAGTTCTACCGAAGCAGTACACATCGACTGCTTCGGGCGAGCTCGTGTGTCGCAGCTCTAACAGATACGGTCTGTAGAGACACGGCACACCCAATAATACATTCTCTGTATCCAACAAAAGTGCTCTCTGATTCTCTATTGTTATGTTCCCTGGGTGTATGTGACCTGGAAATATTAAAAAAATAACTAAAATATGATCTATGGTTACTAGCATTTGCGCAAACAAACTAGGTTTTTTACTAAGTTAAATTAACATGAAACTTAGTAAAAAACCTATGTGTTCTTCCAGACTACATCTAACTTTCAGCAAGATCTGTTAAGCCTTTTGGGAAATGTGCAGTAACAAAGATCCAACCATGAAAACATTTGAATTCATAATATTAGTTGCATCTTTTAAAGATAAATTCCATTTGCTAAAAATAGACTGTATCAAGAAATATAAATGCAATACTTGTAAAAAAGCCATACAAGGTCTAGAATACTCATTTACATTGCTATGTATTGGAGTTGTTAGTGTAGTAATCTGTATCGATAAGCATGAGTTTCCATTGTCAAGAGAAAAACATAATATTATACTACTTTTTTCACAGATATATTGTTACAATGGAAACTGACTTTATAATGTTATGACAGACATACCATGTGATAATCCTTTATCATGTAAAAACTTCAACGCTTGCAGTATTTGATATCCGTAATGCGATAATTGTCCCATTGTGAAAGGTTTCCTTACTTTAGGGTTACCATACTTTGCTAAATAATTCTTTCCATACTCAGTACCATACAGCATATCCCTCACACTTCCATTCTCATGTATTTTTCTAACTACATAGGCACCTGATTCTAAAATTTGATATCCTAATATTTCATTTATATATGGATGCTGAAATTGCAAAGAAAAACATTTTTACTCCACATATTTGATAAATGATAAGTGCAAAGGAATTAATCTTTACAGTAATTAGTATAAAAATACTATTTTACAACATACTTAGAGGTCAAACCTCATTGGTGTTAAAGCCTATCAAACCAGCAACCATTTAAAAAAACTACATACGACATAAAACTATGACACAAACCCTATTTATTACCATACTAGCTGTTCCCGTGCAGCTTCATCCACATTAAATAATAAAAATTATTTTATTGTTTACAGTTGTCAAATTCTCAATCGCAAATGTGACAATTACCGTTAGCATAATATCCTTGCTTCCTTCATGTTGGCAGCTTGTAGTCTATGGTCCCTTTACAACATAAATCATTTTTTCGGATATTTTTATCTCTCCAATTTAAATAGCATGAAAATATATAGTCTTCAGTGTGTTGTAAGTGAAGGGCTTTTTATTAAAGAAAGAATTATCGAAAAATATGTTGTGATTGCTAGAATCCTATGCCACGAAGTAGTGTGTGTTTACGCTTTATTATATTAGTATAGATGTATCAACAACAAACTTACAGACATATTCTGCAAACTCTTAAATGCAGTTTGTAAATCTTTACCGCTGAGGTATTTATCAGGGCCGTAGCTCATCCATTGTAATATACAGTTTGTGTTAGCATCCGTGTCAGTCACCTGCAAAGAACAATAACATTAAATTATCACAATACAGTCATCCACATTAAACAATGTAGTTATTTTTATCATATACTGATAAAATGTTTTAGGTCAAATAGTATAGAGTTATTCAAATATCTTAGCAACTCTGAAAATCGTATGAGTGTGCAGAACTCAATTTTAAAAGTAGAAAAAAATGGGAGAGAACTTCGCTGATTTGCGAACCGGTAACATGCACTAAACTGGAAATTGGTAGCCACTAATAGACTGAAGTGGAAAAAAATGTCTTGACCAAGCCAAGGCCCACAAAGGGCTGTAGACCTAAGGAAGAAGAAGAATGCACTTCATAGTTTAAAAAAGTCACACAACAAGAAAAGAAAACAACATCTTACCAAAAAAAATTGTTTTCTTATCCTCCAACCAATATCTGCTAGTGGACCTTTTAGTTCATATCGGCCATCACCTCGCAATGCTATAGATATTGTTTGAAGAGCTTGCTCTAAAAGTATAAAATAATTATACTAGTAATTGGTCACATTTCATATAAACATGTTTGCAAGTGAATTGTTAATTTAAGTATGGGTTTGTTTGTAAACCATACTATTTCTTTAATTTTTTCTGAATGAAATAAAAAAAAACTTTTTGTTGTAATGTCTTACCACAAAAATTAACAGGAAACTTGTGATATAGATGTTTTATTTTATACATATAGAAAATATACTTATTTGGATATTTTCATTTAGTATTTTATATTATGTACAGTTATGAAAAATGTTTACCTGCAATTGTGATAGAATAATTTTTTGGATCTAAGAAACTTCTGACTGGTAAGGAGAGTGCTAATACCTGGTGCTTTAATACTTCCCTTATGTAATTCTAAAACAAAACTATTGTAAAGTTGTATGAAATCATATATATATGGTTTGTCCATTAACAATGTATAACTGTTTTATCTATTTGTTTTTAGCCATAGATTCTAGAAAAAGCAATCTTTGTAGGTCACAGATTATAATCAATAGTGATTTATATTTAACTAATAAGCTATTAATAATGATAAATGTTCATTCTTTTATATTTAATAAAGAAGTATTAGTCTTACTTGTAAAGCAGCTTGCCTCTCAGCAATAAATGATGGTTGCATGTTTCCAATAAGTTTTTTAGGAGGCAGTGGTAACTCGATATTGGACTTCTGCAAGTTCGCATGAAGTTCCGAGAAATGTTTGTACCTCCGCGAAACATCCCATTTGTTTTCCTTAGATGGTCCTCGTTGCACACGTAAAATGTATTCCTGCAGCAAAATAAGTCCTCGAGCACGAAGAAAAGCATTTAATTTTAAACGATAGACGAAATAAAATACTTACAGTATGTTTATCGACGTTTTGTGCATTTTCCAATGTACAAATAAGTGTGTCTGTATCATCGAATGCAGATTTGGTATGGAACGACTTCTCGAAAATAGCCATCACGTTAAAGGATGTATATAATTTATTTTAATAGTAGAATAATAAGCACAACACATCTTGTTATCACGGTTATGACAAATTCGGAAAGTACAAAATATTTCACAAACGTCATAAACATATAGAGCATTTGGTCTGTGGTTTTTCGTGACATTGACGTTGTTAAATGTCATATGACATATGTCATAAAAACAATACAGACCCAAAAAAGTGAAATAAAATAGAACTTCCGGTAAAACACCATCCGTGTTTAGCAAGGATGGAATTTAAATAAAAGTCAATTATCTTATTTTCATACTAATATCGATATTATAATACCATTTAGAATATCGAGTTTATACCTGTTACTTCGATAGCTATAATTACGACAAAATTAATAGTTATATACTTAAACTAAGTCCATTTCAAATCAATTTACCATTTTTGTGTTTAGATAAGATTTTTTGGAATAACAAGTTATGATGTTTTATTACTGATCACTTTTATATAAGCCATCTTATAGATTGTCCTGTTAAAATGTTCTCATTTCTAGTGCGCATGAACCAAAGACAACCCCTATTGATTGTGTCATTTCCGGTAATATCGCAACGAGTCGCGAGCGGAGAAGAACACGACCCTCCTGTCTGCCATTAGTATTGAATTCAAGAAAAAATGTCTCTCATCTCCGCTCGTTTGGCCTCGTCCGTGGCCAGGCGCCTGCCTAATGCAGCGTCCCAGGTATATTTATCATATTACTGTTAATAATTTGTTGTAAGATCTAGGATGTAAGACTGTAAATCGAAATATTCCGGTTATCATGTTGGATCATTTCTATAAAATTGATATAAATTTTGATGATTCTATGAAGAATATTGTTGAACATACGATTGTTAGCGTTAATATGTGTAGTGAACTGCATTTTAATACCTTCCGAGTAGTGTTTACAAAGAAAATGTCTCCAGTAACTTGTCGGACAATTCGTTATGTAACAGTGGATAATCGGTATTATGTCCAATTGCCGCATGTTTATTCAGTAGTGCATTATTATATAGTGAACAGAAGTATTAAATCACGATGGAACCGCACTTGTACATGTATAAATTAGAGGTAGTAAAATTTTCGTATTGGTTATGTTGGGGTACAGGTGTCGAAGGTCGCCGCTCCTGCGGTGGCAGTGGGGTCCCGCAAGCTGCATGTCTCGTGCCCACAACGAGCTGTCGAAATCTCCACCATCCTGGAGGAGAGAATCCTCGGTGCCGCACCAAAGGTATGTATTATGTAAAGGTTATCTTTAAACTGATATTTTGTACAAAAACTTTATTTTCGCCTTTTTCGTACTAAGTATAAAACTAAAATACTGCAATACAATAGTATTGAATAACTAATGAATAGTTTTTAACAAAAAAAAAATTGTTGATGATTGAATTTGTATATTTTAAAAGACACTTTGCTTGTTTTGTCAAATCAATCTAGAATCAGCTGATTTTTGACAATCTGCAACATCTCCATACAGAAATGACTAATACAATTTCCATATAATGAATCAATTGTTTTTATTAGAGAGGGTAATAAAAATGAGTTAAGAAAGGGAATTTGCTAATTTGTAGGCTGACTTGGAAGAGACTGGCCGTGTGTTGAGCATCGGTGACGGTATTGCTCGTGTGTATGGCCTCAAGAACATCCAGGCTGAGGAGATGGTGGAATTCTCCTCTGGTCTTAAGGTAATAATTGTTTTAAAATATTTACATTATTTATTAATAGGGAAAAATATGCTCTAGTGTTATTACAGAAATTATAGAATTCCTAAAGTTGTAAGGTGTCAAAGTTTGCTTGTCATTGGTATACCTTTATGCAATCTACCAAAATGTTAACCTTTCTAGTGTTTACTTAAAGAAAAACTTATGTAATAATCTGCATTATGTAAAAACAGAAATTATTGTTTAGGGAATTACAAAAGGTTACGAATTTTTTAAGCATGTTTTAAAATATCTTTATTTTTGTTATAGGGAATGGCCCTCAACTTGGAGCCAGACAATGTTGGTGTTGTAGTATTCGGTAACGACAAGTTCATCAAGGAAGGCGACATTGTGAAGCGTACCGGTGCCATCGTCGACGTGCCCGTGGGCGAGCAGCTCCTGGGTCGTGTAGTAGATGCTCTGGGTAACCCCATCGACGGCAAGGGCCCCGTCGACACTAAGTCCCGTATGCGTGTCGGTATCAAGGCCCCTGGTATCATTCCCCGTGTGTCTGTACGCGAACCTATGCAGACTGGTAAGATTTTAATCACAATATGTGTAGAAAAATTTTGTCATTTATGTAATTATTTTTTTTAATTATTTATACTGGCTTTCCAGCCAGTATAAATAAAAATAAAAAATTTTCCAAATGTTACTTTCGTCAATTGTGTAACAAAATATTTTTTATTGCATAAGCTATATCTGCAGTATTAATGAAATTCCAACTTATAGGTATCAAGGCTGTGGACTCCTTGGTGCCCATTGGTCGTGGTCAGCGTGAGTTGATCATTGGTGATCGTCAGACCGGCAAGACCGCGCTGGCCATCGACACCATCATCAACCAGCAGCGCTTCAACAAGGGACAGGATGAGAAGAAGAAGCTGTACTGCATTTACGTCGCCATCGGTCAGAAGAGATCCACCGTGGCACAAATCGTCAAGAGATTGACTGATGCTGGTGAGAATCTTGTTAACAACCTAAGCTGATTTGTAGTAATTAAAATTTCAATATGGTTAGATTAGTTAAAAATTAAATTCCTTGAGTCTTGCTGTCTTTAGGTTATTGTTTATGCCGAAGTCATGCTTGAATTTTTATACCAGGCGCCATCAACTACACGATCATCGTGTCTGCCACCGCGTCGGACGCTGCGCCGCTGCAGTACCTCGCGCCGTACTCGGGCTGCGCCATGGGAGAGTTCTTCCGTGACAACGGCAAGCACGCCCTCATCATCTACGACGATTTGTCCAAACAGGCCGTTGCCTACCGTCAGGTACACCGATTTGATATATTTTCTATAAAAATCAGTGTGACTTGGTGCAATTGTACAATTTCCTTATATATAGTAACACTGTTGGATATGGATTCAATGTTGTGTGACTGCAGATGTCTCTGCTGCTGCGTCGTCCCCCGGGTCGTGAGGCGTACCCCGGTGATGTGTTCTACCTCCACTCGCGTCTGCTCGAGCGTGCGGCTAAGATGTATGTTGGAAAATCTGTTTTTTTTTTGTTACACAAGTAGCTCATGTTTAATAGAACAATGATTTGATTTTATGTGTAATAAAATTATTCTTAAAATTTCCAGGTCCGACAAAATGGGCGGTGGCTCTCTGACCGCTCTGCCCGTCATCGAGACCCAGGCTGGTGACGTGTCTGCCTACATTCCAACCAACGTCATCTCCATCACTGACGGACAGATCTTCTTGGAGACTGAGCTCTTCTACAAGGGTATCCGGCCCGCCATCAACGTCGGTCTCTCTGTATCCCGTGTAGGATCCGCTGCCCAGACCAAGGCCATGAAGCAGGTCAGATTATATAATTGTTAAATGCTGACTAAGACCCCTAACATAGCTAATTCGACATAATGTGTGTGTGGTCTACTTTTTTCCAAGCCTTGTTAGATTAGATTCAAAAATATGGAAGTAACATGTTTTGTAACATGACAGGTGGCTGGCTCCATGAAACTGGAGTTGGCTCAATACCGTGAGGTGGCCGCCTTCGCGCAGTTCGGCTCCGACTTGGACGCCGCCACCCAGCAGCTGCTGAACCGTGGCCAACGTCTCACTGAACTGCTCAAGCAGGGACAGTATGTGCCCATGGCCATTGAGGAACAGGTACGACAAAAACAAATCAGAAAAATCAATATAATAAAAATATATAAAACTGATGAATTATGTCACTATTAAACATTTGTAACAAGTGTAACAAGTGAATTGTAAATTTTTATTAAGGTAAATAAATATTCTTAAACCATACATTTCATTCCAGGTTGCCATTATCTACTGTGGTGTGCGTGGACACTTGGACAAACTGGACCCCACTAAGATCACTGCCTTCGAGAAGGAGTTCACCCAGCACATCAAGACCAGCCACCAGGGTCTCCTGGCCACCATCGCCAAGGACGGACAGATCACGCCAGAATCTGATGCCGCACTCAAGAAGATCGTCACCGATTTTATGGCCACCTTCACCCAGGCGTAATTTGTTTAGAATAACTTTATAACGATTCTTAAGGTTGTTACATGTTAATTAAAATCAAAATCAAGTTGACAAGCAACAATCTTAAGTAGAACTCCTAAGTATAACAACTGCAGATGGAAGCTGTACAGTGTTAGAACTTCCATATGCAGTTACAAGTAGTTTCATTCGTATGTACTGTATTGAATGTGAATACAATCATGGAATGTATTTATCGATGTCAGGAGTGGTTAATAATTACATACATATACAAAATGTCTTGTTTTATTAAACTATTTTCTCAACATAATGAAAATTATACACGTAAGATTATGGATCTCATATAAAACCGAGAGGTATAGGACGACTGGAGGCCCAGTAGTGAGCCTAATATGGCTGAGAAGATTATGGAAGGGCTGTAAATATCTTATTCTAATAAGTAAATAATTAAAACTATTGCAACAATTATTTGAATAGTACAATTTACACAACAAGTTAACTTTTTTCGGTGAATCGTGTTGCGTTTTGAAGGATATAAGATATACCGAAATAGCTTGACAAAAACTTCTCTTTCATTGAAAGTTGTCGAAAATTCATCATCATCATCATACCTTTTTAAATTGCTAGTTTTTGTCCGCGACTCTTTCCGCGTGGAATTTAAAAGAAAAGTGACAAATTCATCAAGATTAAACCGTTTCAGAGATACCTAGTAATAAATATCCATCCATCAATGTATACTTTCATATTTATAACATTAGTATAATTGAAACGCTTTTTTGTATTGACTGTATCATTCATTATCTCTGAACCTGATCATTTTCTTAGATCACTGACGTTTGGTTGACGTTGACATTGACGTTTGACATTTTTGTTTGTGCATTTTTGTGTCGAAGAAATGGCAAATCGATTTTAAAGTTATAAAACACATGGTTTTATAATTAAACATAAGTCTAGTATTTTAGTACATTAAAAGAGAAATTGAATTACTTGTATTTGTGGTGTAAGTTTTCCTAAATTATTATTATACACCGGTAGTTAAAAATATGGAGTTTTTCGAAAAAGCTCACCTACCGTTAAGTGATGATTCCAAAAAAGACAAGAAACCAGACGAAAAAATAAAGAAACAGCTAAAGCAAATGTTACATGGATACAAAAAAAGTGACAATGAACTTATTAGAAAGTGTGAAAATGTAGTGGATTCGGACTCCACTTCAGTCAGCGGGTTTTCTGACTTAAATCTATCAAATGCTAATTCAGATAATGAGACTACAAGGGCTACATTAGACAGTAGTGATTTAGATTCTTTATCGAATTTAGTTGACAGTAATGAGGCTTCATTAATTGAAGATGCAGATTCACCAAATAAAGATGTCAGTGAAGATGTTTCGTCTAATTCTAAAAGTGACAAAGAATCTTCATCTGATATATTAGAAGAAAATGACACGGTTCTTACTTTCGATTCTTCTAACATTAGTACTACTGAGACAAAATCTGATACTGGTAGTTCAACTCTGTTTGATCCTGATGGTGAATTGGCTCAAGAAATTCACAATAAATTGAATTCAGTCAAAGTTCCTCATGAAAAATTAAAAAGAAAAATGCACAATGATATAGAAAACTCAATAAACTCTTCAAGCGAATCAGAAGAAATAGAACCTAAAATTTCAAAGAAAGATAACAATGATTTATTTACATGTGATAATATGCAGTATTCAGATTACATTGACATACATAACAATGGTGACAAAAACAGAATAGAATATACTGTAAATCCAATCTCAACATTTGTATCTGTAACATCAAAAAATGCTAAAACCGAGAGATTTGATGATGTTATGGGGCATTATAGAAATGCTACAGTTAAAAACATTAGTAGTGAACATCATGATGTATCATTTTCTCCTTTAAATTATACGGAGGAAGATGATCGTGATTCACAAGTTGATAGTTCTATTTCTGATTTGGGAGTTGAAGAAAATGTTAGTGATAGTAACTTGCCAGAAAAGACAGAAAAGTCAGAAGTACAAAATGATAGTGGGAGTGATAACAGTACAGTCTCAACATCAACAGATCATATTTCCTTTAACGAGTATAGTACCATTAACTCAAATGAGAATTTTAAAATATTTGATGGTGATGATTGTCTTATTGTTATTATGAAACATCCTTCAGAACTGTTTATTCATGGAAAAGTGATTGTACGCAAATTGGGAGGATGCGCTCAATTGTATGGATTCAATTTAGGAAACAGACCATATAATGTGTATGCTCCTATATACAATTTTGCTCACTGTATAAGAACTCTGCAGGGTACAAACTTTCATGTTGGATTGTATGACAATTTAACTTCAAAAGGAGTTTGCACCCATGAAGCTAAAAATATTGTTGAGAAAATCAGCTCATATGATGTTGTTTTAGCATTAACAAAACTGCACAGTACAAAAATGGAATTTCTAGAAAGTAACTTCAACTCTATAAACTTTTTTGATAAAAACCCTGGTAATGTTCCGTTGAACTTAAATAGAGCATACAGGAGGGTGTCCTGTTGTTTGTATTCAGAACAGCCATATAAACATTTTAAAGAAAATCCAAATTGGCAAGAAGCAGCTAGATTTGGTATAAGTAAGTTAGATTGTTAATCATTACTAATATTATAAGGAGGAAATTTTTGTATGTATGGAAATAACTCAAAAACTACTGTGCCGATTTTAAAAATTCTTTCCCTATCAGAAACATAATTTATCTGTGAGTAACATAGACTATATTTTATTATTAATAATGTTTAGGAATTATTAATAAACAGTGTATAACTTTTCTCGGCTTACGCTGCCTAAACCATTAGAGGTATATAACAATGATGTATGAAAGAATTGTAGATCTCAAAAAGTTCTTCTCTATAATGGTTTTCTTACAATAACCACTTTTTTGTTTACAAAAATTTTGTTTAAAAACCGCACGTTAAATCCATGTTAATTTAATAAAACTCATTACCTTTCCAGCTTCGGGAGACACCAGTATTGGTATGGTTTGTGGAGGCAAAGGAAGTGGCAAGTCCACATTCATTCGCTACTATGTAAACCGGCAGGTGTCCTGTAATGCTGGACCTGTACTCCTTGTAGACTTGGACCCAGGACAATGTGAATTCACTATAGCAGGAAGTATTTCGGCAACATGTGTCTCGGAGCCATTACTAGGACCTAACTTCACACATCTAACAAAGCCTGACATGTAAGTTTTGATAATGGATGTGTTTTGTTAAAAGAGACAATGAAAAGAAATTTTTATGGAACCTACAGGTTCGGAATCGATTGTTTTATAAACCATTTAGGAAATATAGTGTACTAGGTGTCAAAAAAAAGTAGAAAATAGGAAGACATGTTTGTCTTCGAAGTTCGATGTTTGTCTTCCTATACCTAATTTCATCCAGATCAATGTAGACATTCTGGAGATACATATCAAATATCCGAGCATTGTACATAAAAATTATAGTTTGAGTTCAGACTATAGTCAGCTATGTTCATGACCTATGTGGGATTTTAAAGGTGATTTTCGTTAAAAAGGTAATGTTTGTATTTACAGAATGCTGAACATTGGCATGATAAGTGTGATGGACAATCCAAATCGGTATCTTAACGCTGTTGACCAACTGATTACTAAATGCAAAGAAAACGACCTGATGAGCAGTATACCTTGGATTGTGAACACAATGGGCATGTGCAATGCAATGGGTTTGAAATTTATCTCCTACATTATACTACGCGTCCAGCCAACATACCTTCTGCAAATAGACTTACCGAATATAAAGAAAAACTTTCCTCACCATTTGACGTCGCAAAAGGTCGAAGAATTATATTACCTGTATAAACATGACAGGTTCTTTGCTAACCTCTCACGACAGGATCCATTGTCATATGCATACTTAGTGACCGGAGCTGAGACATTCCACAGTAAGGATAACTCTGACAACGCGTCTCTGGCTCCAAGAGACCAGAGATATCTCAATGTTTTAGCATATTTTGGAGAACTTGCCCGTTTACACAACACCAAAACATCGCTGCTGGGTATCACACCATATTCGTAAGTATTCAAATATGTATTACAAATGTTATTTTTTATTTAACAACAAGAATGCAGCTTGTGAAAATACTAGTGTTTATTGATATTGAAAAAATAATTAAATGAAATGTAAGAACATTTTTTTTAACACAATGTATATATTTAATTTTTTTGATTATGAATGTAGGAAAATCGATTCCTTAAGTATCTGAACATCAACTTGTAATTTTAAAAAAAATAAATAAAGAAAACATACAGACGAATTGAGTACCTCCTTCTTTTGGGAAGTCGGTTAAAAATAAGAAAAAAAATATTTAAAATAAAACTAATCAATTTATATGTTTAAATTACAGAATTAGATTACAAGATCTTTACGTCGCGACTAATATTAAAATTCATAGAGAGTCAATAACCAAGGTATTGAACGGAAAAGTGGTGGCGCTCTGCAAACATACTGATAAGACTGGGAAGGTGTTTACATTGACAGATAAACCTTTGATCTGTTATGGACATGGTAAGTAATTATTAATAGAAAACTATTCTAAAAATTAGCATTAATGAAAACGGTTGAGCGCCATCTGTTGCTTAGTAACGAAAAGTTAATTAAAAAACCACAGATTATATCCCTAGAAAGAATATGAAGTCAAACACAAAGTTCTTCGTTATATATTTCCCTTTCTAGTTTATGAGTTATCTTTAATATGTAATGCATTTGTAATTCTTTTCAGGTCTCATCCGCGGTATTGAAAAGGATATTTTGTATGTTATCACTCCATTATCACATGACGATCTTACTTCAGTCAACACTGTTCTCTACGCGGATTGGATGCCGGAACTGCGAGGACAGGAGAAATATCTGCCAGAAGGCACGGCGGTGCCTTACAGAATGCTCAGCCAGTACCAACAGAGAGAACTCCTTTCAGCACCACGAAGAAGATTCAACCCAATACAATTATTAAAAATGTCTAAAAACTCTTAAAAATTAAAGTTCAACTAGAAATGTTTATGATTTATTTTTGTTCTGGCAATTCTGTACATGTGATGATTTTTGTATGAGTGTTGGAAATATAAGTTAAGATAAATGTTGTATTTAGTTTTTTTAAAATAATCAATAAAAAAAACAAACTAAAGAGAACTGACACACATATATTGATGCACAACCGATTAACATCACACATTTCTTACTACCCCTGCTTTTCCCTTCCATTTTTTACGACCACCATCTTTTAGCTACCCACATCCATATTAACCCCCCCTCCAACTTTTATTAGCTTTCAACTTTAATCACCCTTTATACCCTTATCTTTAATACCCTCTACTTCTAACTGCATCTGTTTCTATAGTCGGTATAAAATAGTACTTCGAATTTTTATAATTAAAGCCCGCAACAGATAGGTCGAACTGAAGCATCGTACTGTTCAGTTAACTAGTAAAGTTCAACAATAAAAACTATTCGTTTTATTAAAGCGATATAGATTTGCTTTTAAAAAAAATTATATTGTTAAGTACATATATTTTTGCGTTGAATTTTGAAGCGGATATCCTTAATTCAGAAAGCATTCGCTGTCTTAATGCCACTGGCTCATTTCGCGTCCTGCATATTGATTTGAATTGCGGAAGGAACGTATTCTCTATCGAGTCTATTACGATGCACTTTCAAACTTCTATCATACTTACACTTCAGAAAACGACGACTTACCAGAAATTTCAATTTTAATCTAATTTTTAAACTATAAAAAAGAAAAGGAGTTTTTTTGTACTTTTAAGATATATTAATTTCTATTATTATTACAAAAGCTACATTAATTAGAGTTCTACATAGCCGTAATGTATTGAAACTAAATGCGTCACTTGGGAAATTATCAAGTATTGTTACTCTCAAGTATATACTATCAAGTATTTAAAAAACATAACGTACGTATACTTTACTAATTAATGATATAGATTAAAATGACTATTACTTTAGTCGATTAAAACAATTTTATTACTCGGTAGCATACTAAACTAAAGTAAAAAAGTTACGAGCAATAGAAACCACTCACTGATCAAAGGAACAGAAATCCATACATCTACATTTAACCATCATGAACTTCTTTTTTTCGATAACATTTAAAATTGTCAATAGATTAGAATACCTTCGTTCATAACAAGCCCTAGTAACTTAATCAGACCTTAACACAACGTCAATAGTGACGTAGTAAACCTAATTATTAATGGACATTAAAAAAACAAATTCTAAATAAAGGGAACGAACATTGTCGAACAATCAGCTGAGTTTGATGTTTACATGAAAATAAATATAGCACGTATCTCGCATGGTACGTTTTCGTGTATGTAATGACGCATCGCAGTTCAATGATGTCATGGGGCTGTGGAGGACAGCTAGGATACACTGACATCACTCGCAAACGTAGCTTCATTGTATTTACCTATTTGAAGACACATCTACCGTCATACATTGTTGTTGATTTTGATAGAAAGATATAGACGATTATATTACAAAAGACTTTTTTGTCCATTCAATACATGCAATGTAACGTTTTGTACAATCACTAAAGAGCTGTCGCCCGCAAACTTCGTTAGCGTTAATTTGGACCACCCGTTACGCCATTTTGACAGCACGGAATTAAAAAAATGTACTGTATAATATGCCTATTCATGTTAGCTACCCTCCAGTGAAAGTGCAGTCCTGTTACAAGATTGTTGTCCTGATCCCTTTCAACAGATAACTAATAGAAAAACGTTAATTTTCATTAATATTTACTAACAGAAGACTGTTAAAGTATCTTATTAGCGTTACAATTAAAAGGCACAATCTCACTACCAATACCAGTAGCTCTACATTGCAATCAGACGCGTAGCAAAGCGAGACCCCCCTCCCCATTAATGGAAAGATGACCGTTATGAATACGCCTTTAATTTGTCCAACGTAATGATTCTGTTGGTCACACGCGGCCGAATTATCATTGTACGTTTATTGTTTTACAGATAATAACGACAACATAACACTCTCGGCTCCTCGAATTAAATGAGTCACGCTACTGCACGCCTAGACTCAAACCCCGCGGTTATAAATGAATTACTCTGAGAATAAATAACTCTTTGAGGGCTATGAAAGGAAATATTCGTTAATTCATCGTTTTTAAACAAGGTATACCAAATTGTTGTTTTTTTTTTTAAGTAAACAATATGATATGACTAGTTTAAAAATAGACTATAGCGCGCTTTTGTTTCTCTTTGAAAATGATAGCGATGTTTTGTGTGTATGTTAGTTGACCTCATGGTTACACTGATAGTTCGATATACTTATAAGAAGTATGGAGTATTCACTTTTGCTGTATCAAGTTTTCTAATAAGAGTTGCCAAAGTTCATATTTTACTACATAATACTAGCTTTCGTCCGCGACTGTCCGCGTGGAATTAAGAAAAAACAAAAAAACAAAAGTGAGTAGCCTGCGTTCCAGACCATCCTAAACATCTAAACCAAATTTCATAGAAAACCGTTCAGCCGTTTAGGCTACAAACTTTAACAAACATCCATCCATCCATCTCAACTTTGGCATTTATAATATTAGTATGATGAATGTATGAAAAGTCTACATAAAATTGATTATATAATGACAATTGCTTAATCTCACACGGAGTTGAAAAATGAACACAAAACAGTTCAAATAATGTTTGAATTGTGACTAAGGATTTTGTCTATAAAAAATACAAAGTAACAATAACTAAAGCACTAAATGGAAAATACTGGCAGTAAACAGATAGATAAAATTGCCAAGTTGTTTACCTAAACAGATAAACTAGTGGTATGTTATTAACATAGTAAAATTTTATTAAAAAAAATATTTTATTAATTTATGCACAGTTTACTTATTGCCACTCAGAATGGCCAGAATAGACATTCCTTAGTATAGTTTTAGTATGATGTAACTATATGGACTTAGAAAACATTGAATGATTGAATGTGGTATTTACACTTCTCTCTCTTTTCTAATGAATAGCGGACCCCATAATTATTTCGATGAATTCACCAATGTCAACATTGAAGATAATTAAATTATAAGAATCAAGATTAAAATTTTGAATCGCAGCGTGACAAATGACCGGTAGCTGATATCAATTAAGGCACTGATATAGAACACAAATGTTACTATACTAAATATTAATTAGAAAATTTATTTTTAATTACAGTTAGATATTCTTAATAGATAAAAATTTAAACAAAAGCTACACCAGGGGGATGTGAACCTGGGTGAAGTAGTTAAATTTATAAAAAGTAATCTGTCACTTATAACTCTGTGTGTGACTCAATGATGATGTAATTGTGAACAAAGTACATCATTAAAGTCATATTTGTGTTATCATTGAAAGCTATATTATTATGCTTGATTAAACTGATAAGTTAAAATATCATGTTCATATTGCTTTCCAAGGATTGTCCATTGTATTGAGAAAGGTGTCAAGTTTAAAATTATACAGACATTGTTCAAGTTTCTTACTTCATGCCAATTGGATGGATGACTGATATAGGTAAACAATCTAGATGTAGCAGTGGTCAAGCATACAGAAATGTTTGTCAATGGTACATTGTGTACACCAAGTTGCAGCAAGTCGGGCCTACTATTACTATGGATATTGTCAAGGGTAACCTTGAAATTGAAAGTTCAATTAATTGTTAATAAATTTGTAATTGGAATAGTTCCAAAATATATTATTATAAATTATAAAAGGAAGTCTAATTATTTAGTGTTAATCCATGTATATTTGAAGATAATTTTGTACTTACAATACTAGTAAAACATAACATAAATGATTGATTTCAACTTAAATATTTCCCCATAGATACCTTTGATTTATAAATGCTGTATTAAATTTTTATAAAAGTCAAAAAGTCTAGAAAAGAATAGTTAAAACATGGGGTTCCTTTATTACTAATAAATTATATTAGCATGCAATGTAATCATTTGGAAGATAAAATTTTACACAAACAATAGATTACAAAAAAACTGCCCTAATTCAGTATGAGCGGGCCATGTCGGAGATGCCCGACGCGGCTGACAGGCACTTGCATGATTCAGATTGGGGCTTGTGCTCCATGTCAAATAAACATCCTACAATTTATACACTATTTTATTGAAAAATTAAAATACAAAATACCGAATTCAAGTGTCTGTGATGTCGGTCCAGGCTAAATCTATATCCTGAGGAAATGCTATTCGATTATATAACATGATAATATAGCACTAAAAATTCCAGTTGGCCCACCGGGGTGGGAGCTGCCCACATCTCACGCGCCCCGGGGGCATCTGTTAAGGCAATTACGCTTACTCTTTATAGATATTCTATAAAATATACAAGTACCAATTGTGAAAGTATAGCCACACGAATACTGAGTGGATGTGCGTGCTGCGCGGGCCGCCGCTGGCGTCAGCTGTCAGTATCGGAAGGAAGCACTGTGTGGCCGGCGTCGCCACTGCTGCACAGTTCGAGTCGTTTCAAACGTAAGTTTACAGGCAGTATGCGAACAATTCATAAATCAGAGTCCCTCCGACAACAGCACAATTACAGCAGAGAACACCTGGTCTTCTTCTTCTTCTTGACTTGTAACGCGGCACGGGTCGCCGTTTCGAACACCTCACGAACACCCTCCTTGCTCTTAGCGGAACACTCGAGATACGCGAACGCGTTGATCTTCTCAGCCATGGCGCGGCCTTCCTGCGGCTTCACCGGCTCCTGCTTCATCTTGCGGAGCTCATTGATGGTGGCCGGGTCATTGCGCAGATCCTTCTTGTTACCCACCAGGATAATAGGCACATTGGGGCAGAAGTGCTTCACTTCGGGTGTCCACTTCTCTGGTATATTTTCAAGAGAATCGGGGGAATCTACCGAGAAACACATCAAGATCACGTCGGTGTCTGGATACGAGAGCGGGCGCAATCGGTCGTAGTCCTCCTGGCCCGCCGTATCCCATAACGCGAGTTCCACTTGTTTGCCATCCACTTCTATGTCGGCGACGTAATTCTCAAATACTGTCGGCACATACACTTCCGGAAACTGATCCTTGCTGAACACGATCAAGAGGCATGTTTTACCACACGCACCGTCACCGACAATCACTAGCTTTTTGCGTATCGCAGCCATCGGTCCTGTGAAACAATACAACGCAAATAATTATGATGAGCGTCAACGCCTTTCATGACTTATAAATATGGCGGCCGTATAGGAATATGGGAAGGGAGTAGTCAGACAAGCCCTCAAACGTGAATAAGCACCTGAACTAGCGGAAGAAGAACAGCACCACCACATAGTACCCTCACATGCGAGGATGGTTATTTAGTATATTTTGTAGATACCTGAAGATTCTGGCTAATTTCTGCAGAATATTGACCTATCGACACTTTTTTAATCGTCTTTGCTCATCACAAGCGGTGTTGCCGCATGTAACAAAACTAATAATTTCCATTGCTGCGAAATAGTCTATCAAAACTACTTGCCACTGTATTGCAATTTAAAAACATTTTATTTCCTATATAAGAAAACAGCTGTTTTATGATTTTTATTAAAATCTGATAGATTTCATGCAAAAACATAATTATGAATTGCCGCTGTTGTTATAGTCAAAAACAATATAATGTTAAACTGCTAGTTTATTGTTTGGTTGTAGTATTTATTTTTATTTTCCTATAGATAGGTATTTATCGAAAAAAATAGTATAGTAAATATAAATAGTAAAATGTAAATACCTTACACACAAAATGTTTAATTTTTATAGGTACAAATCACAATAGCGAAATATTTTAACTATTTGCGCAAGTCTTTAAAAGTGTCAACTTTTTAATAACAAAAATACATAATTACCGGAAAAATTAGCTGTTAATGAGTATCCTTTTAATTTGGAAAGTGAAATTCCTCAGATATTGAATATTACTCAACAATAAACTTGAAAGTCGTTTAAAATTACTTTCTTCTGGTTGTCACTAAATTGCCAGTTGTAAAAATTGTAAGCAACACAGATAATGATGGAGACACTTGTTGCTGATCATAGATTATGAATTTAATTTTGTTTTTTTTGTTACTTCGTAAAATCATTATTAAAGAAATCTTTAATAAAAAAATATAAGGTTTTCCAGATGAAAATAGATGCGCATACTTAGGTTGCACCTGGATTACTCCGAATGGAAATCCTTAATCATTACTTACTCCTCATTTTCCGTTACAGGCATGAATTTTATGTGTAGGAAATATTTTTTCTTGAAGAAATAGTGCTTAAATACACGCTACGATTTTTAATATAGTTTTATCTCAACTTAATACTCATAGTAAATATGGTTTATTATAATTTAAACAGCAATATTACTGAAGACGGTTTGTGTATAATATACTTATGTATGCATACCAAGATTGACTATGTGCAGTTTTAGGATATTTGTTTCAATCTTTATAACTCTTGCAGTTATCGTAGTAGAAATTAATGTCATTGTATTATTCCGTGTAAAAGAGGCACTAAATAAGAAACAAGGGTTTAGGTCTGTTGCTGACCGCAATTTTAATATGAAATAATACACAATGTTTTTAAGTATATTTTATTAACATATGTAGTTTTTACTTATAACTAAAATTACAACAAAATAGTAACATGTATTGTTTTTACTTGGAATTAATAAAAAACATTGTTATCACAAAAATACATCAAATTGTGTAAAAAGGAACCTAACTTTTTGTGACATTTCAAAAAAATATAGCCGACCCTTTCATTATTCAGAAAAAAAGCACTTATATGCTCTTTGAAAAAAAAAAGGTACAATGTATTTTTGTTTGGATGTTTATAAGTTAGCTAATAAAACAAAGTATAACCAAGCACCAATATATCAATATCACAATAGGCCAGTGGCAAGCTGTGTTAAGTATCTTTACATCAGCATTATATGTTTCATTTAATCTTAACGATAACCCACATCAAAACTGTAAATGCAAAGGTGTAAATAAAAGTAAAAAATTGAGAAATTATAAAAAAATATCTTATATATATATGTTTATATTGATATGTTTGTAAATAAAGTCCTCTATATTGTCAATAATCTTATTTGAACATAAATATAATTCAAAAGAAATTAATAAATCAGTCGTAGATTTCTATTCACTTTCCGAAGCCATCTGTAACAAAGATAATAAAAAAAAAACATTACATAAACAGAACAAACGAAAACAACGTATACAAAACATAATTAACATAAAAATAACACATAATCTAGAGTGAAGCGAACATTGTATCGTAATATTTCGTAACAATTCCAGAATTTTCATGCGTTAAAACTATGAATTTAGTTGTTAGCAGTATTTACATTTATGCCTGTCATTTTCTTATTCAGTTTTATGTACGATCGATTGCTAAACATTTTTAAGAAGGCGCAAATTTTTATCCTAGGTGTATAATTTACAAAACAGTATAAATTGAATTTTAGGCTTTTTTACATTCTACGTATGTCAAAAACATAAATAAAACAAATGATTGCTTAATTAAAGGATGTATTTAAATGTTTTATAGTGTGAGTTAATACATAAAAAGTGGTGTTTACACGAATTCTTGGTTGCAGTAGTTAATTAAAAAAAAATCTAAAAAACCGATTGTAAAAATATTGTTCTTGCTGACTTAGGTATAATACTGAACTATTTTACTGGCACTATCATAAGAAAGCAATAAAGTTAGAATAGACTTAATAAGTTTGATAGTATACTCGGTGGTAAATAGTAAATTATTGTGCAAAAAAGTAAATTATTGTGCAAACAAGCTTTACAAATGGTAGCTTATAAATATAATACAGTGAATATTAGTCTCTTTTAACTTAACTAAGCATAAGTATTTCAATTAAAACATTAAATTATCAACATGGTTATATTTTAAAGATTTTGTCGTATGGGTCTGAACATTTTATAATATATTTTACTTCTTTACCTTCTGCCAGGCGAAGATGCCGTAAGAAATGCCCGCCCCGAGAGCAAACGTGAGCAGGTAGGGCAAAAACTTAAAGGAGGGTAATGACCTCTTTGCCATCAACATCGTTATTCCATTCAGCTTCTTATCAGAGTACGGCGGGTAACGCATTCTGTTGAAAAAAATCAACTGAAAGTTGCCAGTGTCGATATGTGTAAAAAATAAAACATCGATGTTTGTTTTAAAAACAAAGTTTTACGACATGCGGAATCTCATGAAAAACTATTCAATATTTTTACATGTTAAGCTTAATGTAGATATAATTCAATCAGTTACAAAAAAAAATAATAAAAAAAAACATACAGACGAATTGAGTACCTCCTTCTTCTGGGAAGTCGGTCAAAAAGATTAAAGTTATTTTTCTACTTTTATAATTTACTAGCTTTCGCTTGCGACTCCTTTTGGGTGGGTTTAAAAAAAAACAAAAGTGAGTAGCCTGTCAGTTCTTCCAGATTATCATTTACGTCTATGCCCATTGAGATCCGTTCAGCCGCTTAGGCTACAAACTCTGACAAACATCCATCGATCTAAACTTTCTCATTTATAATATTAGTATAATTACCTAGAAATACTTTATTTTTAATGTTATGATGATAAAGTGATGATAAATTAATAAATAAAAATTCTTACGATCCAAGTTTCTCTCCGATGGGTGAGAAATTTTTAATAAGGCAACTCTTTTTGTGCGTGAATGTATCGAAAGTCGTCTTGCCGTGGTAGGCACCGATACCGCTGCTGCCGACACCGCCGAATGGTAACGTCTCAACTGAGATCAAACATTTAAACGTTTAAAAAAATTAAAATATAAAACCAGCTACACACGTTCAGTTTTAACTATAGAGTTGAATTGTTACAACTGAAAGTATGTATTGGCTTAAAAATGGTTAATTTAAAATGGCTGTCCGTTTAAATGCATGTTGGGTTTTGGGCGTTTCGTGAGCCATTTCAAATTAACTAGCAAGAAAATATTTTACAAAACACCAAACACAAAAACAAATGTTTGTGCATACAAGACATTAACAATTGCAGAAATCATACTAATATTATAAATACGAAAGTTTAGATGGATGGATGGATGGATGGATGGATATATGGATGTTTGTTAGAGTTTGTAGCCTAAACGGCTGAACGTATTTCGATGAAATTTAGTATAGATGTAGAAGATAGTCTGGAAGAACACATAGGCTATTCACTTTTGTTTGTTTTTAATACCACGCGGACGGAGTCGCGAGCGAAAGTTAGTATCTTATAATTCATTGTGTTTGGTGTTTTGTGCAACTTATTCTAAACATGCTTATTACTATTAACATAGTAAAAAAAAAGCAAAGTGAGTTTGAATTCAATGAAACAGACATCACAGATAACATAACAAAGGATGATAAATGTAGAAAAAATGTACAAAACATTTATAAAGTAATATTAGCATGCAGTTATCATATTTATTATTGCTGTGCATGTTACAAGCCTATTTTTTCTATAAAAGTCAAATGTCAGTATGTATTTCCTATAACTTGAGCAAAATTGTGGTTAACAAAGAAAAAAAGACAATATTTACATTCACGCATAATTACTAATGCTTGTTTTATTTAAATTTGATAAGTTATTCAGAATTGATTGAGGTTAGACTAGAATTTATACTCCGCCATAAAATTATAATTAAATCATTACAGATAATAAAAGTTTTTAAGTGTAACATAATTCTTATCAAACTGGCAACTCTGTGAACGCCATTAATAAAAAAAAGTAGCAAACCTCCCATGTGCATGATAGTATCGTTAACGCACATTCCTCCGCAACTAGTGTTGTCGACAATGTTCGCTATGACATCCTTGCTCGTGCTGAACACATACATCGTCAGCGGCTTCTCTCTACAGTGTCCAACATACATATAATAAGACCTCCACCGAAGACAATGACTTAGATTATCTATTCGTTCCAATCAAAACCAGAATACTAGATCATAGAGAAATTGAACATTTTATTCCAAAATTCGTAACATCCAAAATATTTCCGGTGAATTACTTTTCTAACATGACTAGATAACTAGTTATCCTTATATAGCTTCACTTTATATTACAATTTTGACAAAACAACTGAAAAAATGAATAAACAATGGCCGCTATTTATGGATGTTACCCTTCGTCTGTTTATTTTATTACGGATTTCGATTGAAACGATATAGAAGTGATTAACTATAGGAAAAAGTTCTTAATTGATATGATTATTTAGAATTAGACAGTATTGAATTACAGAATTTTATTTACAATAAAAATAAAATGGAAACATATTGCAATAAGGAGAAAATGGAAATTTCGTAATTAAAATTGTAGAAAACATTATTTACACAGGATCGCAGGTACATAGTTTATTAAATTACATATTTAGTTTAATATAAAAACAAAGTCTTAAAGTTAATGTGTAAGGCCACCGCATACAGCCACTATAAATAACCTTCACCGTTTGTACAAAAAAAACGTACAGTCAAAAGCCAACACAATGCGCAATTATTTTTAAATATACAATTATTTCAATTTAATTTTTAAATTCTCGTTTATTTGTAAATTTAAATTATTTTAAAAGAGCATGAAACAGATGTTCAAAACTCTGACTTTTGACTGCAAGTTTTTTTTTTATGTTGCCACCTACACCGTTCAGCCAGTGTTTTATATTTTATGCTTTAAAGCCGTGCGGATGATGATCTTTGCCTTACCGCCGTAAAACATGATAGTGTCATTGACACCTATGCTTCCCGAACGTGTTTGTTCATTGAACAAAGTTCGCGTATCCCTTTCATTGGTGAACACGTATAATACTAATGGATGTTCCCTGAAATGTGTTCCAGTAATTGGTCGACGTTTTAGTCTATCACCTTATATGTAAAATACCCAGGGCAGATTTTTTATGGCTCAATGTGTAATTTGGTTACTCTGTGCATTTTTAATCTGTGATATTAAGGTCAAACTAAAGGTCACACTCATGCGATAAAAGTCCATGTAGAAACTTAAATGGATAATATTTATATCAGTATTGCTTTATTTAACTAGCAATAAATATGACTGCAAAATGCAGTGATTTAATTATTACTTAAGAAGTGCTTTAGTGTAGATACTTAGCGACTTCTTATTGACTAGTCAAGAACTGTGAGTGTGACAGGTTATGTTGAATAATCAATTTTTCATCGTTGTCTGTTACAAGCGATTTTTACCAAGCCCTTTTAAATTCCAAGGACCGCGTCATACAAGCGGACACACATAACATTTGCAAATTAATATGAATTCCATCTTTATATTCCCGTGTGTACCAAATGCTCCGTAAGGGCACGTTCACACTAGCGTCATTATTGATGTAAAATATCGCATATGTGAACAGGCCCTTATACCGGGACCATCACTATGAAACACGTTAACACCCAACACTTCAAAAAAAACTCATTAAGAATTTACGACACACAAAAATCACTCAATATTAAATTTAACACTCGGTTACTACTGCTAACTCCTGTACAAAAACGTACTTAAATGCTGTCATATTGTTTATGTTATTAACATATACGTGTGCAGTCGAATTCAGTGGAAATGAGAAATTACGCACATTGGGTGAGAATTGTCATTTATTGTCTATGGATTTGTTGTTGAAACTTGTTTGTTTTTAATAAGTCTGTGGTTGTAACCACAGATTTATTATTGGATACCACTATTGAGACCCTTAAGATAATAATGATTTTGACAGGTTTATTAGAATTTTTCATTTTCATTGAATTCGAGTATACAGTTATTTCGATAAAAAAATAAAAGATAAGATATAAATAGAAACTGACATTGTAATGAAAACACGTTTTTGTATAAGATTACCAGAATTAGCAATTTATTTTCCATTTTCTTTGTAAGAGTGTTATGAATTTTAATATTTTCATATCTCTTTTCGATGAACACATATTTAAATTATAAATAATACAAGCCCGGTACACACGCTCAGTTTTGTCTGAAGAGTCTGTTCATTCAGATAAACAAAACTGGGAAACATTCAGTTCTTACACAAATTAGAGATAAAACTAAGCGTGTGTTGCGGTCTTTATACGTCCTATGCCTCTACTTTCTCGCACTAATATGAAGTCGAGTGGAATTGGTAGCATTCAACGTGTTAATACGTCAAAAAATTTAAACAAAAATTTGACAGACTGAAAAAGGTTTTTAACAATTAACATTGTAACGAATTGCTTACAAAATCATTTAGTATATATTTTATTGTCACTAAAAACGTATTTCGTATGTAATATAACTCACCTGGCATTAATAAATTTAATCGCCTCATACGCGTTCTCAACGGGAACTATCGGTAAAATGGGACCGAATATTTCGTCCTCCATTATTTTATCTGTGCCCTTCACGTTGGTCAATATTGTCGGCGCAATGAACCTCTCTGTGGGGTCAGTCTGACCTCCAATTGCGATTTTATCTTTACTCGCATCTATTAAAGCTTGAAGACGGCTGTAAATTAGAGAAATACATCATTTAATGACTAGCTGTTGCACGCGACACTGCCCGAGCGGCATTAAAAATTATGTTATTACATCTGTGCCAAATTTCAACGAGTTCTGGAGATATGCAGTAAATCCAAAAAATCAACGCATAAATAGAAATTATCAATCAATCGGCCCAATGACACTTTTCCCATTGGGCCGATTGATCTGTAGACCTGTATGTCCAATGGAACACAAACTTAAATGCACAGGTGGTTACTTTTTGTACACAATTACACTTTTAGTAAAAATACAGTGAACATAGTTAGTTAAATTACCTGAAATGCCTGCTATTGATAATCCTGCATAGATCAGGAGACTTCTGTGGGTCTTCTCCATACCATTCCTTGAGGACTCCCCTCGCGGCGTTCACAAACTTCTCTTGGACCTCTTTGGAGCACAGCACAAAGTCTGGTGCGATGCAAGTCTGACCTGAGTTGATGAATTTGCCCCACAACACTCGTTTAGCTGTTACTTCTATGTCCACTGTGCTGTCTATATAAGTCGGGCTATAAATTAAAATAATTAATTCGATAAAACCATATAATGATCATGATCGGTTTCCCAGCTACATTTAACGTTTGTTTTTGGTTTGATATGAATGACATGAAATGCGTTTCAGAACTAAGTTATTGGAGTTTTACTCCGTGACGTAGTTCGGAAACGGTACGGTCATGATAAATAAATGGGGACTCCAGAAACCGAGCATTAGTGGAATAAAAATCAAGTGATGCTAGTTAAACCACCGCTATTTGAGGAGCGGAGGTGCTTGTCACACTTCAAAATTAAGTTATTTTGAGGAAACAGAGGTCATAAAAGTATGTTAAACGTAAAATAATTAAATTAGCTGCCCAATTAGGATGGAATACCATCGCGAATTGCTTTAAACTTTAAACTAGTATATTTGTAGAACAAAGAATGCACTTCAAGTTCATGTTTACGAAATAATTGCATTGTTAGAGATTTGACTTGAATGGGTAGGAAATAAAATTCCTCGAATATATCCAACATTGTGTGAAGATAGTAGAAAACTTGCATCTCACCTTTTACCGCCCAACTCGAGTGTTACTGGTGTGAGATGTTTGGTGGCGGCGGCGTATACGATCTTGCCGACGTTAGTCCCGCCCGTATAGAAGATGTAATCGAACTTCTGTTTTAATAGCTCTGTGGTCTCTTCAGGTCCACCTTCTACTACTATTACTGCGTCCTAAAAGCAAAAAACCTGATATAAGAAATTTAGAAAAACCATTAAAATTAAAACAAAGAAAAATACTTTACTATAAAATGTCTACCTACCTCGTGAAATAGAAATGTACTATTTGGATTAGTAATGTTATGTAATATCTCAAGTCGGACGTTACAGACTAAGTACTGTGTCTCTTGGGACACTTTACTTTATCTTATTACTTTGTTACAACTTACATTATCCAAATATTTAGGGATCATTTCAACAATGAACTGTGCGCAGGCCTCGGAGAGCTCGCTGGGCTTAACAACGACCACGTTCCCAGCAGCGATAGCGCCCGCCATCGGCAGCAGCAGCAGCTGCAGCGGGTAGTTCCACGCGCCGATCACCAGCGCCACGCCGTACGGATCGTTGTAGATCACCACATCGTCTAACATATTAACGATACCTTTGGACGGCTGGAAATGATAATTATCAGTACACTATAAATAATGTTGCAAAAAAACTCTCAGGTTTGATTGAAAGAATGCAATGAAAATGAAAAAGTTAAGATGTGATCCGGATTCATAGATAAAAGAACGAGCAATGCTTATATATTACTAGCTTTCACCCGCGACTCCGTTTGTGTGGAATTAAAAAAACAAAAACAAAACTGAGTAGCCTATGTGTTCTTCCAAACTATCCTCTTGTAACTAACATCTATGCTACATTTCATCGGAATCCGTCAAACCGTTTGGGCTACAAACTATAACAACATCCATCCATTCAACTAAACTTTCTCCATTTATAATATTACTAGCTTTCGCCCGCGACTCCGTCCGCGTGGAATTAAAATCAAAGTGAGTAGCCTATGTGTTCTTGCCGACTGTCTTCTACATCTATACCAAATTTCATCGAAATCCATCCAGCCGTTTAGGCTACGAACTCTAACAAACATCCATCCATCTGAACTTTCTCTATTAGTAAGAAGTAAATCATTTTCCTACATACAATAACAAGTTTTAAACAAATTTATAATCACCCGTTCCGGCTCCATCCATTTATCCAAATTATTCAGCGTATTCTTGAGATCATTGATCAGGTATTCAGTTTCCAGGAGAACTGCTTCCATTTTGGACCGCCTTAGATCTTTCGCCAGAGCTGCTATCATCGCGTTCTGGTTCTCCGTGTACATACGCATGAGGTTCTGCAGCTGTTGCCGTCGCCATTCTATCGGCTTAGTTACACCCCGGTTGAAAGTATCGTGTGCTTTCGCCACAACCTGGAAATATGAAACCTGAATTTAAGAACGTACGAAACGAAGAAAGAACGAAGAAGTTTGTTTTCTGTTGTAGAGAAGAATGGTGTAAATTAAATTTGTTTAAGAATGAAAAAGATTCCTGTTTATAAAGTAACTTTATACTGGTACTAAGTAATGGAATAACGGTTTTGTGTGCTCTGTGTGAGGTGCATCAAATAGATGATTTAGCTAAAGAGAGAGTTGTAACAGTATTGTGAAAAGCTTTTCTTTGATATCACGTAAATCTACGATTTCTCCATCTTTTCAGAATCGTAATGAAACAACAATACACATTTATTGGTCAATAACTTACCACAATAATTACTAAAGATAAGGAAAATAAGAATAATTAATAATCGTTTAATTCACACAAACACTACAAATAACAATGTTATTATCTACCGGTGTCAATATTATTTTTCTATTTTCAATTTTTGCATGGTTTTCTAGTCATGAGTTTCAAAGGAATAATCTATACTAATATTATAAAGAGGAAAGATTTGTATTTTTGTATGTATTAAAATAACATAAAAACTTCTGGGCCGATTTTTAAAATTCTTTCACCATTAGGAAGGTTATTTATCTGTGAGTAATATAGACTATGTTTTTTTTAATTTCAGGCGGGCGAAGTCGCGAGCAACAGCTAGTTCGTTATAAATTAATTTGAAAGCATCGTAATTTTTAAAATGCAATTAATTCAGTTGTTAGCGAATAAAAGTTTATAACGACCGTTGTCATGGTAATACATATAATTATTTTAAAGATAAGAATAATAACAGTTATTTTTACATTAGCAGGAGGTTTTCAAAGCAATTATATTATAGTCACTAATGATTAAGCTAATTACCTTATCTAATCAATTAAGATTTTATCAACAGGCTTGTAAATTAAAACGCGTTACATAATTTACAACAAATAACTTTTATTTAGTTCGATTCGGCTTTGATGAGTTAAAAAGGCGGAATAGATTCATTACAGTAATTTTGGTTCGAGAAACTTTAATACAAATTCAATTATTTCTTTTTTATTCGTAACATAACTCAATGTAAAACTGTATGTAAACTTTTACAAACAGTTGGATCAAATAAATGTTCTAATCATGCATATATAAAACTACAGTTTCCTGGTGTTGGATAATTTGTTACTTACGTCAGCAAGATTAACCGGTTTCTGCTTAGCGTTCATAGTTGTTCCTGTAACACAATAAAATTTGATATATAGATAACCTATTGCTTGCAACTTCGTCTGCTTGGATTAAAAAAATAGCCAGTCTTCCTCACTGATAACGTAGCTTTTTAATAGTGAAACAATTTTTATAATCGGCCAGGTAGTTTTTGAGATATTCCAATACATATAAAAATACATAGAAGTATAGATAAGTAAAGTATAGAAATATTTCACTAACTATTGCCCGCGATTTGATTCGCGCGAATTAAAAAAAAAAGATGTTCTTCCAGACTGTGTTCTATGTATACGTGTTGTCCTTGTTAGGTCTTTTCTCGTTAACCATGTTTTTTATTGAATATTTTTTACAGTAATATAAGCGAAACAAATAAGACAAAAAGACCTTGAATTGTGAAGAACAGGAAAACGTGTTTTTTATTCAACGGTCATCATGACCGTGAAGAATATTTATAATATTGATTTTTATCTTGTGTCCGTTTGGATTGAATATTTCGTAATTACCCTGCATATCTCGGAACGCATTGATAACATTAGGTACTGAATCGGACTTTGAACCGAAAACGATAACGAAATGATAACAATATTTCTATTTATTGTTTTTTTTTGCTTTTCCCTTGTCCTGTTTTCATGTCACCTACTAACATCTTACTTCGTCCGCGTTGAATGACAAAATCTATCTATATCTATACTTTTATACTAATATACTACCTACTTACTAATATACTACTACTTTTATATAATATACGTAAATACACACTCCTTTGTAGCATAGGATGTCAGCAATCATAGCATATTTATGAATAATTCTTTCTATAATAATAAGCCCTACACTTACGACACGATTTAGACTATGCATTTTTAAATAAAATAAATAAAATAAAATAAAATAACATTTAATCTTATCACCACTACAACACAATTGGAATAAGAGAAAAAAAAAACACACACACACGATATTAATTTTACGATATTAAACTTACGAGGGTAAAAAAATTGAAAAACTACCTTTAGGTGGGAAAGGGACTAAACTACAAGCTGCCAACATAAGGTTATTTGGTAACGGTAATTTTGCCGTTTGCAATTGAGAATTTAACAAATGTTAACAATAAAATAAAGTTTGAATAATTACATGCTTATAAAACCACACGGGAACAGCAAGTCTAGTAATAATTATAGCCTATGTTACTTAGTTATATGTAATTCTCTTATAGCATTTTTTTTAAATAGTTCCATCGGTGTGTGAGTTTATTCGTTACATATAAAAAAATGAATACTTATAAATGACTTTGTGAAGTAAATTGCTTAACAAATTAACTGCTGACTTATCGATTTCATTTTAGTCACGTAATTTTCAAGCGGTACATAAATACGTATAATTAACCTCTACGTGAACCTCTGACGTGAATGGGTGGAATAATTTACAATGTATGAAAGTATTGCATTAGAATTACATATTTTTTTTGACAAATATATCATCTGATGGCAGCATTGATCAATATTTTTTAATATTTTTTACACTTATTAAAACTTTCGTGAGACATTATACTATATAAATTATAACACGGCTAAACTCACGTGATAACATTCGGTGTAGGCACCGACAATTTCGAACCCGTTGGGGGTCCTTCTTCAGACGCTTCCTTTTTCGCGACCGTCGCGACGCGATAGCGAGTATACCCGATTAATCACTCACCCTGAAGAAGGACCCCCAACGGGTTCGAAACTGTCGGTGCCTATACCGAATGTTATCACGTGAGTTTAGCCGTATTATAATTTATATTTTTTACACCTACACGAATCTCACAACCAAACTCTAGGTCACCAGTGTTTATGCAATTCGACAAGACAATTTTTTTTTTAATTTTTAGTATTTTTTGTTTTTAATTAACGTTTGGCAAATTGTTTAACCAATGTGTTTCCAGTGTTGAAGCATTGTGTAAAACATTTTGCAGTCCATTCTTTTAGGGTGCATACTGACCGGTGACACGCACTGTAATGTTACATAGCGAGCATTACACGCGTACCTCTCGCTACTGATGTAACATTACACCATGTATCATAATTCAGCACCTTTAGAGAAAACGCAGAAAACATGTAATTTTGTGTACAGTACTTGCGGTAAATGATTGTGTTTTTCACAGTAACACTTTCTTACGATAAATCAGTGACTGGTCGTTAAAATAAACAGTCACGATTGTACACTATTCGTAACAAAGTAACGACCTTCAGCACCGGAATTGACATATGAATACTAAACAATACATATCATGTCGCCATTAACATATCATTTTTAACACTGCACTGATTATGTTGATCTAATAATGTGGGATCACACACTATAGGAATAAGTCCTAGCAATAAGAAAGATATGTAAACTTTTTGTATTTAATTTTAATATTTTTAATAAAGAACGTTCACGTGCGGCTTCATCCGCATGAAATTAAATATTTATTGTTTGCATTTGTCAAATTATCTATTACAAATGTCAAAATGACATGACGATGACAAAGCATGGCATCCTTGTTTTCTTGATGTTGGCAGCAACTTATGGTCTCTTTCCCACATTAGGGTTTTTATCCAAAATATTTACCACCTAAGTTTAATGGCGTGAAAATATATAGCCTAAAGTGTGACGTAAGTGTAGGGCTTTTTATTAAAAAAAAGAATTATTCAAAAATATGCAGTAATTGCTGACAACTTAGGCAACAAAGAAGTGTGTGTTTACGCTTTATTATAATAGTATAGATATAGAAGTATTGATATATATAGAAGTATAGATAAAATAAATAGACAAATATTTCCTGGCCCTTATCACCGTTAAGGACAATTATTTGGTGTCAGGACAACATGAGGCCTCCACTTTAAATATAGTTTTCATTCTTAAAGCTAGTTATGTAGAAGACTAGTGAATTGTGTGTGATTTAATTGCACACTTAGCTGTATAGGTCAGTAATCCTTACATAACTACTATTTGCCAGCTAATGCAACAGTCAATGATCCTATTGCATATGATATGGTGCATAGTTGCATAGTATATTTCATAATTTTATAACATACAAGTTGAATAAACTCTACTACAAATCACTAGACATTATTACAAAGATTAAGATAATTGGGATTTAAAATATCTTTAAATCCAATATTCGAAAGGTCTGCAAACTAAAAATGACATGGACTGGTTATTTAATTTCATTACACACAGGTTACACTTTATAATGACAGTATTACAATACATAAAAAATATTTTAAAGACAACTTTAAACTTCCTAATTTTGGTAATAAGTATGAGCCTTGATAATAATAAATGTAGCCTTGCTTTTTAAATGGCTAAATATACTTATTAACATTACTTAAAATATAATAGGAAGTGGTAAGATATAAATGATGTAATTTTTGCAAATCTATGCAATTTAAATCGTAAAAGTAGGTCATAATTAAAATAAGATTATAATAAAAAATAAAAGTTAAATTGTATCAGGAAGTTTAAACATTTTCTATCAATGGATGGATTTAATAGATTTTTATGTGCATCCAAAATATTACATTTAAACAAAAATGTTCATACTTTCGGTATAGGCACCGACCAGTTTCAAACCCGTAGGGGGTCCTTCTTCAGGGTGAGTGGATGCCGGCTTTATTCGCTATCGCGTCGCGATGGTCACACACTTTAGCCGTGTTATAAATAATATAGTATAATGTCTCACGAAAGTTTTAATAAGTTAAAATGACTGAAATTTGCAACTGCCATATTAAATTAAAGATGTTTGTGTACAATGCATTTTTAGTACGAAGTTGTAATAATTTTTAATTTTGACTAAAGTAAAGAAGGCAAATTCATATTTTAATGAGTATTTAAACCAGAAAAAGATGTAACGTGTTAATGAAAACTTTCAAATACATTAAATAAAATATTATATAAAATCTTTCGTACCAATTTTTTTGGAATCAAGCTTCTATTTGACACTTTGATGGTTTTCTCTAAATATAAGTTTGTGTAATAAGCTAAAAGTATACAATAAAAATTATATGTTACCACAGACTTAGAACTATAATATAAATGGTAGTAATTATATTTAAATACATTTATTCATAGTATGGAAGTTATTGTTCTCACGAATTAATTTAAATTTTATTGTCGGAATTCAAATATTGTACCATATTACGTTCTACATTTTATAAATTTATATGGAATATATTTGCATATGTAATTTGTTACATATAAGATTCACTATTATTAAGAAGGGATTCTTTCCATTATAAGTAGACAAAAATTATTAATATTCTATTCAAAATCCAATGGAGTTCGAAAGTTAGAGAAAATATTATAGACAAAAGTTTTTTCGCACAATAATTCGTTTTTGATGAGAAAACATTTTCTTTATCTATCTTATAAAATTAATAGTAAACTAGATGAAGGATGTTATTGATACTTACCGATAGATATTGCACAACGTTGTTAGATAAATACAGTAAAATTACTGACACTGAGAAGAGAATTAAAAATTACTTTTCTACAACTTTATCCTGACATCTGACGTGAACGCGTTCGTTTAGTTTAAGTTTACAACTCAACTCAAAGTCAAATAAAACCTTTAGCACCAAGCAAGTAGTACGACAGTGGCGTTTTAAATATTTTTGATATAATCAATTGGAATTGGAATTCATTAATTGTATTGTATGAAATTGTGTGAATGTGAAGTTAATTTTTATCATTCAGTTCAGTGAACGCGAATGAATGATTGAGCAACTAATTTTATGAACGTAATTTACAATTTCACTAACAGATGGCGCAAAAACAAAAGCCCTTAGTAAAAAAAAATTTTGGACAATATCCCAGAAACGTAAAAAATGACAATTTTCAATTTATTTATTCTTTCTAACTAGGGTTGGCTACAGGCAGGCGGCCGGCCGTAAAAATTACATCAAATATTAAGGTTTATAAATACTTATGCGCCAAACTCATGTAAATGAATTGAAATGGGATAAGGCTTGGTAGATGACTGTGATGATGGTCTGATGAGAAACGTGTCATTCAAACTTGATGTAAATTTAGAGTTTATTTGGGGAATGTAATCTATAAAACGTGTTTGAAATCTGTGCAAGGTGGAAACCGCGACATTGAAGCAAATATTGGATATATCGACTTGGAATTATTATTCTAGAAGTTTATTACTACGCAGCAAAACTACTAATCACTATTGCAATTATCGTGGTCGTGTAAAGAAACACACGTATATAATTGTGGACAATGATAAAATTTAAATAATAATGGTTCTTTACAATAAATGGACTGGTTTTTTATAGTCCGTGTGTGCGAAATATCGCAGACCTGTACGGTGGCGAGAAACAATTGAGATTTCATAGTTTTATCATATAGTGAATTTACAAAATTTTTATTTGTACATGGTATACGTTAGTTTTAAGTATGTTTGAACAATTAGATATTGAAATTTATGGTTGTAGTTAGCTTTTAATGTTGGTTATGTACTCATTACGAGACGTTATTGAACTGTGGTAACCTTACCTTAATCGTTGTTGGGGACGTGTTAAATAAATGTACAAACATTTTTGTATTCCAATCGCGTTCGAAGATCATTATGACGGCAGTTGTACGACAAACATGGTCTACGTGTGGTACTAGCAGAGTAATATTTGTCAAGGTCAATTATATGAGTCTTATGTACTTAGTTTGAGTTCGTAACCGATTAACTCAAAAACTACAGTATCAATTAAAAAACCTATAGTATCTTGCAATGTTCTTGAATATCATACGATTTAAAAATAGCTACGAATTTGTGAAATACTGTTAAAACACAAAATATGTAAATACAAGTAAAGCTAGGACTAATAATTACAAAAAGGGGCTGTTTACTGATTTTTTTAAAGGCCTTAGATGGGCGGTATGCTATCAATTTCAACACTAATGTTATTATAATCCATCTACTCCAGTATACCCTAAACCTAGCCTAGATTATCGGCTAGCGATGTCCATGGTATATTGAATAAAATCCGTGGTTATTTAGAACTAAAAAAAAAAAAACAAGTATACAAAGGATTTGTACACTCTGATTTAGACATTCTGGGCCCTTTATGGATATAGGATTTGTCCTTTAAGAACTGTGTCAAGAAATTCAACTCATTCGCCTGAATTTCAAAATCAATAAGTCGTCGACCTTCCGAAGACAGTATAAGTGTACTGTTTTATCTTTAAGCGATAATAATCAGTGTAAAATTGTATTTATTATTTTCGTTATTTGAATCAGAATGAACTTGACATAATTAACCATATACTATGTTATGTTTTCTTCCAGACTATGCTTTACATCTCTGTCGTACATGGGGATTCATGCAGCCATTATATAGCTAACATTAATAAGATTACTCTCTCTATTTTTTTAAAGTTTTACTTCAGTCGAAGCCTGGATCACTGTAGGAAACAACGAACGATTATGCTAGAATAATTGCAATAAATCGCATTTATTAGAGCTTGTACCCTAAACGTCTGAACAGATCTCGATGAAGTTTGGCACAGATGTTTGGCCTGTATGTAGATGTAAAGAATATGGAAGAACACATTGGCTAGTTACTTTTGTTATGTTAATTTCGCACGGAAGGAGTCGCGGTCGAAAGCTAGTTCTACATAATTAGTACAGTCAATGTAACTAGATTGCCCATTTCTGTATTATTTGATCTTTGTACATAACTGTGATTAAAAAGTATTCTAAAATATACTTAGATGTCTTTAATATTGTATTCTGTCTGATTGATGTTTAGCCGAGAAAGAATAGTTTTTAAGTATTTTAAAGGTCAACTAACTTTAAAATACCTTGTTCTTGAGAACAATACATCTTTGGGATTCTGAATTTTAATTGAATGCGTCGTTTTATTTATTTTAGTTTAAAATTCAAATGTGTATTTTTTTTTTACAATATAAGGTGACAAACGAGCAAGCGGCCACCTGAATCCACCGAAATGGAAAGCGACCGCTGCCCATAAACATCTGCAATTGTAGATGCGTTGCCTACCTTTAATTGACGGAGGAGGAGACGCACCTAAAGAGGATATTTCCCATTCCTATGCGTCTCCTCCACCGTCAAATCCACTTTTCCTTCCCATCCTCTCCTCTTAAGAAAAGAGTGGAAAGGGAAAGGGTCTAAAATTAGGCCTCCGGCACCACACTCATCAGACGAAACGCGGAATTGCTTCCACTTCACGCCTGTTTTCTGTGTGGTCGTGGTATTACACCAGGCGAGCCGGCCCATTCGTGCAAAGATGTTAAAGCGGGCTCTACCACTGTTGTGTATTAGGGCAGGGTTTGCTTCCTTCTTTGTGAATCTACGGTTCTTTTGTTGCAATAAGTGTAACACAAACTTAGTGACTATTACTGTCTATACCTACTAAGGCTTGTCCTAGATCTAAAGCTCGTCTTTTGTTTTCGAAATCCTTATTTTAAGACTATCTTTCGCCGGCGACTCTGTCCGCGTGGAATTAAATTACAAACTCTAACAAACATCCATCCAAACTTTCGCGTTTATAATATTAGTATGAAGAAAGATTATACTTCAGTATAATTTTTACATCAATTGTTTTACCTTCTGTCAGGTTAGTAGTTATTTAAGGTTATATTTTGGTTTTGATAGGTTGATAACGGATAAATAGTATTATTATCTTTTAAAAAGGCCTTGGGACTTTTGTTTCGAGGAACTGTTTTATATGCTGTAAAATGTAACTTCGCTTATTCGCGACATTTGCCGGCAACAAAGACATAATAATAAATATTGTACTTGAATCTCTTTTGTTGCCAAGAAATAACTATTGTTGTATTAAATGAATCATTGACAAATGCTTTGCACTTTAAGGTAGCAAAAAATGCTGTTGTTCATTTTTGACCGACTTCCCAAAAGAAGGAGGTATTCAATTCGACGGTATATTTTTTTTTTTTTTATGTGTGTTACGGCATAACTCCGCCGCTAGTGGACCGATTTGGATAATTCTTTTTTTATCCGAAAGGTAA